TCAGCATTCACTAGACAGAAAAGTCAATTCTTCCTATTCCCAGTTACAGAAACCTCCAAATCATTTACTTTTTGGATGTGAAAACTCACATTTAGAGGAGAAAAAAAACAAACCAAACAACTAAAAAATCTCAGTCATGCTGGCATTCTATGCAGACTTGAACCTCTTTGAGCTTGAAGGCAGTTCAAACAACACCTCAATCTCCACTCTTTACAATATGGGATTTTCCTTTTATCAGAAGGGCCTTGATGCAAATTTGATTAATGCCATGTTTGATACATCCATTTGTGTGGAAGAAAGCAAGCGTGATTGCAGATAGGTGTAAACTTGAGGTGATAGACCTGTAAGTCTTGTCTTTGGAGCCTGGAGGCAAAGGTTGCAAAACCTTCCTGTCCTGTTGCTGATGAAACCAAATGTGGCTCCTGCTGCCAAGGGGATTGCAGGGGCTCCTTTAAACACAGGCTGCAGCTCTCACTGCACCCATACCAGGAGCTGCGGTCTGTCCTTACGTCTGCAGCTGAGCTGTCTGATGCAGCCTGACTGCTCTCATGGTGTGGATGAAATATGGTGAAATCTATTTTCTTGTCTAGTATGTGAAGTCAGTGTAAATATAAAGTGTTCTGAATGGAGTTCCTAGTTACCAGGATCTTGAGGGGCTTGTTGAATTCAAAATTCTCCTTTGGAAAGCCACTTGATGCTAGGGTGTTGCTTTATTCTTTACAGGCAGCTGAAGTCTTTTTTTGAGCTATATTCTACTCTCAGTTTGAGTTTCCAGCATTGGAACTTTAATTTCATTTTTGTTATTTATTTATTGGAGCATGTTGTGTCACCTCAGAGTAAATGCCTGGATCTTCAGGCATTACTGGATTTCAGTGGCAATTTTACTGCTGGAAGGTGAATATCTATGGGATATGCACATAGCAGCCTGCATGGCAATTCCATAGCCCTGCCAAAAGATGGTAATACCCCATAATCTAACAGAGGTGCTGTCTGATCTGTAAAGCAGTTTTCACCTCCCACAGGAGACCAAAGAGGCATTGGCTTCTTCACCTCAGGCAGTGCAAGTGCTTGGTTTGCAGACCCAGCCTGTCCACACAGTCACTGGATTCTGCAGAGGAGATTCAGGCTGCCCATGCAGTTACATTTTGGCCATGCAGCACGTGTATCCCTCTTCCCAGCTGCTGATTTCTACTCTCTCCATTGAGCCAGCACTAATATTTGTAAGGCTTTGCAGTGAACTGGATCAGGGAGGTGGCTGGATTGAGAAGTACGGTGTTTTTAGTGTGTAATCATGGCCTTGAAGATCAGTCATGGCTCTGGAAATTCCATTGAGCTCCACTCACCCCAAACATGTTAAGTGAGCTGTTTGACGTTAGGTGAGATGAATTGCCTCTCTTATTTCTGTTTGCTGAAAATTAATTTCCTCTTTGTAGTTTTTTCTCCATTGGTGACTGCATCTGTTGTGTAAAAGTGAGAGAGTATGATATTTGAAAGAAATAGTTTCATTATCTCCTGAATAATTTTGTTGCTGCCCTGTTGTTAGTCACTTCTTAAACAGTAATCTTGGCAAAACAAATTTTTAAAACTATTCAATGTGTAATAAATATGTTATATAAGTGAGAAAGCATTGGGGGAAATAGTGGATATGTAGTCTTGAAGGTCTAGAAAGCAGCTGAATTGTTTAAAGCAGGAAAGTCAGTCACATTGAGAAGGAGGGTTGAGTGGTCCTGTTCAGAGACACTGATCTGTAACATACACTAGCCAATGGAATTTAAAATCCACTGGGACAGAAAATCCTGGGTCCAAAGAAACAGCTTCCTAGCTCTGTAAGTTCTCCTTAAGTTTGGCTGAGCAATATAAACCAAAAAAAAAAAAAAATCACAAAAACATTTCCATGTTGTTTGTGTCATTTTGTCTGGGCTTAACCCCAGGAGGCAACCAAGTCCCACTTGCTCACTCACCTCCCATGGAATTTTTCTTTATGTCACTTTTAAGATCCTGACTTTACAACTTTCCTCTCATTTTTCAAAATCAGAGTATGTGAATTTTGATTTCTTTTAAAGGTGAGGTTACCTATAAGTTGTATATGGTATCTTGGAGTACAGCTGAGTAAAGGAAAGAAAGATGACATTTTTCTGGGTGGGATTTTTTGGAGAGGGGGTGTGCAACTGTCAGTCTTGATGAAGGGGTAGCTTATGAAATTTTTTCATCACATACATAGAAAGTGTTCTGTGACTTATGTTATTAATACATTTTAAAATAAAAAATAATACAAGTGTGTAAAGTTACATACTATGAAAACTGAATCAATTGTCACGTGATAAATTAGCAAATATGCATCCTTTGCCAGGTGGAAGCCTGGGTGTCACACTGTAGGTACCAAATCCTGTTTTCCATTCTTTTTTTGTGTTGAATCAGCATTTTGGAAATATTCTACAGCTTACATATTTAAGGCTCTTCCTAACCAGTGAAGTTTTCTAAAAATACCTATTGCAATCACGAGTTTACGTGTGCTGTTTTCAGCCCCAGCATTCTCAAAATGACCTAGAGGTAATGCCTGTTTCAACTTTAACCCTGCTATTTGCAAGCAAGCCCTTTACACGATCAATTTGTTTATGCAGTAAGATCAGACTTTGTTACTGCTTCCCAGAGACCTTTGCATCTCAGAGCCCTGTTTCCTTACAGAGATTGTGCCTGGTGTGGCAAGTATTAAATGGGGAAGGGCTGGAGGTTTAGTGTCCCTCCATCCCTTGCCAAAAATGAAGTGGGTAACTGATAGCTGCATGCTGAGGTGTTGTTCTTTAATAATCTGACTGATTTCTTTGGGACTGATTTCAAGTTTATAGGTAAGTTACTCAGTGGGTATTCACAGTGAGGTGGTGGGAAAAGACTTCTTGTGAAAATAGACATTTCAGAGATAACAGGATGTGAGAGAGTAAAACCTGTTTGACCTTAAAACCGTAATTACATTAAATGGTGTCCTTATTCTTCTATGTTCTATTCTCTTGTTTTCAGTTTGTGTGTGTTGGTACTTGGGGATAAGAAAGGGGTTGTGGAGACTAAAGTATTGTATGGAAAACTGAGAAAATCCTCTGCCAATGTCTTTGTGGCACAGAATTTTTGTAAATACTTAGAAGACACAGATCTTTGCGTGGAATCATCATGCTGCATCTACTACAGCTACTGTTGTAACATGTTCAGAGCTTTTTGTAAAGCACGATTCTCTCTGTGAATATTAAATGAGCTTCATACTCATTACCCTTTTAAATTTAGGAGCTTTTTTTCATTCAAGCAAGGATCAATGCGAATACCATGCGAAACCTGCCAGTGAAAGCACATGCATGTGTAAACATGCACGGAACACAAGAGAAGCCAGAAGGCAGTTTACTGCATAAATACTAGGCAGATTACTTATAGATTTTCTGTGCTTAGAAAAAAAAATAATTGTCAGTATTGTGAATATTAGTATGAGTCTTCAGAAATGATGTTGTTGCCATGCTTGCTTAAGTACCAGTTAATCATTGACAAGAGCGCTAATCATTAAGCAGCTGTAATTTAATTGTAGTGTTTGAAAGTACAAAAGGGTATGTAATTTAATAGTTAAAACAAGAAGCACTCCATTTATGTTTCACTAGCTATTGGGTTGTTTTTACAGAAATTTAGCTTAAAAGGCTGCTGAATTTTACATATTGATTGTAAACGTGGAAAGGTATGGTGTGTTTTGGGCGATACCTGGCAGCTGTTGCCATGTTCAGAGGTCAGCTCTCAAGCCTTTCCTTTGCTTTCCTGACAGATAATGCCTATTTTGGTTGAGCATAGACTTTAATATTCACTTAATCTTTGGAAAATATGTGTGCTTGATGAAGAAGTGGTACTTGGAGAGATGTATATGTGATTCAGCAGGGAACACTGGGTACAAGAAGCCCAGTGCCTAGGGAACCTCCCCAGCTATCCTGGGGCTGGGTGTCTGCAGAGGAATACAATCCTTCTGTGCTGTGAACAACTGGTTTAGCCCAGGAGAGCTTCATGGGGAGCACACTGGAGGAGCAGTGCCAATCCTATGCTCTGCCTTTCCTGTCTTCTTTTTGCTAATGGCTCCTGAGGGAGAAAAATTTGGTAGTCTCCTTTGGGTCACTGGAGGTTTCTCTCTACTTTTCCCCCACCACCAAATAGATATATCACAGAGATAGGAATTTACCTTTACTTTCACAAATTACATCCAAGGGATTTCTCTTTTCTGGGTCTATGTTCTGGTTATGTCAGGGACATGAGTAGATCACTAAGAGCAAACAGCACAGTTAGTTCCAGGTGTTACTGGGCTTATCCCTGCTGTGTGTCCAGCTCTCACCCACCAGCACTGTGGGTACAGTAAAGTCCCTGTTGTCTGTAACTGGAAATCATGGATAAATTCCCATACTTACTCTCCTACATATTCCTGCTTGCTGCTTTATGTGACATTGAAATTATTTTCCTTTTCTGATTAAAACTATCCTGTTTCAGAGAAGTTGGGCAAATAGATCTGTACTAATGGTGTTTGTAGAATGAGATGGCAACTTAGTAATAGTGACAGCATCACCTTTATTTTTCCTGCTCAAGAAGAGTAGAATATTGATGTTTGTTATAAGTTTTGGTGGGAAGTGCATAATGCCTTCTGTAGCAACACTTTTCTCAGCAATGGAGAGAAAAAAACCATCTACAGATTGACCTTGTCATAACTTTCATTCATCTTGAAGTCTTTTGGGCAATTTTCCCCACCCTGTGCTCTTGATGATTCATGTTGCATAAAGCTTCCAGAGCAATAGAATGTTGTATAATATTTCACTTAGAAATGCTGCATTCAGTGTGCTGCAACTGATTCAAAATTTTTTTTAATATCTGATTTTTTTTTATTATTCTTTCACCAGTATAAATTGGATTGGAAATCCTGTATTCAGTGTGCTGCAACTGGTTCAGAATTTTTTTTTTTAATATTTGATTTTTTTTTATTATTCTTTCACCAGTATAAAGAAGTTTAAGTGACTGCTGTACTTGATCAAAATGGTGGACACTGAAAATCAGCTCTATCCCCTTACTCCCTTGGAGGAGGAGGATATAGACAGCCCTTTATCTGGAGAGTTCCTACAAGATATGGAGAACATTCAAGACCTGTCCCAGTCTCTAGGTGATGATAGTTCTGGAGCTTTAAGTTTAACAGAATTCCAATCACTGGGAAATGGTCCAGGATCTGATGGATCAGTTATAACAGGTAAGAGTTTGGTTTAACACAAAACTTTCTTTTATAATAGAATGGTAGAAATTAATAACGATTTTAATGCAATAATTATTGTTTATGATGAAGTGACACTAGAAATATATAAGCTCATTATGGCATGGTCTTAAAATACTTAAAGCTAAAATTAATATATTAGACAAATGTCACTGAAGAATGACTGTAACACAGAGTTACATAGCCTTTAGTCAGAGGCTTTGGGAGATCAGAATGGGAATCACTGCAGTGCTGTGGGACACTGGAGTTCTCAATAAAGTTTTCCTGTTGAATCTGGGTGTTTGCAAGTCTTTTAGCAGGAGAGCCATTTGAAGTAGTTTACTGTTAACCTTTTGGTTGGTTTGCATTATGCTTTGTTTTGGGGGGGTTCTTCCTTTAGATCAATTCCCAGCTTGTGATCCCTATTTCACCTTGGAATAATAGAGCAGAGGCAGTTGAAATGAACAGTGTGGGTTTGAAGGGAATGGGGAGAGCTGCCTTCTGGCACTATGGACTGAAGGAATGTTTCTAGAACTATGATTTTGTTCCCTTTTGGTTGCAGACCTTCTCATGAGAGAGATGCCTTGTACAGGAAAAGTTATGATGTGCTTTATGTGTCTGTGTGCTTGTTAATAACGTGGTCCTTCAGAGGCAGGAGGCTTTACAATTATTTGAGTGTAGGTGTGTACAAGGCCTACAATAATTTAGATCAGCTTCTACTGTCACCTTCTCATGGACTATTCAGTGCTCACTGCAAAAAGGCCTGGTTTTGTGGTCAGAGAACATGCAAAATGTAAACTTGCAAGGCTCAAATTCCATAAGGCAAGTAAAATGAAACAGCACTTTTAAAAAATCCTGGGGTTTAGGCTGTTCTTGATGACTCTGATGCCTGTGGGCTTGGCAGCACTGGCAATGGAGACTCTGCGTTCCGTGCCAAGGTTTTTTTTCCAACATAATACTTGCTGACCTACATTCATGAGTGTTTCTTAATCTGTCTGTTAAAATAACACACCCATTAATTTGCTGAAGTCTTGTGGTGCAAGTTGCAAGATGGAAGATAAAAGAAATTCTGGCCTCAGAAAATATTTTCCTCCAACAAGGTGGAAATATTAATTGAAATAATTAAGGTTGGAACGTGTTAGTTTTGTAATGTGTTCATCTGCTGGTGGCACGTCTGGCAAGTTGGTTTCATTGTACAATTCAGAAATGCTTTGCCCATTAGACAAAAAACACAAAATATCTGAGCCAGGCTGCTTTAGAAGTAGGCATTTGTGTTACAAAATGTTCCTTTTAACATCTGTACAGCCTTTCTGCTGATGCACAGGACTCTTCCATCTGCTTTTCAGCCCTGAGTTTAAGTTCTCATTTAAAATTATGAGTAGCTTTTCAAAGGTCTGGGGTCCTTGTGTGTGTCTGAAGTGTATCTGTGTGAGGTAAGAACGTGTCTCTTGTGGTGCTGCAGCAAGAGATTCCCTGCTCATCCCTGCAGCACAAGAGATGGAAGATGTGAGGCCAAGATGAGCTGTTCACAACCTTTCTGCAAAGAGCATGGTGTGGTGTGTATTTATTGGGTCCATTCTCACCCAAAAAGTTCTTCCTGCCAGAGTCACTTCAGTAAGGCCTTTTCCTTATTGACATGCCATGTCACATCAGAATTAGCAAGGTGCACCCTGTATTTTGTGTGTGTTTGCACTGGAAATATGAATTATTTTTCAAAGAGTTATGATCAAACTGTTAGTTCACTTAATGACTATTAACACAGGATTTTTTTTTAGATTAAGCTCATTCTTTGTGTGGTTGTTAGTATAGAAACTGTATCAATCTTGATAGTATAGTATTTATGAAGTGTTCCTTTTTTTTTTTTTAGACACCCTTTCACCAGCATCCAGTCCTTCATCCATTAATTTTGCCACAGCTCCAGGTAGCATAGATGAATCACCCAGTGGAGCACTAAACATTGAATGTAGAATTTGTGGGGATAAAGCCTCAGGCTACCATTATGGAGTACATGCTTGTGAAGGTTGTAAGGTACAGTCATAATTTTCTTCTTAAGAACATAAATCATGTTACTTTATTTATGGGGTAGTATGAAGATAAACATTTGCTGCATAAATGTTTCATTGCTGTAGCTCCAACCATTACAATTCCTATCTGTGGTCTTTTTTTCTGAAGTAAGTCATCCAGACACCATAACTCAGACCTTCATCAAGCAGGAGCAATTCACAGTGATAACTTTAATACTCCTTTTCTGCATGTAGTTAGGGAAACACTAAAACAAAACACTAAACTGTGATTTAAAAAAATATCAAAGCCTTCTTGCTCCACTAGCATTTTATTTGTGTTGGGAGGATGCCTGGGAGGAGTATGCCACATTCCTGTTATAACAGCACCAAATCCCAAATTTCTCACCTCCCCCACATGCTGCCTGAATCCCTTAGTCCTGTACCTCTTGTAGTTTTGGGGCCAGGGCATGTCTCTGGCACAAATTACTCTTATAATTAATGCATAATTCTTGAGATTATAAGACCCATGAACTATAAGATTGTTTTCTTTTTCCTCTGAAGTTTTAGATTTTTATCTTTTTTTCTATATTAGAAAGTAACAGGAGAGAACTAACGCTCTTTGTGTACAGCTTTCTTTCATGCATCATGTCAGTAATGATCATTTGAATGTAAATCTTATGGAATAATGCAGAATATTAGAGATGGGAAACCAGTTCCTGGCCAGGTGTGTCCCACAGCCTAAATGTCATGTTGCTCTGTGATGTGACACAGAATGTTGAGATGGCTCTGGATTTGCTGTCCCTGTGGCTGGACAGTGTGTGAGCAACCTTGCATTGCACACTGGAGACATCCTGGAAAGAGCAGTTGAGCTAGAGGTTCTACAATAAATGGTAAAAGAATAAATAAAATTACCTGTATGATTGAAGCTTAGTACTCAACATTCATTAACATTATATATTGGTTTTTTTCAAACTTTTTATAGGGCTTTTTTAGAAGAACAATTCGTTTAAAACTCATCTATGATAAATGTGATCGCAACTGCAAAATTCAGAAAAAAAATCGTAATAAGTGCCAATACTGTCGTTTTCAGAAGTGCCTTTCAGTTGGAATGTCACATAATGGTAGGTAAGAGTGCCCTTAATTTGTTTGTTCCTACCCAGAGTCTGCTGCTGGAGGCAGGCACTTGGATAGCATTTTTACTCACACACGTGAATTGAACCTCAGATTTTTTACAGGATAGGTTGCTGTGGGGGATGCCAGTTTCCCTGCTGGGTTCATGTGGTTGATACAGAGCTGCCAAATGTGCTGTTATGAGCTTTACACAGTTCTGCTACCTCTCACTTTGTCCATATGAATGTTCATTTATTTGCTTTCTTCACCCCAGAACTTTGGCACCAGTACTCCCATTGAAACAAATTTCAATACTGGAAGAATTCTGATTGAGGATTTTGTAGAAGAGTAGGAGGAGAACAACTGCTTTCATTGTGAGGGGGAGTGATGTAGGATAGAAATCTTTAGGAAAGCAGCCTTCATTATTTTTCAGGTTACAGTGCAACAGCGCTTGGGCAGATGATTCAGAAAGTGGGGAGGGAGGGCAAAGGTCTGTGCTGACTGTGCAACAGGAATCTGGTAGGTTGTTTGTTAAACAGAATGGTTTAAAATTCAGAGCATTTAGATATCCAGCTTAAAAGTTATGTTGTTGTTTGTGCTAGTGATTTAAGATAAGGGTGGCAAGCTCGTGGCTTACAGACCAATTCCAGCCCACGAGGCAGTTCTCTGTGCAGGACACAGCTTGCTGAGCAGCCCTGGTGAGGAGGGAGAGGCCAAGCCATGAGAAAGCACATCTCACCTGGCCAGCTGACAGCAGATTGCCCTGCTTGGCTCTGATATTGTCCAGGCTGAACTTGGGGGCAGGCACAATGTGAAAGTATGTAAAAACACTGGGATAGGTGAAAAGCTGTGGGTTAGGAGACAAATTTCCTAAGGAAACTATGCAGTCGGGATAGGTGGGATGGGAACACAACTGGGGAAGCTGCTTGTGACATTGTAGTCTCGAGTCCCAGCAGGAGGCATTGTGAGAGTTTACCTTCTGGTTCTGCAGAAGAACCAGAAAGAAAGAAAGGAACCAGAAAGAAAGAAAGAAACCAGAGTTGACTTTCTGGTTCTGCAGAAGCCTGGCTCTCTTTTTGTGAGCCTTGAGTGAGATTGAGGTGCATTGGGAGAGGGTTGGTAGTCTCTGCAAGACTGGGGATAACCATCCTCAAAAAGTGTGCTGGACAACAAAGTGACATCTCAGGTTGGGAGCTGAGCAGGGATCTGTGCTGGTTGGCAGGAACTGACATCCATGTGAAGCTGTTCCATCCTGCTAAAAACACTGTGGCCACCTGTGCTCCAGTTGAAGGGAATAGCCACAGTTTTATTGCAGCATGGGAGGCATGCAGGGGAAAGGGATGACTGCTAACTTGCTGGCAATACTTCTCAGGAAGAGTGCTACAACTAAATTTACACCCATGATCTTAAAACTGTAAGTTTTAGTTTAGAGCAGGTATTCTTCCACATTTTCAATAGGTTGGTGTGACCACCCACCCTTAAGGGGAAGGCAGCACCTGAGGCAGATTCCAAACAGGCTTTCCTTGTTGGACTCCCATTGAAGTGCACAGCTGTATTTCAGATCATGCCTAGAGTCACCTCTTTATGTCATGAGAAGACCCCTGGGCACTGATGGTTGAAGGGCTGATGGTTGAAGGGCTGATGGTGTTCATGCCTTGGATTCCTCAGTGTAGGCAGTGAGGTCCTGTCCTCACGGGTTGGATGCTGAAATGCAGTACAAGCAAATGACTGTATGAGCCACTCAAACCCTTGCACACCTCCCAAGGGTAAAATGGGGCTGGCTTAGCTTGAAACTGAAACTGAAGAAGGATGTGGACATGCCCATGAATAGCAAGGCCACTTGCCCAAAAACCAGGAGATCTCCATACCCAGAGGTGTTTCAGACTTGCATCTTCTGCCTCTTGGAAGAACATCCCAGTGGCTAGGTTGGGTATTCAGACTGTTCTCCTCTCCAGTCTTGAAGGGCTGCTCTGTTGAGAAAGCAGTTTGGAGTGCTGAGGATGGAGGAGATTTTGTTGCCTACAGCCTTTGAGCTGTAAATGCAGGTCTTGGAGCTGGGGTTCCCACTGGCAGTACAGATGTGCTGAATGAAGAACTGGATGGCCCTGCAGGTTGAGGCAGCAGTGGGATTCAGGCCTGACTCCACTGCAGCTCTCCAGCTCGTGTGTGCGCTTCCTGCCAAGCTCCTGTCATGAGTTCACTTAGTGTTTAAGAGCTCCCAAGGTGGACTTTGAGTTTCACACTGGCAGCTGTAGAACTCAGTAAGGAGAAAACAAAATACAAGTGTATTTAGGTGATACAGAAGGGAAAAGGAATGTGTTCTAGCCCACTGGAAATGGCATTTTGTGTTCTGAAACACCTGATTTCCTTCAGCCTAGCATATTAGTCACTGACTGTGTTGGGAAGGGACAATGTCGTCACCTCTACCTCAGTTTTTCTACACAGAAAAATCTCACTGCTCTGATCAGCAGTGGTAAAAGGCTTAAGTTCTTGTATAATTTGTGTTTGTTTTACAATTATGTCTTCCCATCAGCAATACGTTTTGGACGAATGCCAAGGTCTGAGAAGGCCAAGCTCAAAGCAGAAATTCTAACAGGTGAAAATTATGTAGAAGACTCAGAAATGGCAGATCTCAAATCACTTGCCAAAAGAATTCATGAGGCCTACCTGAAAAACTTCAATATGAACAAGGTTAAAGCCAGAATCATCCTTGCAGGGAAAACCAATAACAATCCAGTAAGTACTTTTTCTGTTACTTTAAAACAAAACTGACAGGTATGTAAGGTGATTGGAATAATTTGGTAGACACTTTAGCAAATCTTTTAGAAAATAAATGTAATGGTAATACAGATGTGAAATATTCAAAGCAAATATCTGTAGTAAATGTGGTTGCTTTTAACCACTATCAGAATAGTAAGAAGCTTTAGGAAAATCAGGTGATTACCTTGTGAATGGAAACTCATAACCCTAAATTATTGTCCTGAATCAAAAATGAAGTGATATCTGAATGTGAATACCTCTTGTTATGGGGAAAACAGTTCAAAATTATTTTCCTATTATGACAGTGAAAAAAATGCATTTTTCTGTCACAAATGCCAGGATAAGTACTATTAGCTTGTATGGTGTACATGTCCTCTGCATGACTTTTCCTTTAATCAGAATAATATTTATACCAGGAGGGGAAAGAAAACTTGAGTTTGTAATTTTTTGTTTACAGTGCTGGCCATGTCCTCACCCAGCCTTCCTGGTCTTTTCTGTATGGTTCCTTTGAAAGGCAGAAGCAAGCAAGGTTGTGAAGACACATTTGCTGTAGAAGTTATTTTTCTTTCAGGGTAATTTAGCCAAGGTCTTCCTAATTTGATCAACTGCTTTTTGTTTAGTAGCACATGGGAGAGTATAATTGATGTAAGGACTCGCTTGTTTCACTTTATGCATATTTATTTAAGCTCCACTGTGATTTTTGTTACTTTTATGTAGAAGATAAGTATCTTATTTTATCAGCAACTTCAGTTTCAGTAAAAATTTGCAGGGAAGAAACTTTACATATGCCATAATGAAAACCATGTAAGTGTGGGGATGAGTGTTATCAAAATGGTAAGCAAGCTGTCTTCTGCATTATGGAATTTGGCATATAATAGTCTAGTATAGTCTAGCCTACAGCTTTCTGAATTAGAAGAGAGGCACATGAATTATCCCAGTCTCTTTTATTGGACTAAAGAGGTGTGTAAAATGAGGCAGAGGCTTAAACATTTTAGGGGTACAGGCTGATGTGAGCCTGCAGTAAATACCATCTTTAGCTTCTCAGTGAATGGGCTTCTGCAGAAAATCAATGTTGTGCTTGTTACCCTGTGCCAGAACCATAAGCCACAGCTTGTGTCACATGCAGGGATGGATCCTAGGCAGTTATTCCCAGTTCTTGGATGTGAATGTGTCCCACAGCCACGGGACTGACCAGCCAACAGTGACCAGCACGTGTGTGCCTGGGTGAACATGCACATGAAAATTAATGAAGAATCAGCCCTAGGATGTTGCAAACAGGCTGCTATCAATTTTTTCCATGTGCAGGGAAGAGCAAAGGGGTTTTAGGCTATTTCATCATCTCTTAAGAAAACAAACATTTTCATTTTCTTTTGACTTTTCAGCAGAAAAGCAAATTTTAAAAGAAGGGGTTTTTTGATTGTAATTAGCAACCCACCTATTTCAGAACTGTGCATTAACAGCTAATTTCTGTGAATCCTAATTTTTTGGCACCACTACAATTAATTTCAGAATGAATGAGCATTTTTCATGATGACACAGTGTCACTTTATAATTTAGCTCCCAAGTCCTTAGCCATGCCTCTTTTCTGCATACTGAAATGATGTTAAATTTTTTTTAAAGTGTATAAGATAGTGTACATCTTTTAAAGGTTTAGACATGTGTTGTGTTTCTTGCTTTGCCACTTTCCACTCCTATCCACCTTCCCATGGAAAGTTCTGCTCTGTGTAGCTGTGCTGGAGTGAGATGAAATGTGCAGTAGCCATAAACATTTTAAAATGGAAAACCATGGGAACCTGACCTGTTGGACAGTTTTCTGAAGGAAACAATCGAATCCTATGAATTCCTGACACAACACTCTGTGTTTCCCATGCTATTTAATTTGAGCTGAGCAAAGCAGCACAAGGAAGGTGCTTGGTGTGTATGGAACTAAGTTTCTGTTCAAGGTCAGTTGCTGTGAGTTTACTAGGCTGGTTGTCATTTTTCTTTAGTGGATTATACTTCATTTTGGTTGTTGATATATATCAAATATATCAAAATATTTTTGATTTCTGATTGTTCATAAGAAAGTCTGAATGCTGCTTTTGATAATGATGTTTTAAGAGAGCTGCTCACCTGTTTGTAAAGCTTGTACCTTTCAAAACAAATGGGATTATGGAAAAGACCAAATTTTGTGCTTGGCATTCTCATGGGATTCTCTGTTTAGAGATGACTCAGCACCAACTGCAGTTAGAAAGTTGGGACAACTGGGGCATTGTCTATGACAATCTGATAATAAAACTCAAGAGAATTGCAGGGTTCACATTCTTATGCAAATATGCTGCCCTGTATTGAAATTACTGCCTGTATTCCCCCTAGGGTACTTCAGGAAAGCATCATGATGTGCATCAAGTGTAGTTAGTTTAGGAATCAATAGGAGAGTAGGCAGAATATCCTGGACCTCTGGAGAAGGTAATGCAAGTCTTTTGTGAACCCTCTGGGACTGGCTCTGAGATGGATTTGTGCATGCCAAACACAGGAGTGCAGGAGCTTCGCTGTAACTATTAGAAAAAACTAAATTAAAGATATGCCATACATCTTTACATTTGACTATTTGCATTGCTGTTTGCAGAGCAGATTTGTTAGGCATTGCAGTTTGTCATACACTGTTTGTCTTGATGAGAAGTATGAAAGAGCTCAGGGTTTATTGATAGCTGAGGACTGATTAGCATGGAGTTAAAGTTTAGCAAAATTCTTATTTTTTAGGAAGAGAACGATTAATAACCATTATTTAGTGACTGAACTCGTGGGTTTTTTGTCTCTGTAGCCATTTGTTATACATGATATGGACACCTTATGTATGGCAGAGAAGACCCTGGTGGCAAAACTGGTAGCCAATGGGATTCAGAACAAGGAAGCAGAAGTTCGAATCTTCCACTGCTGCCAGTGCACGTCTGTGGAGACTGTCACAGAACTCACAGAGTTTGCCAAATCCATCCCTGGCTTCTCCAACCTGGACTTGAACGATCAGGTGACACTATTGAAGTATGGGGTGTATGAAGCCATATTTGCCATGTTGGCCTCTGTGATGAACAAGGACGGGATGCTGGTGGCTTATGGGAATGGATTCATAACCCGGGAGTTCCTGAAAAGCCTGAGAAAGCCATTCTGTGATATAATGGAGCCAAAATTTGATTTTGCAATGAAATTCAATGCACTGGATTTGGATGATAGCGATATATCCCTTTTTGTTGCTGCCATTATTTGCTGTGGAGGTAAGCATTACCCATTACCCATTAGTTCTCTAAGGTAGTAAATTTTATTTCCTTCTCGTGAATTAAAAATTTTAATGGAAAAGCTTCTATCCTCTGGAAGATTCAGTTCTACCACTAACTACACTTTGAGGAATCATTACAAAATTATGACATGTATTCTTTTGCTTGTTTTGAGAACAGATCGTCCTGGTCTTGTAAATGTAGGACACATTGAAAAAATGCAGGAGAGCATTGTGCATGTACTGAAACTTCACTTGCAAAACAACCATCCTGATGACACCTTCCTCTTCCCAAAACTTCTCCAAAAAATGGCTGACCTCCGACAGCTGGTCACAGAGCATGCTCAGCTTGTTCAGATAATCAAGAAGACTGAATCTGATGCACATTTACACCCTTTACTACAGGAAATCTACAGGGATATGTATTGAGGACTTCTAGTATTTTTTTCCACAATATTTAAAGACAGAGAAATACAGATGGGAGCAAAACTACTTGTACAGTCATGGGCTGTTCACTCAGCCCAGAGCAGGAAAAATCTAAAACTGGGGAACTGGAGTGTTACACTTCTTTTGGTTTGGGATCTTTTGTCTTCTTTTGAAAAAGTGCTGCAGAAAAATACTGGTCAGAGTGCTCAATGAAGTGTCTTACAATGGTTCTTTTATTTGGAAATTTGAAGATTGGTAAGGAATACATATTTGTATAATAAATCAGAATGTTAAGTAACAGAATGAACAAAATTGTATTTCCTCTTGGTTTAGTCATTTTAGTATTAATATGAAAATTCAGCACCTTCCTTCCAGGTATCTGCACAATCAGAAAGACAATGCACTTTTGCCTAATGGTAACTACTGAGAACCAGCTAACACTTTTTCTTAAAGCATTCAGTCTAGGTGTAGCAAATGGCTGGATATTACTGTCCATACACTTCTAAAAATTTGGAAAGATCTTTGATCCATTGTTGCTTTAATTCCATGAAATTGTGTACAGCTTCATCTAGGGTTGCACTGGCATACTTAGGGTTAGCATGTTTAAAAGTTCTCTTATGAAATTAAACAAAATCCAAAGAGTTATCTAAAACACAGCAGAGATGCTCCAACAGGTGTGTCTTGAAGAGTAAACGTGATAAACTGATGGGACCTTTTTGTTTCAGAAGTCTGTTAAGGAAATGTGAAAATATCACTGATGAAAAAGATGTCGTATACCCTGTATTTTTGTAGAACTTGTAATAGCTCAGGATGCAGTTTTGACATAAGAATACTATTTTAAATTAGCAAGAGTTATGGAGAGACTGAAAAATCTGATCCTACCCCAGGAAAAAAAAATAATTTTAACTTTCCAGCAATGATACTGCACTCTACTGCAGTGACAGATGACTCCAAAGGAATGATTGGATAGGAAAGGCACCGGCTTCCTCTAAATCTCTTGGCAGTATAATTGTTTGGACCTGTTTGCTTTTCACACTGCTTCATTTTTTACCCACTTGGAAAAATTTCTATTGCTTCTTCGGCCTCATGGATAGAAGTATTTGGTGCTTGTTTTCACCAGATTTTGTCCTTGTGGATAAGGTGGCAGTAATACCAGGAGCAGTGTTTGTAGGTGTCAGACTGTGTCACAGAATGGAAGGCAGCACAGATGAGAGTTTATCGTGTTCCTAGGAGTAAACTGATTTTTACCACAGCATTTGCTGTTCTCCTGCTGCAAAAGAAGCCACAATGAAATGGCTTCCTGACTTTGCCACTTCATGGATCTTTTCTGAGGAAGCTGCCCAGAAATTCCAGCTGCATGCAAGGCACTCTGCTGTTTCTCTTTCGTTTCTCTGATATGGTTACTTCACATTATTTTTACTTTCTGTTTCACAACAATGAGGTCTCAGGAGCAATCCCAGCATTTTCACTACAGTTAAGCTTTCAGTGGCACAGGAGGACACTTTGGACTTGTTTTATTGCAGCACATTTGAAGGCACCTGAATCTTCACTGCATGGATTGAGTGATGAAGTGAGAACATCACACTGCCATTCCTGTTTCAGTGGCAATGCTTGTTTCTGTCCAGGCCCACAGGCACAGCTGGACACTGGAAAAATTACAGGTTTAAAGGCAACTTGGTGTTTATCTGGGCAATGATTGTGGCAGAAGTTATAGATAACTACAGATATGTTTAGAGTAAAATATTGAAGCACAGGCCTCAAATTTGGTGAGCATCTAGGGCAGGATAGAAATAGTAACTGCATGTGCCCAAAACTTCCTCCCCTTCCCTGTTGCCAGCAGGAAGAACACTCAAACACTCAGAGAGGAATGTTGGTCTTGCCAGGAGCCCTCAGATGAGAAATGGGCTGCCTTTTGTGTCCCAGAGCAGCACACAGTGTGCCCTCAGAAACAGAGGATTTTAGGAATGCTGCTGCTTTATTCTTCCAGCCAGCCCTGTTTCACTGAGGAGCTGTGGGGTTTGGGCCAGGGAAAAAATTGATCTGCGATATTGCTGATGCAAGAAGTTGTCAAAATATCAGCCATTCTGGGATGGTGTTCTGAGACTGGAGGAGCCAGTTAGTTTGCTCTCTAAAAAAATGATAACTTGAATTTTTTTCCCCCCCAAAGGTCAGATTTTTTGCAAAGGGCAACATTCAAAGTTGAATTTCAAAGTTGTATTTCAAAGTTGTATTCCATAGTCTAGGTGTACTGTAGGTTCTCAGGAAAAATCAGACACAGTCAGTGTGCATAACTATTTTCCAGCTCTTGTTCCCAAAAGTGGCTAAAACACTTTAGTAACACTTTAAAACATGGAAAATTAATAATAAATACTTAAATTCTCAGCAAAGCTATAAAGAATTGCAAATTGATTTCTGTTTTAAATTAAATTGCAGACCCTTAATGAAAAAAAAAAAAAAGGAAAGAAAGAAATAAAGAGAACACATCTCTGAATTACAGAAATATGAACAAGATGTTAACACAGCCTAAAATTCTGGATGGATTCCACTGCCCACACTGCTGTCCCGTGCACATTCCCACAGTCACTTCAAAGAGTGGCACAGGGCAGACAATTCCCTTCCCAAGAATTAGTGGGCAAAAGAATTTCTCATTTCTACATTACACTTTCAAGGAACTACATTTGCTCCTTCAGGAGATGACTACAGCAGATTTTGCCCAAGGAGATTTTAAAGTTATTCAGTTTATGTCCATTTTTTTTTTTAGTTTGGAATCCAAACTAGTCTCAGACCTATTTCTGATTGATTACTTCAGCATCTTCCCTATGTGCAGATAAAGTAAAACTTTAAAATACCCCATCTATGGAGGGAAGCAAAGTGATCAGATTTTAGGATTCAAATGGTATTAAAGATTTAATACCTGGCTCATCAGGTACAGTTTGGATCTGATTCTTGCCAACATAACTCATTTTACTGTCATAGCATGGAAGAACTCTGGTTAGCAACCAGACCCCACGAACAGCTCAAGGCAAGAGACAGCAGATGGATAGAGAAATATCCTGGGAAACAATAGTATGACTTAAGTTTTCAGCAAACCTACAAATTACTCATTTTTTAGCATTTTTTGGGGGGTAAATTTTTATTTATTTATTTATTCTGGTGCCCTAGGTACTTTTTGTCAAAGGGGAAGTGGGGAAGAAAAGGAAGGTTTTGTGCCAAGTATAAGGGAAATCTGAGGTTCATTCTTCTCTCCTCCTCAAATATTTCCTTTAAAGCTGCTGTTTTAAAAAATTAGTTACTTTGTACCTTTCAAAATTCCAATCCCACTTTCGCTTTAAACACAAACTGACACCTGATAGGAAAATTTCCACCTACAGAAACTACACCTCCCATTGCATTTAAAGAAACCACATTTTGTCTTAGCTGCCATTTCCATGTGCCTTTGTGTTTTGGTTGCAGCAGCTGCTGCAGAGCTGAGGTGCTGGCAGCCAGCAGAGCTCTGCATTATTGTGTGCAGATCTCAGAAATACCAGCACTTGCACTAAGCCCGTTCTCATGAGAGAGCTGGCACAAGGCTGCACATCAAAGAGCTTATAATAAGCATCCAAACATTTGTTTGTTTATTCAAACTGCTGAAACTTGGGGAGATTTATTCATCACGAGAGCTGGGTCACACACGACTGAGTCTGAATTTCCTCATTTCTGACGGAAAGCCTGGACAAACGTGGGCCCCATCTGAGGCAGAGCAGCTGGGGGACATCCTGCTGTGGCTGCACAGGAACAGTTTCAGTCTCTCCTAAAAAGCTCCCTGTGACTTAACTGAAAATCTGCAACTGCATTTGACAAATGCACTTGCAGCTGTCACGGTACTGTTTAAGCATAAGGTCTGCAGATAATGGTCCCTCTCAGAAACCCCTCGTCCTGTAGGAAGTGTTGGAATGTAAGGTGGAGCGTGGTATCTGTGCTTGCTTATGTCCCAAGTGCTTTCCTGATAATCAGTTGCATATAATTTTTGTATTTAGGTTTAATCAGCTTTATTATCCTTCTTTTACTGGAGATTTGAATAATATGTGGGTTTGATCTAAGATTATTGATATTGTTATGTGTTGTGGGATTTTTTTAATTTAATGTAATACCATTTCTTCATGTTTCAATTTATAAAATACAAGAATATAAATGCAAGGTATAAAATTTCACTAAATTAATTACAGAGGTGCTTAAAGAAAAATGTGTAAATTATTTAATTTAAATATTTGTTACATACTTTATTTTGTGTACAGTGAGGAAGTAGTTCCTTTTATGGGCTAAGGATGAAGGGGCTGATGTCAAAGACAATTTGCTATTTATTCCTGTCTGGTCTTTATTGCTGTATCATTTGTGAAGAACTATCCCAAGTTCTTCAGAGTTATCAGTGTTTGGTGTTGATGATTATAACAAAACTTTAAAATATATTTTCACATAGAACACAGACTTCCTTTTATTTAATTTTAATAAAAGCAAGTCTAGTTGAGGAATAGCTGCAATCCCAAAATCGAGTTTTTAGCTCAAGTTCACCAATAGGAAAAACAGTGTGTAGAACTGAGTTGATCTTTGTTTTGCAGCATGGTAGCTCATTTTCCTTTGAAAAGAGCTAAAAAGAAGCTGCATTTGGTTCGTGCACCAGTGCTGGTGTTTTCTGTGGAACTGACTTATGGCTCACTGGGAATAACAACGTGTACTCAGGATTATTCCCTGCCATCTGCCCCGAGGGCAACCTGCTGTTTTATAGATGTATTTCAAACGTGATTTGGCAGTGCAAAACAAAACCTTGAAATGGCATTATTGGCTTCCCTACAGGAGGGGTTTTAAACAGAATTCAGAGTTTGCTTGTAGGGATTCTGTGTCTGGTGCATGCAGGTGTGACAGTCTGTGCCTACAGCATCCTTCTAAGGAAATCCGATATAGGGAAAAAGGTACCTTTCAAAGGTATCTACCTTTTATTTTGCTGTGTGAATCACCAAACACAGAAGGTATCACAAGCACAATCTATTACAAGTGTTCTAGCTATTGTTTGTACTTACTGCTTTTTCTTTGTAACATATAACATTTTATTTCCTTAAATTGCTGCAACTTGGCATTTTCACTTCATCAGTGTCACCACACAGGTATGTTGTCTCCTAAGGTGTTTGTGTCATGTTTGCCAAAGCTCTGCTGGGCTTCCCTGAGGCTTCCTGCAGCCACTTCCTTTACCCTGTCACTTCATATGACACAAACCCACTGTGTAACTGAGCCCACCCTAAGGAAGGCTGCTTCCTCCTTTCTTTTATTCCATTGTGCTCACAGGTTTTTTAAATCTTTTTCTGCCTCTGAAGCTGGGGTGTGTTTTTTCTCGAGCTCCTTTATTGCGTCAGTCTGGTCAGACTCCATTGCTGTGGATGTTTCGAAACAGAATTCCTGTTGCAAGGACCTCAGTTTCAGATGAGCTGCCTCTGCCAGGGGATAGGCAGCGTGCACAAGAGACTGATCTGATCACAGGCTGGACCTTAAATAAGGACTGCAAGATCAAGCATGAGGTACTTGAGGTAGTTCCACTACTTGAAGTCGTAGTAATGTTTTGGTGTATTTTCTCACGTTGGGTATGCAGGTAATCCCTGGTGTGGAAAAGACATCTGCCTTATGCTCAATGCCAGGAGTTTCGTGGCATTTTTTCCACCTGAAAGAAAAAAAGATTGGCAGGATGTGGAAGTCCTGAGCCACTGAAATCCCGGTGGCACACCAGTCCAGCGTGGTACTCCGGGTGTGTAGGAGTGCAGTGTCACCAGGCAGCCTGTGTGGGATGTGCTGCAGAGCTGGGAGCAGGTCACCACCCCTCCTGCAGGTGACTCACAGCCACCCCTGCTCATCCCCACACACAGCAGCTCTCTCCATGGAATCCCAGTGCCTTGGCTCTGGGCAGAGCAGGAGCGTGCCCGGGTCAGTTACTGCTGCAGCAGTTTAACTGTGAACCCAACCAACGTTTCCGTGCTATCGGCGAGCTCCAGAACCCCCTCTGAGGGTTTGACAAGTCTGCTTTAGCAGCTTCTCAGGAACCTGCTTCCTGAGCAGCTCCTGCTGTTCCACAGCTCTTACAAACAGTTGCCCAGAATTATCTCGAGGAATGCAGCACCACAGCTTCAGTGGCCCAGGATGATGAAGCCCTCCTTCACGTTTTAAATGATTTGTTATCTGGTAGGATTCAAGGAAAGTACAGTGTTGTGGATGTTGCCAAACCCTAATCAATAGAGCTAACAAGTGTTTCAATGAATCAAGATATCAATATTAAAGAGAAAACAAAACAGCTTGTTGCTTCCAGTCAGCTGTTTTGGGTACATTTTACTTCAGTAAATACAGAATGTAGAATGAGCACATTTCTTGCAAGGAGTAGTCAAACCTAATTCTCATGGAATGCTTGTTTCCCAGTAAAAACCACTAATGCAAGCCAAGTTCCCAAGTTTCCTTCTGTTAGAACAATGCAAATGACACTTCCAAGGATGAATGGATGCCCTGGTCTTGCAGGGATTTTTAGGAAGGACAACATATCTTGCACTTGTGAATGTTAAAGTCACATCTAGCTACACACAATGATGCATTCTCAAACGTTACCAGCCTTCTGATCTAGGATGAAAAAACTTGAACTTAACATGTTTTTCTTTTTTACATTCTGATTTTTTCTGCCTTCTTTAAAAACAAGAGGTTGAATTCACAGTGTTTGTATAGAGACTGGTAGGAACCTATGTGCTTTAATCCTTTCAGACTGAATGTAAACCAACTTAATTTGAAACACGGTTTTGCCTTAATGGTTTTAAAAAAATAAAATATTTTTAAAAGTTAATTTAATGACATGTGCTGATCTTTTATCTCCAGGAAAGGAACTCACTGCAATATGACATTCAAAAGGCAGCCTGTTTGAAGCATCTTCAAGTACTGATGCTTCCCTGTGTACTGTTAGATGCCTTTTGAAGCAGGAGTGGGTGTGTCACATAACCCAGAGGCATTGCAAATACATTTATTTATATATATTACCTAAGTTTGGTGCTGACCCACCATCCAGCTGTGATCTTTCATATTCTCATGGAGTGTATGGCTGCTTTGAGACATCCATGGAATTCAACAAGTGCACTTCTATGTGAAACGCAGCACTAATTCAATGAGCACACCTTCAGTTAAATCAGTCAGGGAAGTATGTCACAGGTAGCTGCTTTCCTTCCAGAATCTGGGGATATTTTAGGCTGGTAACAGAGTGCTGAAGTGGAAATTATAGCAGAAGAAAAAGACTGGTTTCTTCATCAGCTGTGCTCAGGAGCATGGAAGATCTGATATTGAGCAGCAGAAAGTACTTGAAGACCCCAATGAAAACAAGCTGTAAAGGCTGTGCATCCATGAAGAGCAGGAAAAGCTGGGCATGGTAACATTCAGGCTGTGAAATCACATATATATTAAAATATGATGGTACTGAGACCATAATGCTCATGTTCAGTGGAAATCCAAGAATGTGGAATAACTAAGTTCTAACAGCTGGACACAGATAATAATCCATTGTCATTCCAGGAAATACCAAGTGGCACATAGGGCAGTCTCCCTTCCCTGAAGCATAGACCAGAGATACCAGAACACATCTGCTGTCCCTCCGTGTTCTGGCTTTTCTACCAGGTCTTCACAGCCAGGTAACTGTGTAGCAGAGGCATCCCTGAATTAGTTTTTCCTGCTGTAAAATAAATGAGCTGTGCTGAGCCAAATTAAATCTTATGTAGTTTTTCTCTGAGGTTCTGCTCCCTTTTAATACTGAGTCTTTTCCCCTTTCAGTTCAACATAACAAGTACTTAAAGGCATGGAGATTTCTGAGGGCTTTAAATGACTCCTCAGTTATATTGTAAAGGCAAAGATAATGGTTATGAATAAATGAGATAACTGCTTTTGTCTTAAAAGGGCACAGAGGAAGCTGAGCAGGAGGGAAAACAGGTCAGACAGATGAGATCCCAATCTCACTGACAACAGAACTGCACTAGGCAGGCTTTTAAAACCTGCTTTTAAGAGTACAATCTGTCGTGAACAATGGGAAATCCAGCAAAAAACACATTTCAAGGTATGTTTGCTGGTGTAAACATATCCTGTGATCTCACACAACCATGTTGCTTTGGCAGCTTGATTATAAGACTACAATTCCAAGGTGGGAAAGTGCTCTCTTCAGCTGTGGGTTTAGCACAGGACATGCCTCTGATGTTTATACAGAACAGACACAGACACACCACAGCTTTTAAACAGTGTTCCTAATGTGAAACTGAAATCTAATACCACCCATCTTACATAAGTTTAGTATCACTTTCCCTGAAAGTGTAGTCTTTTGTAACTGCAAAAAGGAATCTGAAGTGTTGCTTCCTAACTTGGGTCTTTTTTTTCGCATTTAGAGACATACATATATTTTATTTATTAAAGCACTTAGGGCTTGAAAAGGCTACTAATAGGTCCATTATTGCTCCTCCAGTCACTGCAAGAAATTTCAGTCCTGAACGGAGGGCACCAATTTATTAAGTTCAGAAAAAAGAAAGATTTTAGGATACTTCAATGTCCTAAACAACTCATTGAAATACTGTTGATTTCTTTTAACAAACACAGGTTCATTCTACTGAAATGATTTTTGATGTTGTCCTATTACAACTTATATGGATGGAAGTGTTGGAAAAAAGAGATGTTCACCAAGGCACTAACAGGTTCTGAAGCAATGACCAGCAGTAACTTGAGTAAAAAAGGTGATGTTGGGATTAGGGAGCATTCTAGATGTATCCTTAAGGCGTGATTCAGGTTTTATAAAAGCCACCTAAATCTTAAGACAGTCAAAACAGATAACTGAAGAAGCTAATTTTTGAGCTAAACAAACTGCTGTTTCCATTGAACTTCTTACCTTTGTTACCTGAAACTGTGTTTCTGACATCCCTCTTACAGCTGCAGTTTATTTGTCGGGTTCAGAAAGAATTTAGTGTATCAATGTAACTTTTCTATTTCCAGATTAACTGCTTTGAAAGTGAAAAAGAAGTCACCTTTATTGTAAAACATAAGACAAATGTATTCAGGGTCCTCTCCAGCTGCTGTGCTGACATGGACTGGAAGGTTAAGTGAAAAGTGACTGCAAGTGCAAGGGACTTGTAAATATTTTATTGATTGCAGAAGCACCAACCTTCAAAGTCTCAAGGCACAATGCTGTGATAGCATTAAGATTACCACATTGAGAAATTTAGGTATTATATTTATGACATTTTCTCACAGCACTTCTATTTTAGACTTAAAGCTTTAAATTCCCTGCCTTATGTAATCTTACAGGACAGCACTGCCAGATTAACAATTGGTGTACACTGACTTTCTTGGGTATATCCTGAATTAAGCCAGATCAATCTGTTTTGGAATTTCATAACACCACAGGGAGTGTCAAGAACAACACAAAGCACTAAAATAGCAAATGTGGAAATCTGGACATGGTTCCTATGCTCTGTGCTGTTTGGTTTCTGACTGCAAGCATTTCACATGGTGACAGCAGGCTCGTCTGCCTCCTTTCCTGGCTCCTCAGCACCTCGGAGCCGCTCCCTGGCGCTGCACGGGGATGTCTGAACCCCAGCCAAGGGCAAGGAAATGTGCTGCTCTCTCTGGTAGTAGTGAGCTGATGAAGGTCACTTCTTTAAAAGGAGCAACTTGATAGTCTCCAAGCAGAGAGAGGAGAAACCCCAGCCAAAGAACTGTCGCTCTTGGACCTTCAAGATTTATGTTTTGTATCCATTTTTTTTTGCAGGATTTCTGCTGGGGCTTCCTTTCATCCATGTCTTCTTGTATTTCCAAAGGAAAGGCCTTTAGCTTTTCTTTCACACAGGGGAGGCAGAAGCTTTTGGAGTAGAACAGACTACAGTCCTGTAAAGAAAATAAAATTACTAGCAGGAAACACAAAATGGAAATGCTTACGTTCCAGTCACATTAAACTACATTTATATTTAGAATTCTTCTAAAATGAATTCTTCTTCTTCTAGGCTGAAATATTCCAGCAATTTAACTTTTTCTGACTCAATAATTCTGACATCTGGTTAGAGCCAACTGGGTGAAAAATAAAACTCCCAAATCAACTGTCCCACTGCTCCTATTAAAGTGACCTTCACCAGCTCCCTGCAGCAGGGAATAGCAACACCCCTCCTTCGGCTGCCTTCTCCTTCCAGCACCATGCATGGGTTTCCTGGCCAGCTCACTGAATTCCAAATAGGATTTCATGGGTAAGCTGCAGCTGGTGTTGCTGATGGATTATACCTGGAGAGTGAATAAAGGTGTAAGAGATTCCATGGGTTTTACTGAAACAGCAAAGTTTTCCTCTAACTCTTGCTTGATGAAGATTTCTACCTCCTGGGAGGATCTTCCAAATTCCTGCAATGGCGTGTGAGACTTGGAGCCTCAGCACACTCTTCCTCACCCATCTCCACAAAAATGGCCTGAAGGCCCACACAAGTACCAAGTACTGGAGGCTCTCACAACAGACCATCTTTTCCATAACTCCCAAAAAAGCTATTCTTACTTCCATTAATCCATGCACTTGTACTGTCCTAGGAGACTACTAAAAAGTATCACTATTATATCAGTATCACAGAGGTGTCCAATAACTGGAGTAGTTAATGAACTCCATTCATCTGAGACAATTCAAATGAGATTTCATCCCTTACTCTCAATAAATGTATTCACTGGTTAAAACCTAGAACCACACCTGGTACTAAAGCTTGAGCTAATGGCTCTTCTCTGAACTTTTGAGTGTAAAAGCTGTTGTGCATGAAGAAGGTATTTTTGCTATCCCTGTTCTGTTCACACGTCATACAGACCCAATTTTTTTTTTTTCCCCAGGAGCTGTAACCAGATGTTAGTAATTGAATAGAAAGAAGCAAAACTGACGGAACATTTCAATGTATTTGCAATATAGAGTTTGAACAACTGGAAGAGAAACTAATTAATGTATTATTCCTTTGCTCTGCAGCGAGACTTGACATCCCTGGTTCTCTTGATGTGCTGATCACCAAATTCCAAATAGGATTTCATGGGTAAGCTGGAATTGGTGTTGCTGATGGATTATTCTTGGAGATTTAAGAATGAATAAAGACATCAGTTTAGACAGAACTGGACAAATGGAATCCGTGGGTCTTACCTAAATAGTAAAGTTTTCCCCATGCCATGGTCATTTGCAGCTGGCCTTTCTCTGGGAGCTAGGCTTGGCTATTCCTGTGTTCCTCTCCTTGTTTTTGTTTCTTATGTCGCTATCTGGGCTTTAGCAGCAGATTCAGATGATAATTATATCAAAACCACAATCAGCCTGCTTCCACGTGACTTGGAAGCTTGGGGAACAACTTGTCTTCATCCATTGTCCTATTCTGCATTGACTGCCAGGCCCCTTCATACTCAGGAATGAGTGTGAGGCCTTAGTCTCTGAAAAGCCCTGCACGTGGATTTCAGTTGCACAACCTCCAGAGCCGATTGTTTTTTGTCTCTTGGTATCCTTAATACCTTAAGCTGCCAGTTTAAAAGGGGAGATTAGAGTTGCAGTTGGCCTGGCTATTGTTGCTTGCATTGCCAAATGGCACACAGCCCCCCAGCTCCAAGGCTCACTGCTCCCAAAGGTGGCCACTGGGCCATGGCAAAGGAGGGGAGAGGCTGTTCCTGCAGGTGGGATCCCCAATGTCAAAATGCAGCTCCTCACAGGTAAAACTTGCATTCTTTTGGCAGAAATGAGTTGCTAGTGCAGATTTTGGCAACAGGAACTGGGGAAATCAGGACTATGAACCACTGCACCTCTGAGCATAAACCTGTAGTCCTGCTCTCTCAGCCCTGGGATTTTCAGCCTAACTCTTTTTTTAGTGTCCTACAAATTAAACTTACCATGTAGAGTCAAACCCTTCTTTTAAACCCTTATCCTGATACAGTTCTGTGTTTAATCAGATGATTCTTTCATGTGTTTTCTCCCTTCCATGACCAAGGCAGGAGGGGGCCATTTCAATTCCAAATTTAATAGTCCAATTCTGGCAAAACAGCTGCCAAAGCATGCTGCCACAGTTTATTTCTGTTTTAACATGAATCATGTCTGAAAGTAATATATATATGGGGATGGTATCTTCACCACAATATGTAAAGGAAAGGCTCTGCCCATCCCTATCCAGGACTGACCCTGCATGACTGGAAGTTGAGTGGGAAGCAGCTGTAGTATTACATTTATCACTTAATGCCTACAATCATGTCTGAGGTCAGTGCTCAGTCACCTTCTGCTGAGGTGAGCAATAAGGGATGAAACTTGCTCCCTTCCCTCCTTTCTTCTCCAAGAGCCACCTTTTTTCCTTGTCTTTAGAAAGTGCTGCAATAAAACAGAAGTAACTATTTTAAATTACTAATATGCTCAGATTGTATAATTTCCTCTCCCCTTTTCTGAAAGAGTAATAGGAAGAAGGGCACTCAACCTGCCCAAAGACTTTTAAAAGCATTTCTATCATCTTCCTTTTTGTGTGGTTTTGACATGTTTTAAGACATTACAGATAATCACTGGAATGATTCCCAGTTGGATCAGAACTAATGGCACTTACCAAGGCACTCTGATAAAAGACTTGAGCAGGGTGACACAGGCTACAAAATGATTGAAGTAAATTAACTGAGTAAAACTTCAGAGGATATTTGGAGATATTTAAGTTTATGAAATCTATACAGAACAGCTCTAACTCATGACTTTCATTGGCACAATAAAAGGAAATGCACTTCTGCTAGCATGGGTTTTCTTGTGAAAACCCTAAAATCTGATCTGTCTCTCAAGTCCCCTTAGGTCTCCCAAAGCTAGCTAAAATCCCTTTGCCAAATCTGAGGTATGGGTTTCCTTGTGAAAACCCTAAAATCTGATCTCAAGTCCCCTTAGGTCTCCCAAAGCTAGCTAAAATCCCTTTGCCAAATCTGAGGTAAGAAAAGCCTTAATTTTGCCACACATTAGGCTAATACTATTCTGAATTACCACAATTTAAAAAGCAGCCTGTCACTAAAACCTTTCCAATTGGTCCAGTTTCTTTGCAAAGAGGCCCAAGAAAGTATTATTTTCTTCAGCTTCAATTCCTATGTTTTAACATTTAGCTCAGGAGTGAACTGATGTACTTGGGTCAAGCACAAGCAGGAACCACAGCCAATACAGAGATATTTTCTACCATTGTCTCTCTCTGTTGCCTTGGATACGTTTTTATTTCTCTGGACTTTTAATTTTCCCTACATGAAGAGGAATAGTATGTGTTTACTTACTTTGTGGTGTGGGTGTTTAAAGCACTAACTATCATTTCTGCAGATCTCTTTCAATGTTACCTAAGCAGTATTGCTAAATTCATTTTGAAACCATAGTCATATGTGTGATTCACTATCTGGCCTGGCCAGTTTGGTAAGAAATTTATTCTCAATTACTTACAATCAATGTTTTACTTTGAGTGATACCATCAGGGGAATCTTGAAAACTCAGATAACAAGCAGTAAATGACTGACAGATTTCCACAACAGGCAAAATAAGCAGGACTTTCAAAAAGATTAGAAGCTTCCATGAGCTCACTGCAAGTATCTTCTATTCACTGCCAAGGCCTGGGTTAACTGAAACAAACATATCTTTTCAAAGAAAAAGCCCCACCTTCATTCAGAAAAGCACAGTGTGTGCAAAGACCCTGAGAGGCTGAAATGCTCCATTTCTGACAGCTCAAACTGCCACACTTGGAAATATCTGCTGAATCCTTCCTAAATTCAAGACTCTTGATTTGGGAATGAAAACAGTTAAATGTGCTCAAGTTTGTCCCAAATGTGTCTGTGTTGCCAATCCTCTGCTGTTAGAAAGGAAGGATAAACCTGGCGTGTCAGGGCAGGAATCGAGCCCCTAAGCCCAAGCTCTGAGTAGCTGCTCCTGGCTGCTGGCTGGGCTGTGTGGGAGGGAGTCAGCCCCTGCCACAGCAGGGACAGCAGAGAAGATCCTGCTCATCTCAGCTTTGCCTCCACAGATGCCCTGAGCAACCTGGCTGTGGAAACTTGAGCCCAGCCACCACAGCCACAACCAGAAAGTGCTGGCACTTCACCTAGTCAGAGCCTGCTTGTAACTTCAGAACAGAAAGAAACAAACCAAACCCTCTGAGCTGCAATCACTTTTGGTGACTTTCAGTCATTTAAATGTCAGAAGAGACTTCAGAGATAGGATGCAGAGAAATACTCCCAGTGCAGTTAGCTGGGTGTGCAAGCTCCCATGCCAGCTGCACATTGTGCCATGGATGGTAGGAAACAACTGGAGCCCCCAGCAACAAGTCAGGAATGGGCACAGATCTTTTCCCTAACAAAGGGCTCAGGGTCCTGCATCACAGCCTGGGAGAGGACTGCTCACCCTGAGATTCTGCAGGAGCCAGTGAACAGCAGGAAGACCCCAGACCCAAAATTCCCCATGGGAACAGGTGCACAGCCTGTAGGGGTATAAAAACCCAGGGGTTCCTTTGTTCAGGGCCCTTCCCAGAAGAAGCAGCCTGAGCTGTTCCTGCTGCTGCACAATTCAATTATTAAACCTTTTTTCCTGAAATTGGATCCCTGAGAAACCTGGGTAAGAAGTTTCTTTAACAAGGAAATAAACCCAATCAGGAGAAAGGTGTTGCTGCATGCTCCTCTTAGCCCATCCTTGGTGCTGACTGCCACAAGTCACAATAGCAACTGACCTGAGCCAAGTGTGCCAGTATCCTTCTGGCTGTGTCTGCCCAACTCCCAAAATCTGAGACTCACAGCAAACAAAGGGGCCAGCTCTGCACTGACAAGAAGGAATTAAGACAAGTAATTTTACTCCACCTTTCTGGACTGCACTCAGATTTCATAGTTTAAGGTTGCCTTCCAGCTGCTACTTAAATCCATTCTTCCTCAGAGAGCAAGCATGGCATGGTACAACTCTCTTCCCTGCTCATTTTAAACATTAATTTTTGCAAATAGGATGACAGCCCTGTGCTGTGAATGCAAAACTAACAATCCATGGATATTTATATTCCCTTTACATAAAAAACCCGACCTACTATTGTGTGTGTTTTATATTGCCCTTGCATTTCCTGGTGCTAAGAGTGTAGAAAAGAGCACTCCTTGTGCTTGAGAGGCTGGACTGTGCTTATCTGCAAGTAGAACATTCATGGTTGCTGATCATTTTAATTTAATACAGAGAGCTTCATCTGGTGGAAACCACAAGAACATACAATTATGTACAATTAACATATATGTAGTGGTAGGACAAGGGGGAATGGTTTGCTTTAAAATGGATTGTTTGGGATTTTGCTGCTTGATCTTTCCCTGACAGGTCACCAGGACTGGAACAAAAAGAAATTACTGAAGCAGCTTGTTTTGCTTGTTACTTACTGTACCAACACACACTGCTCTGCTACACAAACTGCAACGAGACCTGATGATGAGGAACTTGTCCTTGTCAGGGGTGAAAGGATCCCTCATGACATAGGCTTCTTCCAAAAGTCTACAAAAGAATAATTTCAGGCTTTTAAGTGTATACTTCACAGTAGGGGATGTTTAAGAGGGGGAAATTGTAGAGGCTGAAAAGTTATCAGCCCTTTGTACTTGATTTGCTTATCTTACTGTTGTACATGAGGTAATGCAGCAGCTCTGCAGCTCCTTTTCTCTTCAAAACCTTCAACTCTGCAGCTGCCTTCAGCCCTATACTGTACTTCTTGTCTCTCTTCCAAAAGCAGAGCAACTGGTGAGTCTCTCAGTGTCATCTTACTAAGTTTTTCTCAATGCTCTACCTTAACCAGCTTCCATTTTTTATAACAGGCATCCCTTAGCATGGCCAACTTCAGTACCTTCAGCACCGTGTCAAGTCACCATTTCAATTGCACAGCTTTTAATCAGAAGTTCTCTTCTAAAGCTGTATGCATGTGAGTGTGCAATACAAAGGTTTTACTGCTCTTGGTTATGTTGCTGCTGTAAAGCTGAGCTCCCCAGCTCCTGAAAGCAGGAGCTACCAGCAGAGAGCCCTGCAGTTACCTCCAGTGTGCTTACTTTATGTCACAGACTGTGCTGCTTGCTCCAGGGTGTTGAGGGAGTGCATTTAATAATAATTTCACAACCTGCTTGGGAAAAACTAAAGCTTTATTTTTTCTGGGAGCTCCAGGCAAAAGAACACAGAAGCCAGCTGAGTGAGTATCTGTCTGCCTAGGGCACGCAGCAAGGGCACCTGGCTTACCCTGGGCTTAAGTAAAATTTGGATTATGGGATAATATGGATAAAAGGTATTCTGTCAGCTTGTACTGCCTTCTCCTTGCCTCCACACACACACAAAAGTGTGTGCAGGAGTGTGCCCAGCACTGTGCTCCTCTCTCCTTTTTCTGTCCACTCAAACAGAAAATGATTTGGCCACAGCCTTCCACTGTTAGGAAAGATCAGGCATCTTATCATGGCAGATCACCCCATCAACAAGTCCCTGGGATACAAAGACAGGATTGTGTTTGCAAAGCTACCCTTGCAGGATGCCCAGCCCTCATCAGTGCAGAACCATTTGACAAGGCCCCTGTCCAGCACATTTCCTGCAGCACTGCATCTGGGACATGTGAGCAAGCCAAGAAAGATGGGATGTGAGGCTGCTTCTTAAAAGAATCTACAGAAGTGTGATGCTTCAGCAGTATTCTTTTGTTTTTGGCACCTGAGCAATCCAAATAAAGCTGGGGTGTTAACTCTGAGATTGGATAACCTAAATTAAGATTCACATTCAGACTCTTCAGGAATGGACCTGATAAAGGTGAGCCATTGCTCTGCTGAGTGGAAGAGGGAAAACCAGTAGCACTGTGGGGTTTGGAATGATAAAAAGACAGCTGCCCAAGGACAGCAGCCCCAGCAGGTGGTGATTAACAGCTGTCTCCATTCTTTAAGAAACTGAGCAGTCTTATTGGGGTGAAATGCTGAGTACATGCCTGACTTCCAGCTCCAGAGAGTTCCTGAACATGTCTGCCTGATGAATTTGTTGACCATGATGGCCTCCACCAAGCTACTCTTGCATTTCAAGCAAAGTGCTTTATTTTATGGGGAGTTTCATGTCTGCAGACAAAGCTGTAACTGCATAATTCCTGGTCAAACTATCCCTACTTAGCAAAGAGAGAAAAGGCTTTGGTCTGAAAATATAAATACACAGTGAGCATCCACACACCCTGATGTTGCATAGTCTGACAAAGGATTGTTCAATCCACACAAAAAAGCACTTCTGTTCAAAACTCCACATCATGCCAGATAGCTCTTAAGAAGTGTTTTTGCCATATATATTTCATTCATGCTGTGTGTATGTATTGTCAGCTGAGGGAGGTTACAGTGAGGGAAGGGCTATTCCCAGAAATACCAGGCTGGCAGTCAGCAGTATTCTTGCAAGAAAATATTGGTACAGTAGAGTAGTCAGTGGGGCTAGGAAATAGGTTAAATACAGATTTTTGCATGGTATTGAAGCAGGGCACAAAAATTGATTGTTGTTTTTCCTACCAGCACTGACAATTTTTAACACTCATTCCCCTTGGATAAAAGGACATCACTTTAAATACCAAGCCTCATGTTCAAGGTCAGCAGAACACATTGCTGGGCTCATGCAGGGCACACTACAAGGATTCCAATGCTCATAGCAGAAATTAAGTCTGTGATCTCAGAGGGCACTTACACAATCCAGTGTGAGTTTGGTGATGTCCTCCCATAATTGTGTATGGGGCTGATAACTCACACAGCTCACATTTGAGCTCTCACTATTTGAAGTGTCTGAACTTCTTTGGGAGCATCCATTTTTAAGCTACCTGCAAGAAACCCACCCAAAAAAATCTTTTAGCTTCAAAATGCAACGCTGGGAACATATCTGCAAGAAGATCAAAGTGACCTGAGACATCTAGCTTTGCAAATTAAAACCCAGAGGAAAACTGACAATTGCAGACCTTAATTAGTAAATATTTTCCCCCAAATCAAGTTTGTTTCCCATGTCCCAGTTAAATTTTCAAATTCCTTAGACAGGTCTATAAACTGCAGACTGGGAGCCTAACTATAAAGTTCACCTATTAATTTGGAACTTCCATTAAATAACTCAGGTGACAAAGCACATGACAAAGCACATGCCAGACCCCTTCCCTGCAGAGCTGATTCTGTTCACTAAGGCCACATCCCTAATTATGCTTCAGGTCTGGGCTTTCCTTTGGGGACAAACTGCCTGATTGTCCCCTCCTTACCACACAGGTTTGCACCACAGAGCAGTCTCACAGCACAAAAACCAGAGGGTTTCAGAAAAAATAATACAAAAGTTGTGCTCCAGAAGCACCTAACATGCTCCAGCCTGAATGCCCAGCTGGTGGCCATGCAGCCTACAGGCTGGCACCAGAGGTGATCTAAAACATCCCAGAACACAGAGAATGGGCAGCTGGTATCCAACACCCAACACCCTGGTCCATGGTTTCTGTCTTACTAAATCACACTAGTTACTAATGCAGCAACAACAACAACAAAAATTAATTTTCTTCTTCCAATATTTTTTCTTTATTGCTTTTAATGAACTAAAATGGTTTGCAGAGGAATCCAACAGCTGCTAACCATAGCACAAGGTAAGAGGCAGAACTGCAGCACCAGCAGGAAGGCAGGGCTGAGATGAGGGACCTGCACATCCCTCTTTTGGTGAGAGTAAGCTGCTATTTCTGCTTGCCCAACACAGTGAAACTGAATCCTCAGAGACATCTGCTGACAAGGTGAACTAGGGGCAAGGTGAAGCAGAGCTGGGACTACTTGTCATCTAATGTTCCAGAAGAACAGGGAGATCCTCAGGGGCAACAGAGGCTTCATGACAGACATCCAATTCAGAAAGTCCTAGCCTGTTAAACCCTGAAACCTAATTTTGGAAATAATCTCCCTTACCTCATCACTCCTTTACTACCAGCCTTTCCACAGCCACTCCTGGCATTTCAGCAGCACAGAATTCTTCAGATGTAACACAGATGGGGCTGGACACTGCATTTATAAATAAATTCACCTTGAGAACACCTTAGGAAGCTATTTTTTCACAAATTGTATGACCCTTACATATTATGTGTTTTTCCTACCTCACAGGGATGATTGAGAGCATTTAATTAACTCAAGTGCTTTCAGATTTGTCAGTCATATGGCATGTACATGCCACCACTTTCTCCCTGTACATTGTAATTTGGATTCCTCACACTATGAGCTAACTCAGCTAAAAAGTCTGCTTTTTGAACCCTGCATTTTAGGATTGCCAGCCAGGTCCCCCTGACATACCTAACTTTACTTTTTCTGCAGGTACCCAGCAGCAACACCAACACACCCACTTGACTGAACGAGATTCAGATCAACACTTGTATGCAATTTTTGTAATCAGTCTTCCTTAAAAAGGAGAAATCATTAACCCCAAAGAAGCAGAGTATGGAAAGTCACTTGAATCAAATTTACCATAATGCTGGCTTTTTCTTTAAAAGAGTGCAAAACACCAAGAACCACAACAACAAAAAAGAAGTATTTATGGCAGTGAGGGTCATAGACTTTGGAATGAATATGTCCTGATCCCAAGTTAAAATAACAGCCCTGGGTTCAGAGCTGAAGTACGTTAGATATAGAAACACCTGCTCTCTCACAGACCATTGGCATGTAGAACAGAATCTGTTCAATGCCTACCACTGGGAAGGAATGATATCTATGTACAAACACATTTTTGGCTATGCCAGTTGAAAAGCATATGATCCTGCCTGCAAGGCACAGATGAATTTATGATGCTTTCCATCTTGCTCCCAGCTTACAAGTCACTGGTAGCAGCTGTACCAAGTTTTATTTCACTGGGAACATCATTTGTCCTGAGAGTTTGTCTACACATCAGCACTTGGGAAAGTTAAGGTTCCTAACTAAAGGTGTGAGGTCAATGAATGCACAGATTTCAGAGGGAATGCTCCCATTCAGAAGTAAAGTTTGCTATACAACAAAGCTATTTCTCTCTGAATAAAGATATTTAATGTCAAGTTTATGCATGTACTTCACACCTTTAGTCTAAATTGCCAAGCAGACAAGTCCCGAGATGCACTTTCTCACAAAGAGTCACTTCCAAAAAGTTCCTTTGCTTTGAATAACCATGGCTTTATGCCATAAACCCAGCTGAGCCAGACAAAGGTTTATCACATTGGTCAGCTCATTGGTTTGGCACTACATGCCATCTTAGCAGGATGTGACAGTGTGCCAGGTGTTTGTCTGCCCTCCAGACACGTGAAGCAGACTGAGAACTCATTTCTCTCTAGCAAACCAGCAGCAGCATAAAAGACCTTTTGAGGAGAATGTCTAGGGCACTAATCCCTTCTTAATAATGACAGACAAATTTGTGGCCACCAGCAGCCCAAACCATCACCAGGTGCTACCATTTTTTTTTTTTTTTTTTTTTTTACCTTGGAATGTTCTGAAGCAGCACCATTTCCCAGTAACACATCACAAGTCTGTCTGGCTGACACATGCTGAACAGGTCTTTGACAACAGCTTGTCTAGAACTGAATTCTGCCCAAGCTCTTTCCACCCTGTGAAGCCACAGGGTATTTTAACACATCTTTACTTGACACACATGGCCAGCTCTTCTGGAAAGAACTCAGTTATCCACATGCTTGGGTAACCACTGAACTAACACGCTCTACAGAAGCCTGCTAGGTCAAGCCTAGAGTGCTGCAGGATGTGTGTGAGGTTGGCTCACATGTCCTGACAAAAGGTGAAGCACACAGATTTCAGTGCCATAGTAAGGAAATAACTGCAGTAAAAGAAAGGCACGGGTTAGGTAGTGCTGAAAGAGTGTTTCTCCATGCTGTCTGCAACTGACACCTGATATAGACATGGGGAAATGGCTCTCAGTCCAGTTCTCTGGAGACTCCTAAAGACTTCAGGGCAATTCTGATTGGAACACTCTGCTAAGAGGCCTGGAAGGCATGCCAGAAATCATAAATCACCTTTAAATTGTCAGGGTCAGTGGCAAAGTAGTAGCACAGATAAGTAATCTGATTTTCTTTGCTTCAAACCTCATTAGCACAAGTATTTACAATGCATAGGTTAAGCCCTTCTTAATACTCCACAGGAGACTCCTGTATTTCTGAGTCACTGATAAACTAGAGAAACCATACAAGAAACAAAGTACCTATAAACAGATACAGACTTTGATTTGAAAGGCTGTCAGATAAAACCAACATTGACACACCCTTAATCCTCTCCTACAAAATCCTTGTTTCTTTTACCTGCCAGGATTTTCCTGCAGCATTCACTGTTGATGACAATAATCTATTAAAATATTCACAGCTCGATTTTCTTCAGGGAGGAGTGCTCTCTAGAAGGGCAATTCATACCCTGGCATGTGCCAGTGTTTGGTGTGACAGATATTTAAACACCCTTCAGCACCAGCAACTTGCCTTCTTCAGAAAAGCAATCTGCTGCTTAATTGATCAAGCAGTAGATAAAACAGCAAAACCTTCTGACTTGCTGGTTAATCCCCAGGTGAACAACTTTCTTCCTCCTGTTCCTTCGTGCCACAGCCCTGCAGGCATGTTCAGGTCACCTGTGGCTGCCTTCCTGCTCTTCCTTTGAGGTGACTTACCTTGGCTTCAGCATGAATTAGCCCAGGACTGCAATTTCACAAGGCGTGAACAATCAGAACTTTCATCCTGACTCACTCTCCCAAAGATCACTTGATTGAATTTAACCTTGATTTGTTGCAGCACCCTTTTCCCCCAGGCTGGGGGGTTGTGCTGGCATTCCATGCTTTCTCTGCTGGGAAGGAACAGAGATCCCTGCAGGCTTCTCTAGCCACAGAGCAGGGCCCAAGCCCTGCTCCTGAACAGCTTCCATGGGTTCCCCATGGCAGCAGCAGGATAAACAGTCTAGGTGGTCACAGATGTGGAAGTCACTGTGTTTTCTGAACAGCTGTAGGGACAGAGAAGTAACACAGACAGGAAAATCAACCCCCTGCCTTAGGTAAAAAGGCTTTCTGAACACACAATGAATCTCAAAAAGTCATCTACACCTAAGATCCATGATTTAACAAAGCTGAGAAACCAACACTCAACAAAAACTAAGCCCAAGTGCCCCTCACTCCCCTCACTCAGAGATGCCTGCCCTAAATTAGGCAGCATTTAGTAAGAATCTTAAATTAGGTGGGAATGTAAAGGTTCACACGGGAAGGCTGCACAAGTCATCATCTACCCGTAACACAAGAAATCCAAACACTGAAGTGTTGCTGAAGTGATCATCAATTCTGGATCACAGAACTGTTATTGTTTGCCAAAATGGAAAAACCAGACCCGAGGTCAGATTTCATTAAATCTCCTTCTGGTTCAACCACAAAAAAAAAAAAAAATCAACCTACAGCAATAGTAACCCTCTGTTCTGAACTCATTTTGTCTCCCTTCCAAACTGCAGCTCCCTATTAGAAATTTGTAACATTAACAGCCATAGTGGGGAAGAGCAAGTTGAACTATTAATACATCAGTGATGACCATTACTTTTTAAGTTGTCCTTAAAAAAATTAAGTGCAGGGCCACACTTGTACCACTGAAAATATCAGCTTGGTTCAGCACAACCTAAACTTAGTGCAATACTTTCCAATAGAGTCTAAAAATAGGAATACCAAGATTTTGTGGAAATACAGGATAAGAGACTAACACAGTATTTCAGGAAACAAGACACTGCCATTTGACATAATTCTGGAAGGAAGAAATACAGCTCCAGTGATTAATTTCACTACAGAAAGCAAAGTTGGGACCATAAGGAAAGATTCAGCCCCATGACATGGGGTTGCATGTGACAATGTCCATGCTGTGGAGCTGGTGCCCACTTTCTCCTGTGATCAGGAAGATGTTCAGCATTAACATACCTGGGAAAGGGAATTTTTCCAATAAAGCATGACTGCAGTTCTCAGTTTGTTAGGACTGAGCTCGAGTTGGGGACTGCAGAATGAAGAAAAGAAAAAAAAAAAACCCAAAACCCCCCCCCCACAAACAAACTAACAAACAAACAAACAAAAAAAGCCCCAAAAATAAAAAAAATAAAGAAAACTATCCAGAAGGAAAAACAAACAAAACTCCCAGAAGTGTGAGGATATGGGTTGAAGAGGGCCAGCTTCAAGAAAGACTTTGCTTCCCAACTAGTACTTGGATCATTTTGCCTAAAAAATATGCAGGTACTGAGGCAGCACTTCTTTCAACACCTGATGCATCAAACAGGTATCAGGGCACATATACAAGAACCACTTCCATAATTCTCTGTAGGACACAGAGAAATAAGTGTTCTTAGACAGCTGAAGACCTATTTTACCACTGAGTGCCAGGCCAATCCTTCTGTGCATGCTCTGTACCCTGCACATCTGTTCTCCAGAGGGTCTGTACTTAGGCTCTTTCCTTCCAGAAGTTTCTTTTGGACAAATTTACTTCTCTGCCCATCACAGGTAAACAGACAAAAATGGCTTTTTCTCATAGGACAAATGGAATCATGGCTGGAGATGTGTGGATCCTAAAACTCACTGAAACCAGAGTGGACTGCTCCTCCTGGGTCACATGCTAGGAAGGCAGACACATAAAATTTTCACAGTTCTGACTTTCTACCCAAGCAGCTCAAAATCCACTAAGAACTGGCAGCATCCTCAACATGTCACAGATATTTAATAAACGTTTCTTTGGCTTTAGATCTCCATCTGTCCAGCACACACAGACAGGTCTGACTAAGATTTCACTGAGATCCAAAAAGAAAGTGTGGGCTCAGAGTAGAGCTAATTAAGCAGCAAAGCTGATGGGGCTTTGACAGAAATTGTATGTTGCTCATGTTTTTCATAGTTTTTCAGAGAGCTGGCTGTAGGTCTAGGTAGATAAGACTTAAAAACGCTGTTTGATGCCAGATTTAAATGTGTGCTTCCCTTCTGCACATGGCTCCGAGCATGGTTAATGAGTAATTACTTCACTCATGTTGGGGAAATTATGACAAAATGAAGGAACAGCTGGGGGAGAAGACGTAGTGCTAATTTATTATGGCCTGTAGTTAAAAGCAGACTTCAAAGGAGGCAGCATGGTTCAGGTGTTAAATGGGCAGCAAAAAAAGAAAAAAGAGCAGATGAAAATGTGTTCTGTTCACCAGGCTCTGACAAAAGGAGCAAAAAACACTTGTCAATCCTTGCTTTTTCCAGGCCTGGACTAAAGAACAAAGAAGCCCAAACCATTGAAGCCACAGAGATAACCCATTCCTTTCTTAATCCAAATCTCAGGTTTTGCCTATCTATTGGGAATTCTGGGGCTTTTTACACCTTTTTTGGTGTAGTGATTTTTGTAGTAGTAAAAACAGTGATTTAGTCAACAGATCAGTGCAAAGGTGATGCACAGGCTAGAGAGCTTGGTATCTCAACCAGCCTGGGGAGCACATCTCCATTACAAGTCCCCAGCAGAATCCAAGTATTTTCCTATAACTCTCACGAAACAAAAACCATCTTGGTCTGAACAACCTCAGACTGCTGCATCTGGGCAGAACAAAACTTTCAAGGGAGACTTCATCTGGCTTTTGACATAACCTTGTCATATTTGCAGAAATCACAGACTCTTGTTTGAGGCAAGACACAAAGTGAGACAAAGTACCACTAATGCTTTCATTGAAACAGCTTCTTTGACCTTCATTTACACGGGAAGTTATTGCATGAGGAAAATATTTCTGGTATGGGAACCAGAGGCATGAAGGTCTTAAATTTTGTTTACATAAAGCATGCCATTTCAGCTGTACGAATACAGTTACATGTCCTCACTAACTCCTAGTGCACAGATCCACTGCTTTGGCCCCAAGGTGCCTGGAGCTGAAGGCAGTGGCCTCGGGAACCGTGAGTGTCTCCCGGCCGGCAGTGCCCGGCCAGCTCCGGCTCCCCCTCCCTGCCTCACGTTCCCTGGCGTCTCCCCATTGAACAATTCCCGCTTCCCAGCTCCCCAGGCTCTCCCTAGATCCCCGTTTCCACCCCACGCGGCCCTCCCAGCTCCTCGTTCCTTTCGCTCCCGTTCCTCGGTCCCCTCCTCAGCTCCCTCCGCTCCCCGATTCCCGGTTCCCGTGTCTCTGCGCCCCGCACACCCCCAACCCCGCCATTTCCCGCTCCTGTTTGCCTCCCGGTTCCCGTTTCCCGCCGGCTCCAGCTCCCTCCGGCGCCCACTCTGCACCCAGTTCCCGGGGCTGCCCCTTTCCCAGCTCCCGTTCCCGGTTCCTTTCCCCGCTCCCGCTCCCCCTCACGCCGCGCCCCCCGAGCCATTTCCGGGCCTCCCTGAAGGGGCAGGGGCGCCGCGCGGCCGGCAGGGGGCACTGTGCGCCCGCCAACGCGCCCCGCTTTCCTTCAGTCCCTGTCCCGGCTTTGGGGGACACGCCGCGTCCCCAGCGTGTCCCCAGCCCTCGGGATGGACACACAGGTGTCCCCAGCGTGTCCCCAGTGTGTCCCAGCGTGTCCCCAGCCCTAGGGATGGACACACAGGCCTTCCCGGTGCTCGGGATGGACACACAGGCGTTCCCCGCGTGTCTCCAGCCCTCAGGATGGACACGCCGTGTCCCCAGCCCTCGGGACGGACACCCAGGCGTTCCCGGTGCTCGGGATGGACATACAGGCGTCCCCAGCGTGTCCTCAGCCCTCGGGACGGACACCCAGGCGTTCCCGGTGCTCGGGATGGACACGCCGGTGTTTCCAGCCCTCAGGGCCTGTTTTGCATGTGCCCAGCCAGAGGTGAGAGCCATGCTCGGCACGGCGCTGGCTCCTTGGGGATCTTCTCTGCGAGCCGAGCAGAGGAGTTGATACTGTGAGATGCAAGGTCATGCTTAGCCACAAAATTTGGGAGGGAGAAGTATTTTGAAAGCACCTTCTACTCAGGGACTGACTATAATGGAAACTGTTGTCATTCTCAGTGGAATATGCAAAATTTAACAGCAGTGATAAAAAGACAAGGTGATGGATGAAACCGTTCATGAAAATAAGTGCATTTATTTTATCCTCAGCCCTCGGGACGGACACCCAGGCGTTCCCGGTGCTCGGGATGGACACGCCGGTGTTTCCAGCCCTCAGGGTCTGTTTTGCTCTGACATCAGCATGTGCCCAGCCAGAGGTGAGAGCCATGCTCGGCACGGCGCTGGCTCCTTGGGGATCTTCTCTGCGAGCCGAGCAGAGGAGTTGATACTGTGAGATGCAAGGTCATGCTTAGCCACAAAATTTGGGAGGGAGAAGTATTTTGAAAGCACCTTCTACTCAGGGACTGACTATAATGGAAACTGTTGTCATTCTCAGTGGAATATGCAAAATTTAACAGCAGTGATAAAAAGACAAGGTGATGGATGAAACCGTTCATGAAAATAAGTGCATTTATTTTAATTTTTGCCCTTCTCAGCATGTTTGCTTTAATAAGCTTCCAAATGCTGATATTGCTTAGTGCCTGTGACATCAGCAAGTTTCAGGAGCCTCTCTGAGTTTCTTCAGCTGAGTTAATCTCCACACGCTTTTCCTGAGTTACCCATCTGATGTCTTCAGAGTACCTTGGACGCATTGTGCTCATAGCTGAGAAAAGTAAGGACTTCAGAATTGAATTGAAAAACACGTTCTGAAGAAAGGAGGTTCCAGACGCTATGAGCCACTCTCGGGAAGTCTGGTAGCCGTAGGACAAACCATAGAGCACAATGAAGAAGGATGAGAGCACAGTTATGGTCAGAACCAGGCCCCAGGCCAGAGGGACACACCACCACCACAGCAAGGGCTCACTGTCCGGGATCTTGCGAAGCTGCCTGATGGTAGCGCTTAGTCTCCTTCCTTTCGAAAAGATGCCCCCTTCTAGGACATTGGAACTTGACTTCTGGGACCTTTTGCCCACCTGAGGGGAATTCACAGTTGTCTCCTCCTCTGTGTCAATTACATTTGCATCTTTTTCAGATATTATGCAATTATTCCAGTACCTAGAATCTACCTTTGGGTACATCTTAGTCACAACAGGAGGAGGATCCTTCTGGGAATACTTAAATAAGGTAATTATTAACATTTCCACAGGGAGGGTAAGCAAAGCACATTCAATTCCTACTGCTATTGATCTCAAATACCTCAGGTATATTGGAGCTTCATCATTCTTTTCAGCATTAAAGAACATAATGTTAACAAGCAACGTGAATAATAGTACTGCTAAAAATGTAGACAACCTTTGGAACCTGGTGAAACCCCCAGCGATGACAGGAGCAAAAATTGAGAGCCATAGATGGTACTCTGTCAGTCTCCTGTTAAAATTAATAAGAAAATAGTCGAATTTGGGTAAAGGTGTCTGGGGGTCTGTGACAGAAAATTTCCAAGTTCGTGAGGGATTGTTTTTGTCAAGGCAAAGCCATTTTCTGCACAGAAAGAACCAGACCTTCCTGGTGGACATGTCCTCAACTTCAGCTCTGCTTAAGAACCAGGTTGGAGATGCGCCATCGTTATTGAGCATGACCTTGAAGGAACGAATATCTCCCAAATTTTTCGTAGTAGTTATCAGAAAGCAGTCGATGCTTCCCCGCCGGAAAGCTGGAGAAGGCTGGTGCCACAAACAGCGGAATTTACTCCTGCCATACTGGCCGATGAGCTGCAGAAACACCTCTGCTTTGGTCCCAGCATTCCAGCGACTGCCTGTGTACAACGTGACCAAAAAGCTCCCTTCGTCAGAGGCCTCATTGTCTGGCAAAATGATAATGTACTTGATCTCCCTCTCAATCCTGTCTCTTCTTATAGCCCAGCAGCACAAAAGCAAGAAGACGACAAAAATTAAGAGCACTGTTACGAGGGTCAGTGGGTTCTTAGGTATGTCTGCTATCAGGTTTCTCCCCAGATCTACTGTGTTGGGAAGAACTATTACTTTGGCTGCCAGGAACTTGATGCTGGGTGCAGGAAGGGCTGGCACACTCCTGCGACTCCGCATGGCGGAGATACAGATACAGTGTACCTTCTCCCAGTTGGTCAAGGGACCAATCACACATGGGTCTCTGCTCCACTCACTTCCAACCCCATTCAGAAATAGGCACTGGTCATTAAAAATGTATATGCTCACCACTTTCTGGTTTGGGTACCTTAAGATATAGTGTGTCTCCAAGACAACAGAGATGTTCTGAGTGTCTACACCATTTTTCTGCGCTAGGGTTGTCAGCAGGTCCTTTGGGAGACAGACTATATAGGGACCTGTAACGCTACAGTCAGCAATGATTGTCTCATTTCCATTTGCAACTGTTGGCATGTTATGAAAAGCAGAAAATGAGGCCACGGGCTGAGCGTCAGTGAGATTGGTACCTTCAAATATCAGCACCTTGAAAGTAACTTTTAATTTTGTCATGATCTGGAAGTATACGCTCGTGGCAGTGTGATTGATCTCAAAATTAAATCCTCCAGTTGTGTAAGCTTCTGTTTTATCGGGTCCCATTAATAAATTAAAAGTTGCAACTCCACCTTTCCTGGCAAGAAAAATGTCTGCTCTTTCAGGCATGATTGGAACTAGATCCTCATTAGCCTTAGTCTCTGCCACTTTAAACCCCATGACCATTGATATAATATCTGATGTGTAATCTAACCATGGGAAAGGGCTTTCATCAAATTCAAAAACGGCAGTGGAAAACACAGTATCCAGGGCAGCTCCTGAATCATTTCCTTTTCCCAGCATTGGATAAAAACAATTGTGGCAGGTGTCTGTGGCAGGCAAATAATTTGAAATGTTCCAGGCTTCTTTTTTCTTCAGAGTGATATTCCAGTGTCCAGTTTCTATCAGAGTTTCTATTTCTTCAGGGACTTTTCCCCAGAAAACTACATCTGTTACACCTTCCATGATGGAGAAAACATGTTGTATTCCATTTTCACTGACATTCTTGAGATGCAGGACATCACCGCTTAGGACATTGGACAAGCATCTTAGTATTCCACTGGTCTGAATTTCTGCTCCCTCAGACCAATTGGTCTGAGTCCTCTGTCTCTTCAGAATTCCTGTTACTTCTGTCAGTTTCCCAATGGCAAGGTCTTGTGACATAGCATGCATTTTTTCAACTGCCTCTGTGAGTTCAGAAATAACAGCCACTACTTGGTTGACTTCCATGATGCTATTTACTGAAATATTCAAGGCTGCTTTAACCACAGTTTCCCGAAACTGAGCCTGAGGGAGCAGGACAATTGGTGTGTTTTTAATACAGTTTAAGAGTGAGGCTGCAAGATAAACCAAATAACCAGCTCTAAGACGATCCCCAATCTGCTGGGCAGATGTTGACATGCTTAAACGGCTTGCTGAAGCCAGCAGTTCATGAAACACAGCCGGAAGGGATCGAGTGCTAAGTGGGTTCCTCACATAGGCACGCAAACTCACCTGGGTGAAAGACCCGAATGAGTCACGCACTTGAACATAAAGTATCAAACGGTACCAACGAGAGGGCAGTCCAAGTGGGAGAAAAGATGGAGGAGTTTTAGGCTCAGAACCAAAGTACAGAATTGTGCCAAATGTGTTTTCCACCACAGAACTTACTGTGGTAGTTTGGGGTACGTTGGAAGCTACTATCACTTTATATGTCAGAGGTAAATGGCTGTCAGAAAATCCTCTACACTTAACAACAAATTTTGTCTGAAAGGCAAACCCGTGGCGGGGTCTGATGTTACACCTGCCGACTTCAGGTGGACTATTTATCGCAAAGGGTTTTTTGAAGGATGCAGACCTACCATCCCAGGTAGTTACGCTTAAGCGAAGTTCATAGGATTCATATGCAGGCTTCGTGAAAGTCAGAGCATGTATAGACAGGTAAGCCCCAAACCTCCCCGTTGATGTTTTGGAATCCCAATCAAAATTAATTTCTTTAGAGCTGTCTGAAAAAAGGGACCAGTAATATAGTGGCTTGTTGCTCGGTTTACAGTTTGAGCATTTTCCAGATATGGCAAATCTCTCTGTTGGAATTAGACTCCTACCACAGTTTTCAATGCATTTCACGTCCAGAATGAGTGGAGGGCCAGGATCTATCTCTACAACTTGATCAGCATAAGCCTTCCTTGTGCCCTTTTGAATCTCCAGGCGAAAGTAGTATAAGGTGCTTCCTGGGAGGGATTCTGGTGGTACTGTTTGAATGGGACCTGAGGGTGTTATCCATCTCAAATCCTTCTGGAGTGGATGGCATCTGTTTTTCGGTTTGAATTTCATGGTTTGATAGTCTGCCGAGTCCTTAGTGCAGTACCAAGTAAATAGCAGTGGTCCTTCCTGTGAATCAGGATCAGAGGATCCAGAGCCATCAAGAGTCCATCTCTCAGAAAAACCCACTGTGCGGACTGAGCCTCCTGAGATATTTACCACTAGATCAGCTCTCTCAATCTGAACATAAATCATATCACGGGCATTGAGGACTGTTGAGGTCCTAATTAGGGATACCTCAGCAGTGAAATAAAACAGATACAACCCATAATCTAACGTATTAGCGGGAATAGTCAAATGTATCATTTTTACACCAAACATACTAGAAGTGTTTACTGGCTTTGACCAGTCCGGCTCAGTTTTTGTGTCCCTAGCAGGATAGACTTCCCATGAAGGCTTGATAGAGTAGCCAATGTGGCAGTCTACGTGCAACCTGACAAAGAGGAAAAATTCTAATGCCCTTTTCTTGTACAAGATAATGGATCTGGGATCAGGTCTCTGAATCCAACACCTGAGTATCCTACATTCTCTTTGCTCACAAGCCACTGGTGCTTCTATGGTTTTTGCAGTACGGCTGTTGACCCTGACACTTAAAAGAGCCGATGTAGGTGCCCTGCTGGCACAGTTCACTTTTGCCACAAACCCTGTGTATTTCTCTGCATCAAAAGGTAAAGCAGAGCGACGGACAAAACGCGTGACATTTTTTACATGGTCGCTGTATGTGTACATGCTGCTCTGGACAACATGATCTTTTTTTGTGCCAAAAAGCTGCAGATAGAAGGTCCACTCGCACTGTAGCATCGGATGTTGTGCAGGGATAAACCACACTAAATAACTAAAGTTCTGCAGAAAAGAAGGATGGCCACTGCTGAAAACGTGGACGTCAAGGTCTCTTTCTGCCAGTGACCTAATCAAAGCCCTCTTCTGATTCATGTAAAGGTACATTTTGAACTTGTACCACTGTAAGGCCAGAAACTCTATGGTGAGTAAGTAGGAGAGCTCCTTGTATTGGTAGAACACAGTGTATGTGTTAGGGCAATCTGTGGAAAAAGTGCTGTTGTTGTCTTTAGATGTGTAAAATGTTCCCTGCTTGTACCTGAAAATGTAAGTGCTGCTGTTGGTCTTCCCTGGACAAAGGCTGACATGTATGGGAGTTTCTTTGCCAGCAGTTAAGCTCAGGGTACCATTGAGCAGGTGCAGTTGCCCCGTCAATTCCTCAAACCCCTTTCCATCAACATGGAAGTAAACGCTGGCCACCACTATCTCATCCAGGCTCTGAGGTGTAGAAATGGCACAGAAGTTGCTCGGCAGTGTAAATGAACTGTAGGAGCAGAGCCAACCTCCTACAGCCTGTGTGTCCACCAGTCTGTAGGCAAGTGTACTCAGGGTAAGGGGCTGAAGCCACCAGGATAAGCTGAGGGGCTGCTGAGGAACACTAAGGAGCTTGGAGCTGATACTGAGGACATGCACCAAGTCAGGCTCCACCTCGAGAGAGAGGTTGAGGCTTACGTGTGGCATCTGCTCAATACTGACCAAAGCAACGTGGATCCCGGGGTGCCTGTATCGCACAGTCAAGCGGTAGCTGTAGTAGGTGGCACAGGTCTGTTGCAACTCAGCTGTTGGATAGACAGCAGGGGATGTTGTGTCCTGGTGCTCACTGCTGGGAAGGAGAAGGGTGGAGGGGACACCTCCCCGGCTGCTGAAGCGGTACTGCCAGCCAGCACTCTTGAGGCGGGCACACCAGCCCAGCTCCACGGGCTGCCACACTTGGATAACGCGTGTCTGCGGCCGGAGCACGAACAGCCGCAAATCCTGCTCCGCGATCTCGACGCTCACGTTGCGGTGAAAGCACTCGGGCGCAGCGCAGGAGGCAGACGAGCACTGCACTGTAAGAAGGCTGGAGGCCCCGGGCGAGGGAGCTTCTGTCTGCAGTACCACCTGGCCTGACCAGCGTGAGATGTTCCTCACAGAGGCCGAGTTCAGGTACCAGAGGCAGCAAGGTGGGGATGCTGGCTGCCCCTCCTCCCCCTCTACCTCCAGCCCTGCTCCTGGGGCGGGCTGGTACTGCAGGGTCACGGTGCTGTTCCACAGGCACGACACCCTGTGCTCGTTGTCCTGCCGCTGGAAGACTTGGCCGTGAGGGCCCGGGCAGCTGACCCGCAGGGGTGACGGCTGGAGACGGACAGGGGACGCCGCCGAGCCCTGGCGGCAGCAGGCGAGCAGCTGCAGGAGGAGGAGGAGCGCGGCCATCGCGGCCAGAGGGGACGGGGCGGAGGACGCGCGGCCTGCCGGGGGCTGCTCGTTGGGGCGGCCAACGGCTGGGACAGCAGCCCGAGGAGACCGGGATCCTCCTCCGGAGGGCAGCCGGCGAGAACACTATTTAACCTCGGGCACCGCAGGCCGGAGGTGGGGCCGGGAGAAGAACAAAGATTTGGGGGCCAACAATCGCCACCGAGCTCCTGCCGGCGTCCCTCAGCGGCGGCGCGGGGGCTCCGCGCGTACCCGGCACGCACCGCCCGCCGCTCGCGCCGCTGGCGGCCCCGCCCCCGCCGCCGCCGGAGCCGCGGGGCCATGGCTGCGCTGAGGGACTGCCGGGTGAGGGCAGCGCTGAGGGGCGGCGAGCAGCTGGGGGGCTGCGGGGGGACGGCAGGGTGACGGGCGGCAAGGTGAGGGCAGCGCTGCGGGGGGACGGCACCGCTCCTCGCCGGGCCAGCGCGGCTCGGTCCCGCCCGTGCCCTGCGCCCTGCGGCTGCGGGTGGCCTCCGTGGGGGTCCCCGGGCTGCCCACGGGCTTTGGGCTGCGGCCCGCGGGGAGCTGAGGCGGGCTCGCTGTGGCTGGAGCTCAGCCTCGTACGCTCGGGTGGATTTCGGAGGAGGGAAGCTGCTGTCGGGATCTGGAAAAGGGGAAGGGTCGCTGCGCCCGTCGCTTCTGCTGGGGAAGCAGACTCATGTCCGAGCTTCTCTGGGTCTTGTTCCCAGCGCAGGGGTCCCACGGCACCCACCCGCCCTCCCCGTGGGCCTCAGAAGTGGGTCAGGCTTTCGATAACACTAAAGCAGCCTCGGGTCAAAGGGTGATAACTACAGGAGTTGCTTGCTGATTAAGTAATTTTCATGCTCTCTTTCTGAAAAACTCCTTTTATGGTTGTGTATTTGTTAGTTAGGACTGTGGCAGGTTAAAACAAAGCCTTGAAGATTGCGTGAGACAGGTGCATGATTGACAGAGCTTTGGGGATCTGTCACACAACGAATTCAAGAGGTGCCAACTGCAGCCCACAGAGAGCACAATTCTCAGAGCCAGCTAAGATTCTAGCAGAGGAGAAAACACAAATAAACAGTCACCAGATGTCATGACTGAACTCTAATCTTAGAGCAGGGGAAAGGGCAAGGCTTTGGTCTCACCGAGAAGCAGTGAGAAGAGCAAAGGCCATGACTCTGTTATACAAGAGGCAAGACTCTCTCCTGGAGTTAGAGAGAGGGTTGTGGGACATCAGTGTAAGAGGCAGCCTCTGTGGGGAGGGGAACTGATGAGCCTTACAGACTCTTGAGGCTGATTTTTGCCCACTCACACTCCCTCCTGGATTTCTTCAGTCACAGTCTGATACCCCACTAGAGAGAAGCTCCAGCACCTGAGTGTCCCGAGTAGTCAGGGCAGGACCCCTTATGTATGTCCTAGAGGACAAAGGGTGCTGCCTCTTCTGTGGTCCCAATAGTTCTTTAGTTCTCAGTTGGCAATGACAGATTAGGTTTGGAGCACATCTTTTACATCTCTTAGGAGCCAGAAGCTGCTGGGGGGTGGTTCTGCCCTGTAGCCCATTGTCGTGATGTGCAGTAGTGGCACAGAGTAGTGGCATCCCTGATGTGACACGGTCTTGCTGCCATTCTGCTGTTGCCAGAGTGGGAGTTTTCCAGTGAGGAGTGAGCCAGGTGGGCTGTAGCCATAGCCAGACAGAGGCTTTCCAGAGTGGCTGGAAATAGCACATACCTCAGCTGGATCAGCAGTGACCTTAGAGATGGATGAAAGCACATTTTCCACCAACCCTTGTTCTGCTGGTCTGTTCTGGGGCTCACACACAGGCTTTTCCATTCTTGTGAATCAGCATCCACTCCCCTCAGAATGGGACATCATTTTCTGCTTGGCAAGCACCTCAAGCTGTTGTGTAAAACAGTAAAACAGGCAGTGATGCAGGGAGCTGCTCCAAACGAAGCTTGTTTTTGATGACTGATGATGAGGGTGGTTCCTGGCCTACTTTGCAGGGCACCATGGAAGATAGCCAGTAAGTAGCAAGCCTAACCTTGCTACCTGCTTAGCTTTTCTCTTTATTCATTTTCTGGATGATAAATTACATAAAGAATAAAAATTTTCAGCTCCCCTGAGGTTGTTGAATAGAGCTTAAAGACTAACTGGCAAAAAAAGATAAAGGGTTGTATATATATATATATATATATATATATATATATATATATATAAAAGTTAAAGTGTATGTATATATATATATATAATACAGGATTATAAACATGGCTGGAACCAGTGGAGAAACAGATAAGAAGGACTACAGTGTTTTTTAGCAAGTTATGTAACACAGAAACAACAGTACATGCCCAAAGAAAAAGTTCAAGGAAAGGTCACCTTTAATATGGAGGCATTCAGTGAATACAACCACCAGAGACCCCTTTCTATGACTGTCCAGGACCACAAAAGAACTTCCAACAGGAGGAAGATGCATGCAAATTCATTCTAGGAATTAGTTCTGTGTATTAGATAAGAAGCATGTATTAATGACTATGTATGATTATCATGGATAAAGACCTTGTTGCAGAGTCTCACCACACCCACAGAGCAAGGAGAGTGTGTCCTCTGCAGATAACAAATGCCTGCTTCCTAGTGCTTCAAATTGTGTTAGAAAGTTTATTCTGGCCAGTTTCAGTATCATGGATATAGTATGAATTGTAAAGAAAGTGTGTCATTTTAGATTCAGGTCTAGTCTTTCAGGCATGTAATTTGAAGACTCAATTGCTTTAGCTGTTGGAATGTGAGCCTTTAATCCAATCACAGTGGGAAGGCTTTAGGATATATTAACAAAGTTGTCTTTGCCTGGTTACTTAAAAATTTTGACAGATTATTATGGCTAGGAAGTGCTTTAAAATGTAAAATGAGAAGAGCTGAATTCTTGCAGCATCAGGAAGGACTAAGCCCCCATTAGCAGAAGTGTGAATTAGCTTGCCCCAGGTCTGTTTTTATAATAGTTGTCTATCCTCCACATTCTGTGTACTGCATTAAAGTAATGCTGAAGTGATTGGGGCAGCTTCTCAAATGAACTCTGCCCATTTGCCAGCAGCCAGCCAGGAGATGTTGTGCCTCAGTCATGTTATGTTGCTAGAAACTAAGGCAGCTCAGTTCTGTTTTGTTTTTTAGCTTTATCCATTTCCCATGTTCTTATTGTTGTCAGGCTTGTATATAAATTTGTGATCCAAATTTTCAGCTGGTTAACTCCAGAGACTTAGTGGATTTGCTCTGCCAGGCTGTTTGGTCTGCAGGTTGATTCAGTAGAACATTATTGTTTGAAGGAGATTACAGATTTATAGATTATAGGAGAACAGGGTTTTATTCTACCATGTCTCTGCTTCACACGAGGTGTGCCTGTAGCAGAGGAGCTCACCAACAGCTCTAATGAGTTCAGAATAGAGCTGTCATTATGAGCTGGCAACCCACTGAGATCTTCTGCTACACTTGGTAATTGTTGGCTTCTTTAGCCTCCTCCAACTAACTGAGTCTTAATGGAACTGCAACTGAACAAAGGTTTGTTTCTGCCTCACACTGTACTTCCAACTTTTCCTTTTAAAAGTGCACAGCTGATGAAAATATCAGAACAGCATCACTTTGAACATCTGTCAGTGTCAGGAAGATGAGGGTGTAAAAGGAGCACCTTTGTGTTTGTTTGTTGTGCAGGCCTGGCAGGATGCTGGACTCGTCCTGTCCACGACCAGCAATGAAGCCTGTAAGCTCTTCGATGCTGTGCTGACACAGGTATGACCAAAAAGTGCAAGAAAATGTGATTTGAAGGGACTCGTGCATGGAACACTCTTTACTCTAGCTGATATTTAAATTTCTTATCAGCTGGGAGAGCCTCAAAATCAGGCCACCACAGGAGTTCAGCCTTTAGCTGGCAGCAGGAAACCCTTTTAGCAGAGGGCTGCACCAGATGCTGCAGCCGTGGTGAAAACCATACTCATTCCACCTGATACCAACAAATCAGCCAAAAAGTCTGTAGAAATCCAGGGTAATTGGTTCTGCTGGTGGCTGAATTATATTAAACCCCACTTTTTCTATTTTTCTACTGCACTAAATCTTCCCAAATGCAACATTTGTCTTTTAGTCATTTGCCTTGCTTTTGAATTTTAAGTGCCTGTGAGAACAAAAAGAAAAAATCCTCCTTATCATAGACGATTTCTCAACCCTCTCTTGCTCTGTCCCTCTTACAGTATGCAACTTGGAGCAATAATGAGAGCCTTGGAGGTATTGATGGATGTCTCTCCAAGCTAAAGGCAGCAGATCCAAACTTTAGTGAGTATAACCTTTGATTCTGAACATGGAAAGTGCTGGGTTAATGCTTATTTTCTTGGTATTTAACTTGTTTATGCAAGGGCAAGGTGATAATTTGTAGAATTATGTAAATCTTCCTCAAAATGTAGAGCAGGCAGAATGCTTTTGTGTGGTGTTTTTTTTTCTTTTCATTTCACATAATATTTGAGTAGCTGTCAGGAAAACCTTCTGAGAACTTTGGGCTTGGGAGGCTTCCTGGATCCCTGTGTCCAGAAGTCAGTTTTATTGAAAATGCTCAGCTCCTCTGGTGTTTGGTGGAGCTGAAGGCTCTGCTGTGAGCTCAGCTGGTGCTGTGCTGTTTCCTGCAGCAATGGGACATGTCATTGCCAATGGCTTGGAGCTGATTGGCACTGGAAGGACCGTGAGGCTCGACAAGGAGCTGGACAGCGCCGTGAGAGCCATGGTGGCACTTTCCAAGTCACAGCCACTGACAGAGCGGGAGAGGCTTCATGTCTCAGCGTTGGACGTGTTTGCCAGGGGGTGAGTCCTCTGTCACCCTGCTCAAGGGACTCTGAAGAGTTCCTTTGTCTGCTGCAGGCAGAAGTGAAGGTTGGCAGGAGTGGTGTGTCATGTTAGCTGACGTTTAGCAAAGGATCAGGGTGAGATGTCACAGATTGTCCCTGAATTTCTCTCTCCACCTTAAGTGCCATGTTTAGCTGGTGAGCAGCACTGTAGGAAGTGCTCTATTGCCACCACTTCCTAGCATTAAGCACTCCAAGTTTAAAATGTGCAACAGATCCATCAGTGTGGTTTAGAACTAGGAAATGAAGTATTTGTCTACAGTAGGGTCCAGACTCAGATGCACAAAAGGAGAGTTACAGTCTTCTCTCTCGTCTCTCTATGTCAAAACCTATTTTCCCTGTAAAACATGGAGATAAAGAGTGTCACACATGCTGTAGAGGCACACTGCTTCATTCCATATGATAAATCTGTATGAACTGCAGAACATATGGACTAATGATTCACTTTCATTATTTGTTTGCCAAACAGTTGGGCAAGCATGGATTTGCCTCACATCTCAGCAAAGGAAATGACTAAGCTACTGAGGCCCTGCCACTGGGTTTGATTCCCACAAAAGGAGAGGGAAGGTGTCTTTGTACATACAAAGTTCCATTAATTATGGTGGGTCCCTCTAGGAACTCTTCAGCCCTGGAGGAAAATGTTTAGATTTATTGTTTAAGCTTGTTTTGTTTTCCTTGTGTGCTACACTGATTTGGTGTAACCCAACACGATTTCTTTCATAAGATTTCTCAGAAGGTGCCAAGTGAAGATAATCCCATTATTGTCTTAGAAAAGACTAAAGAATTCCTTCAAGGAAGAGAATAAGTCATTTGGTGCTGAATTTTCTATGTTTCAGCATAGTTTGAGTTCAGGACTAATAGTAGGGGCATGCATATGTGCCTTCTTTCGGTGATGGAAGTAATTTTTTATTTCTAGCCAACTTCCAAAAGCTTGTGAGCTGTGGGAGCAGATTCTGCAGAGCCACCCAACTGACCTGCTAGCCCTCAAATTTTCCCATGACACTTATTTCTACCTGGGATATCAACGTCAGATGCGAGATTCTGTTGCCCGTGTTTATCCTTTCTGGACACCTGATGTTCCACTGAGCAGGTGAGCCATGCTTCATTTGGAAATTGCTCTTTACCTGCTGTGCATGGACTATGTGGTTTTTAAGTTCAAACCTAAAACTTCAGGATCTTTTGGAAATAAGACATGTAGACAAAAATCAAGAGTCTAGAAGTTAATCAAACTTGACCATGGATAGAATGTGTATCCAGTATTCTTCTTGACACTGTTGGTGAGGTATTTTTCTTAAGTGAGCTGTCAAATATAGCATATGGTGTGTAACACATAGGATAAAATCTTGTCCTCACCCAGGGCAGTGGCAAAATTTCTTCATTTCTTCCAAAAAAACTGTTCACCTTGATCCATTAAACAAATCAGATGCATATAACATCCCTATTTTTTATTTTTATGGCTTAATGGGGATGATTTACAACCAATTTTAAAGGGCCACTTCATGTAAAAGTACCGTCCTGTGGTTTTGTGGGCACTGGGGAAAATGCATGAGATTGCCTTTGAGATGCTCACATAGCTTTGGTGACAGCAGTGTCTCACTTCTAGCCTTTTAATTCTGCATCTTGCAGCTGTTGTGGAGAACAGCAGCTGGTTCTGTGTAGGTGGTGATTCCATCTCATCCAGAGATGGAAATAATATCCATTCTGATGTGTGTCTTGTCACTGTTTGCCATAGTGGTGTCTCAGGGTCACTGATTTCCCCTGAGAATTAGCTTAGTAGTTCTGTATCCTGAGAGCTTGAATCTTGTTGTAAATTGCTCTGCAAGGATGTCTTTGAGTTAAATGCTCTTTCTAGTGTGTTTTTTCAGTCCTGGACTAATCCTTGTTATAATTGAATGATGTGCTCTTTTTCCCCTTCTGTTAGCTATGTGAAGGGCTACTACTCTTTTGGACTCGTGGAAACAAACCTTTTTGACCGTGCTGAGAAGGTTGCCCTTGAGGTAAACTGCTTGCTGTTGGTGCTAAAAGGCTTGAGAATTCTGAGACAGGGTGTTGGTTTCTGCTAGTTATTAGTCAAAGCAGCAAAGAGATACAGCTCAGCATGGAAATGCTCACAGGTCTTAGTGAGACTTGTTGATAACTCCTCTCACATCTCTGCCCCACCAAGGCAGTTTCACTGGACTGCATTTCCTCACTTGCTTATGAGCATGCTGTGTCAGATGGGGTCAGAACACCCCTGTAAAATCCATATATCAGCCCACCTGCTGCTTCCCACATGTATAATTGAATAATTACTCCTATTAAAGAATGTTGGATTGTTTTGACGTAGTCTGCTCTTGACAATCAATCCTCTTTGGCTTCCTGCTCCCTTTTTTCCTAGATCCTTGTTCCTGAATTATTGAACAATTAACTGTAACGATGTTCCTGGGGATTACTATTAGCCAGCCTGTTTCCTTTCTATGAAGATAGTAATTTTACTTGATTATCCCTGTCCTCCAGGAGTCTCACACAATTAATCTCTCTAATGGGTGTTCTTGGCAAAACTTCTGTTACATCAAATTGCTGAAAGTGACAAGAGAGACTAAACCCTAAAACTTAATCTTTACTAGGTTTATGACTAACTTTGCCAAAAGCCTAGTGGGAGTTGTTGGGCCAAGGAAGAGGGATTGGCTGAATACTCAGAGCTGGATGGCCATTTTTTGGAAAAGAGTTATCTGCAAGGCATTATATCATGGAATATGTTGTGCCTGTGCCTGCAGTTCTTTCATTGATGCATGTCTGTGAAATAGATGTCATTTCACAGTCATCATCGAAGCCTGTGTTTTAAAGTGTTTTGCAGGTGTTCATCTCCCTGCAGCAGAAGCTGGGAAGTGAAGTCAGCCAAGAAACATTCTCTTCCTTTTCTGTCCAAATCAGACTTCTGGGCTGTGGTTAGTTGGAGTGGTACAAGGATGTACTTAACATGCAGCAAGTAAAAAGTAGTGTCTTGTTTCTAGATAAGCAGTGATAAATGTCTGGATTTGCAAGTTTGTAAGGCTCATCATGTTTTCCTGTTTTTCACTCACAGGCTTTGGCTATAAATCAGACAGATGCATGGTCTGCCCATACTATAGCTCATGTAAATGAAATGAAAGCAGAGGTGGAGAAAGGCTTACAATTCATGAAGGAAACCGAAAGTAACTGGAAGGTAAACCTTTTTGTGGCATCTCTGAGGAAGCTATTTTTAGGTTTTCTTTAATTCCTGCAGCCAAGTTCTTGAGTCCTCTGCCTGCAGTTCCTTCCTATCTGCAGACCTGTTACAACAAATGCAGAGTTTGCATATTAGAGGAAATCTTCCTTTGAGGTGCTGCTACTCTCCATGCAGCTTTTAAGCAAGAGGCAGGAAGAAGTGGCATGTTATGAGGGACATGACTGTCCCTGTTTGTGATCTGTTGTGTGGTTATAAAACCACAGGCAGGAAGAAGTGACATGTTATGATTTGTGATCTGTTGTGTGGTTAAAAGTAAAGTGACCACTGATTCTTTCACAAGCTTTTTACTTAGGCTGATGTATGCACAGACAGAGGTTTGAAGGACCTGGCTAAATCTCCTCATGGAACCTAAGATGAGATGAAAAATGACACAGTCAAATCAACTATTTCAAAACACTAAAATACTTGTTTGCTTCTGGATGGGGAGGGGATTTTAAGAACAAAGAAAAGAGAAATTATGTTCTTACATCTTTTTTCTTGTACTAATTACTTTCTAGTGTATCAGTTACCTTATATATCCAACATGTTTGATACCACCTTTCAGAGTATTGAACAGGTTAATTAGTCTGTTATGTGGTCCTTTGCTGTAAATTAAGTTTTATTTTGTGTTTGACAGCATTTACCCAGTGATTAAGTCTTGTATTCAGAGCTGAGAGCTGTGAGGTTTGCCTTTGCTAGAACCCACAAGAGTATTTTAGAGTCATCTGAGCTGACTATCCCACCTCACACCAAGAGCAGGACTGGATAGTGAGACTAGAAAGGCTGGTTTTGTGCTTGTTTTATTTTTTAAGTTAAGCATTCAGATACTGGGCTTGGAAATGCAGACAGAAAACTCTTGCTTGAAGTTTACACTTGTCACTTCCCAGAAAGCTTTTTGTCTTAATATGTTAGTTTTAATGAATCAGTGATTGACAGCTTGGGAGATACCTTAAAAACCCCAGTCAGTGACTTTTGGATCAATTTTTTTTTTAATTCTTGTTTCTTAAAATAGTTGCATGTCTCTGTGATTCATACTCTTTATCCAAATAAAATCAAGTTCAAGCCCACTTCTCTCTAGCAGTTTCATTTTTTTCAGAGCTCAAATTTAGCAGCAGGGAAATGGTTTTGCTTTATTTAGTCAGGTAATTCCATTATCTTGTTTGAATGTCATTTGGAATGGCAGTATGATATTCAACTGGATATTACCAGTGTTTATGCCAAGCACATAACTGCTTCTGTTGCTTGGGTTTGGTCTGTGATTTAATATTAAACAAGCAAAGATTACCAGAATGTTTATCTTAGGGGCCCTGACATTTATTGGGAACCTTTACCTTTGTGCTTCCTGAAAGTGGTTGTCACAGTTGTCAGTATGACAATAAAGATGATTTTTCCACTTGTGGGACCATTAAGTTTCCCTACAGAACCAGGAGAGAGTGGGAGGAGAGGGGTGAACCTTTCTGGTATTTTAATTTTCACCAAAGGATTATGGAACTACATTTGTCTATTTTTAATGCATTCACAAAAATGAACTGCAATTGCCTTGAACTGCAGGCTAGGGAAGAGGATTTGCAGTTCTGGTGCCAGCTGGAAAGGACAGTGTGAAATTGGTGCAGTTCAGCAAAAATTCATCTCACCTGATGAGCTGCCAGCCAGTGTGTTTGGCATCTCTTGCAGCTTCTGTAGCCTGTAGTAAAACTTGTTTAAAAAGTGATTCCCCTTTTTCTGAGGTAGGTTCTGGATGAATGGCCCCCATAAGGACTCCATATCCTCCTCTCTCCATGATCTGGCCAGGATACTTCAGACAAGATGCCTAAATTTTAGATGAGACAAATCTTACTCTTCTTATAGATGTGGATTAAATTTATTTTTTTTAAAGGGTGCTGAAGAAAGGTGAATTCTGAGGCATCCAAGTGAAACTCTTATCTGGAAAATGATGTGGGGGGAAGCCTTGGGTTTGAGGTGTTGCCCTGAATAGCTGCAAGGACAGGTGTACCAAGTGAGGTGTCCTGGCAGCTGATTTAAATTTCTTGTCTTTTTTGTGTCTCCTGAAGTATTCAGTTTTGCTGAAAGAGGAAACAGAAAGCTGACTAGATAACTTGAAAAGTGGTTATTTTGTAAATATCTTTTTTTCTCTCTCCAGAGCAGTGATATGCTTGCTTGCCATAATTACTGGCACTGGGCTTTATACTACATTGAAAAGGTATGAGATATTTTCATACATGTGCTTTATGGTTCAGATAGGTTATTTAAAGCTCTTTAAAAGGCAGAACTAACATTTACTGGGGAGGGGTGTGTATCAGCTATTTGAATGGATGTTTTTATAAAATAGCACAATTCTATATTAACAAAGTGGCATAGTCCTTTATTACTGCTCTTTTAAGGATTTTAATTGCATTGGTCAACACTTTCAGGATCTTTCTAAGAATGTTGAAATATTGCTGTGAGATTATTACATGTTTGAAGATCCAGTAGTCTCACTAATTACATTTAGCAGTTATTTGATAGTAAGATGAATGTAGATCTCTAATTTTGAGGCAAAAATTAACAAAATTCTTAGCAAATTCAGTACTCATTTTCTGGCCCAAAAATTTTCTGACTATAAAAAAAAGGCCATAAACTCTAAATTGGGTTGCCAATGCTATAAATTATTTTTACTAATTCTTACTATTGAAAACCTTTAAAAATGGTTGAAATTTTACCCAGCCTGTCAGAATTTCCTTGGATTTAATGCTTAGCACTTGTGGGATTCAGCTTAATAGGGAGATAAATGTGGCATTCTTGAGAAGGCAGCATGCTCTGGCCAGAAAGCAGAGTAACACAGAAGGAACATAATTCTCAACAGGAGTCCAACAGTTTATTTATTTTGTCTCTTCCTAGCTACATAACTTTTTTGAATCCTACTTAAAACCATTTTTTCCCATCTCTTTGCATACACCATGGGATGCACTGATTTTTGCAAACATCCATGAAAGGAACATTAGAATGAGAGGCTATACCTCCATGTTTCTCCTTCTTGCTTAACTTGTGCCAGTATTGGTATTTCTTCTTAGATGAAACCTCAACATAGTGATCATTTTGCCTATTAAATCCAGGTTTTTCTGCTTTGAATACCTCAAGGTTTCTTTGACTTGGTTTGTTTTGATCAGACAGTCCTGAAGAGCTGTTATGATGTCTGTTAATGTTTTTATCTCTGGTTGCTGTGTCTGCACATTAACCACACAGTCCTCCTTTGCTTTTCCAGGGGGAATATGAAGCTGCTTTGACAATTTATGACCAGCATGTGAGTAGGGGCCTTTTTTTCTTTACCTAGATCATGCAAGATCTTGATGTGATGATGATGTGTGCTTTCTTCCTTCTGTGTGACATTGAATCTCCTATCACAGTGCGTGATCTGTGTATAAATATTGTTTACATCTCTCATCACAGTCTTTTAGGGAAACAACTTCTCAGCACTTCTGGGGAAAATGCCCCAAGGATTGAGTGTTACATAGTTTGAGTGCTTGAAAGAGCTACAGTGGTACTGATTTCCATTCTGTCCATGTTTCTTATTCATACCTTTCAAAGGATGTAAATAGTCAAGTCACCTCTACAATGAACTGGTTTTCATGTTAGGTACAAAGTCAACTGCCTGGATTTCAAAACAACCTTTGTAAATAAGCAGTATCAATTTAGATAACACAGCACATCTTTGTAAGGATTGTAAAAATACCACAAGCATTAAGCTGCTGGGCAGATTTCTATCTACTGACATTGATCCAGTGAAGTAATATTTATGGCAGAATTTTGGAAAAAATAAAATACTGTGGTTACTCTCCATATTTACTGGGAAAAACAACACATGTAAACCATATAAGTTTCTGTCATTGCAAATTCCTTTCTTCAAGAAAAATGCAATTAGGACTATTACAAAACAAGTAATTTTGAATTAATAGAAGGATAAAATTAATTTAGTACTGTGAAAATAAGTTTGATAGTCTGAAGAAGTGTCCACTAGTGCATGACTTGGCCAGCCTATGAGTACTTGTGATTACAGATTGCTCCCGTGTGCCTGGCAAGTGGAAGCATCCTGGATATAGTTGATAACAGTTCAATGCTGTACAGGCTTCATCTGGAAGGTAGGATATGCTCTGGCCATTGTTTTTTATAACTTTTTCTTTTTCCCTTCCCCTGCCATTCATGTTGGGGAGGTACTTCAGTATAATTACACAGCAAACTCGGTCAGTGTTCCAGAAGAAACTTGAGAAAAGCATCAATGTGAAGTTCCTAATAATGTCCATAAGCTTTATTCTTCCCAAAAGCTGCAGTTTTCCATGCCAGTGTGGCACAGCAGTCAGCTCCAGCTAGCATAGGTCACATACTTCTTCTCTGACAACTTCAGTTCTATTGCTCCTGGAGGTCTGAGGCTGAGCAAACAAGTGCATAAGCCTCTAAAAACCCATAGTACTTTCTAGACATAAATTCCCAATTAGATCCTTTTTTTTGCTGTTTAGATCCTGATTGAAATAGTGTGGGCATATCAGCCTCTGGCTTTTTGTACTCCCCTAACTCAATGACATTCCCCTTTTTAAGCCAGTGTTTATACTCTGGGGTTCATGGCAGGGGACGTGATGGGCAGACAGTATTTCACACTGCTCTGCTAAAACACTAATGATGTTATTGAGGGTTTTATTAAATCCATCTTCTCACTCTGTCTTGTGATTCCTACAGATGGCTCATGGTGAGCAGCACCTCCAAAACATTATGAGCAATCTCATAATAAAGCCAGAAGCTCACACAATGCAGACTAAAATAATGCCTTTAAACTCCTGACAGTCAAGAAACTCTTGGCCCACATAAGGCAAGCTGCAGTTGAGCATTATTGCTGTGTTCATTTTGCTACATCAGGAAATGTTCTCTTGAGTTCAGAAGGAATGCATTTTATGCTGAGTGGCTGACAGTAATTGCAAAGTCATGCTTTTGCACGTGGCAATATTATTGAGAAAAGTATTTCTTACTCTTAGGTGTAAAGCTTGGGGACAGGTGGAATGATCTGCTTGGGGTTACGAAGAAGCACACCAAGGATCACATTCTTCTGTTCAATGATGTGCACTTCTTGATGTCTTTCCTTGGAGCCAAAGACCACAAAACTACTGAGGAGCTTTTAACAACTCTGCAGGAACTTGCCAAGTAAGCAATGGAATTCCTGCACTGGGCTCAGGGAATAGCCCTCTGAACTTCAGTGCAATCTGACTTGCTGAAGTTCCAAGATGCTCCTCCTGCCTTAGCATGTCACTGGGACACATCTGGGTTAAGCAGGCAGTGTCCACTTAGGAGATCCATATTATTATTTGTTTACTGAGTTAATGTCTAGCGGGGTTCCTCATGTTGATGAGCAGAAATGTTTTGTGTTTGAGGTCATGGACACCACCTGAGCAGTTGCTGTGTTTCCTTTTAGTGGGGTCACACTAAGCTGTGTTACAGACAAGCAGTAAAGAACATTAATTAATAAGAACATTCTACAAGATACATCAGCTGTCTGTGGTGGATCTTTTCTGCTCTAGTTTAAAAGGTTATTAACAGAACACTAGTTGGTAGTGATATTCTAATGGCTTCTCTTTGAAGTGTTGTTAAGTCCATCTGCAGGAAATTAGGTTTCAAGTACTACTAAAGTAATAATCTAGAATATTTCACTTTCAAATTAAGTTATTTGAAAAAGTTGAATATTTAAGTACTACATCCAAACAATGAAGGTTTTTTGTTCCCTTAGTTATTAAATGACTATGAATTGCCTTGTTGTGTTTTTTTTAAGGGGTTGATATATAGATGCTTTAAATTCAATTTCTTTTCCTCACTACACCCTTTTTTTTCCTCTGTTTAAGCATCTATGGCTTCCTTAGAAAGAAGGAAGAAAGGAGAACCTGAACTTGTCACTATTTGTTCCTGACTATATGTAGTTTTGAGGAATACTGTAATTTTTAAGAATACTTATCAAAACAAATAACTTCCAAAGCAACCCTCAGTATGTCTCATTTAACTAAAGTAGAAAACAGTAAATATCTTTATTTATTCTATTATTTATATAAGTATGTCAGGTTATATAAAGTATAGAAAACTGTCCACCACAGAGGCTTTAATGAACATGTGTTGATGTATGCTACTTATTCTTTCACCCAGTGCTTCCTTTCACCTACTTTCAGCCTTAATAATACTTGTGTACATTTTTAGCTGTAGTTTGAAATATTATAAAGCTTCATTTCATTATTTGAGAAAGAAGGCTGTGAGCTGAAGGGGCTGTATTAATCTATCACAAATATGTAATATATAAATGATACCCAGAGGCGTTCTGTTGGTGTTAAGAAAGCAGCGTTACAACCTGGGCACAAACATCTGGCATTGCACCGGTATTTTTCCCTGGCCTTAGCCATGGAAAGTTGCTGGGAATTTGTCGGGTGTCCCATGGCGCTCTCTGGTGGTTGGTGTCACAGGCTCCTCTCCATGGAAATGCTGGACAAAACGTGGAAATGAGGAATTGCTCCATCATTTTCATCACTGGCTGTCTCAGACTGCTTCAAATGAACATCTGTTGGGCACTTTTATCTTTCTAGGATGCCAGTTTGTTTAAGGAATGATAAACACACAGGGCAGTGTTGCCTACTGGAAAATGGAGGCTGGCCCAGTGAAAGCAACTGGAAGTTTTGTAAGGCTGACTTGGGAAGGAGCTGGCTTGCAAGGTCATGGCTGAGAGCTGTGTGCAAGGACAGCACATGTGGCCACACAAAGCACTAGCAGTAGGATGTCCTGGTGGGGTCACAGAAGAGAAACTGCAGTTTTCTTACTGTCCTAGCCCAAACTGTTTATTGCAGAGCTAGGAGGGGTTGGGCTTGTGCCTTTTGTGGGTATATTCAGGAGGATAAAAACTGGTTGCTGGCTGAGTGACAAAAAGGTGAAATAGCATAACCACACCAAAAGTTATGACCTAAGTCAAGTACCTGAAACATCAGGCTTTGTACAGTAAAAAAAACCCAAAACACCTGTTTGCAGGCAGGGGCAGACTGGCATTGAAATGTGGCTATTTATGCTTTGGTTTATGAAAGTTAACCACTTTTTCATTCTGCAGAGCACCTCGTGAAGACCACCAGCTTTCCCTGGCTCCTCGTTTGGGGCTGCCACTGTGCCAGGCTTTTGTGGAGTTTGAAAATGGGAATTGTGACAAAGCTGTAGACCTGCTGTACCCAATCCGTTATGAACTAGTCCAAGTGGGAGGCAGTGATGCTCAGGTAAAGGAGAGCCAGAAAAGACTTCTTGTTGTGACTTAATCCCCTTTCAGTAGCCACCATGAAGCACTCACCACATCAACAGCACTTCAGTGTCAGAGTGAACTGTGCTTGTGACTGAATCCTGTTTGCAAACACTTACTAGCGGGGTTAACTATTTATTTTGAATGTTGATTTGTTTCCTTCCTGTGAATTTAATAATTTGGTAACTGTGACATTACTTATTAGTTTGTATTTTGCTGACTTTTTTTCCAGAGAGATGTTTTCAGCCTGTTATTGATTCATGCTGCTTTAAATTCTAAATCAAAGGCCAAACAAAACCTTGCAAGGTGAGTATTTCCCCTGATAAGTATTTAGCACTGTTCCTAAAAGTAAGAAATAATGAATATACTCAAAAAGTAAGAAGTAATGAATATATTCAAACATATAAATTTAAGGCTAAACATGCAAGCATTTGTGTTAAATGTAGCAACATTTAAGCAGGATAATACAGTACAATAGCTTCCAATTCCAAAAGTCCACTCTTTCAGCCTAAATGGATGATTTGTGTATGTCCAAGGGCAGTTGATTTTCAGATGGTTCTGTCTTCAGACATGGCCTGTTGACCACGTGTGTTATGGACTGCTGTAACCCCAGTCAGTGCCCCTGCTGGCATCTGGGGAGCAGAGGTGTGCTCTGCCACGTGGGCTTGCCCCTCAGCACAGCCTGTTTGGCAGAAGAGTCCACGTTTATCACCACTCCTCACCCTCCTGCTGCTCCTTCCACAGGTGTCTCCTGCACGAGCGCGATATGATGAGACCCAAGTCACCAATGACTGAGCGACTGATCAGGAAGGCAGCAGCTGTGCATTCCATGGCATAGAGCTTTCCTCCAGCTTCAGCTGGAAGAGCCAGGAGCTTTCCACAAAGTCTGGGTGCAGGGAGTGCAGAGGTGCTGTGAAGGAATTCAGGGAGGTACACAAGGTTAAAAGATCTGATAATTATTTCCTTTTAAAAAAGACAGAGCTGTTGCATTTCTGGAGGTTGTGTCTTAGATGATTCCACAAGAAGAAAACTTGCTGATAGTGCAAGCAAAACCTGCTGACAAAGCTTTCTGGGGCATTTCAAAGGCATGCTGCTCTGGTATGTTTTCCTGAACATTCCCTCTGACCCTGATTCTACACAGTGCAGTAACAGTGCCTGGATTTCAGTCCTTCTTTGGCCCAGTTTGGTACTTGGCCTAGAGGTGAAGTAAACTGCTCAGGTAATTCAAAGGGAGCTTTGAAATAAAGCTAACAGGAAGATTTAGGGCCAGAGCCAATACAGGCATGAACTGAATTCCATATTGAGCTTCCAGCCCATTTGGGCAAGAGTCACAGATCTGTCTGGATTCAGGATCTCTTTCCAGGTGTACATTTTTAAACTCCCTCTCATAAAATGTTAATTTTTTCCTCCCAATATAGCACATCAGAGCTTTCTGGCATTATGGGTAAATGGAACCAGACAAGAATAAAGACTATTTTGACATGGGTGCTCCCTCAGCACTTTTAAATCTTTCAGAAAAAGCGAAAAGCCTGGATTTCAGCTGAACAGTACCACTTCTGAAGGGTTGTTGGACTGGGTCTTTGTGCTTCCCTGAGCTTTTGGATAGCCAGGCCTTGTTACCATCTCACTCCAGAGAGGCCCTGCATGTTGGCAAAGTGGGGTTTAAACCAGGGTTAAAGCACACACTTTGGAGAGGTGAAGACCAGGAGGAAACTTCTGCCATGGGAGAGGGCTCAGGGGGACGGGCACAGCTGGGTCCCAGCACATGTCATGGGATAAACTTCAGTGCTGCAAGTCAGGAATTATGTGAGCCACGGGCCTCGAGGGAGCTCTGGTGCCTCTGGATTCCTGCAGCATCCCAGAGTTAACACATTGTCTTGCAAAAGTATTCCAGAAATCCCTGATGACAGGGAAGATCATATTTCAGACCAAAACTGAACTTCTGGAATAGAAGTGCCATACTCTGCAACTGCCCAAGCTCTGGCTTTATTTCCACATCTGCAAACTCTCCTGGCCTCACAGGCCAGCCCCTCCTTCCTGTCCAGCTCAGGCTCTTCCCCATGTCCCACAGCAGCCTCGTCCTCCAGTTTCCTTTTGGCCTAAGAAAGCACTTCCATAGCTGGCCCTGCACTGCCCCTGGAGTTCCTGCTTCGTGGAAGTGCTTTGCTGACATTTTGCTTTACCCAATCCTCCCCTGATGCAGAAATAGCTTATTTTTAAAGGAAGAATAATAAAACCATGTCAGGGATTGCATTCCTTGCCTGACTGATGAACATGCTGCTCTTCAGCAGATAGCTTGTCTCTTCAGCCATGGTGGGGGTGACTCACTTGGGACATGTTACACTGGATTTTTACTATTATTTCTAATAAGTGCACTACAAGCAATGACTTTAGACATTGCTAAAAGTAACAAACTGTATAAGGGAACAAAAGCCTGAGAAAGCTCTGGCTGGCTATGCAGGGTGTAATCAATGACAGCTATACTTTTGATAGAACATGATTGTGAATTTTGTCTGCTTTGCCTTAATAAATTCAAAGATTATCTTTGTTAAGCAAGTACATGATTTCTTTGCATGTGTGAAGCTCTTAAATGTGTTATTCAGCCTAATTTCATAGATGTTAGCAGTGTGCACCCACTTTGTTTCCATCACAGTGGCCAGAAGCATTCAGCAGTGGAGAGCAGCAATACCTGCTGCAGGTCCCAGCCCAAGTGTGGCTCAGCCTCCCAGGGGTTTTCCTTGGTGCCATTTAGGAAGAAGCTGAGATGCCATGAGGTGGGAGAACTGTTGTTTCTTTCTCATCCTCCAGCATTCAGAGTATGCCTTTTCCAGCTTTCCTCCCCCTTCAGCTCAGTTACCCAGACTGCAGCTCTCACCCCCAGTCCTTACTCTCTGTGTGTGGTGATCTGGGCTGATCCTGAGCTGTCAGCATCTCACTGGCACCCTCCCCAAACAGGCCTGCCTTGTGCCTCCCAGGCATGGGGTTTCTACAGATTCAGATTCTTTAAGTTACTCATCTGCATATTAAAGAAGTACTTCCTTACAACCTCTCAATATCTCACTACTTTGACATCTAAAACAAACAATTCCACCACTACCTCACTTAATTATTTCACCTTTTCTTAGGACTTCATTAACTGCTCAGAGCAGCTGTTTAATTACATGAAATCTAACCAAACGACCGAACCTCTCAGTATCTCACTACTTTGACATTTAAAACCAACAATTCTGCCACAACCTCAATTCTTTCACCTTTTCTTAGGATTTCATTAACTGCTCAGAGCAGCTGTTTAATTACATGAAATCTAACCAAACGACCCCACCGCTTTAATATTAAACATCTCCTAGTTAGGAAGTTAATTTACAGAAATATTCTCTCCTTAGTAATTAGCTGAACACCTACCCTACAATGGCAGTCCACATGTGCAGTTCCCAGGTTTAGAAACACCAAAGGAAGACGGGGAACACAGGCAGGGGCTGGTTCATTCAGCATATTTAGTCTTGCCCTGTTTATGTAAAGACAAACTGCACACTGAAAGTGCCTAAAAACAGGTTTTATTTGCAAATGCAACAAGCTCAGTAATTCAGGAATTCTACAGGCAAACAAGAGAAAAAGAGATCTTAAAAAGTGTTAAAATCTTCTCCGCATGTTTTCATTTAGTTCCAAGTGATTTTCGTAAGATTTTCTGGATTTACTTTTTCCGTTCCTCTTGGGAAGAACTTGATATCTTTGAGCAGTTGACAGATTTCTATCATAGATGCAAAAACCTTAGAGGCTATTGGTGTTTCTGTAAAGCTTATCTGAAGGTAATAGTTACTGCTTCTCTGTTCTCACATCGTTTCCCTCTGAACAGCTAAACTGCCTGAATATGGCATTTTGTACAGAGGACTTTCGGTTTGATCCACTTACAGACTCGCTGCTAACATCCAGTAGAAATTGCAGAGGTTTCTTGCCCAGGATCACCCCCAAAACAAGAAGAGATCCCCACTTGTCAGCACCCTGCCCCACACAAGTGGGCAGTAGAACATGCGGATGGTGCCTCAGGACAGCAGTTCCACCACTGGCCTCAAGAGAACCTAACTGGTCTCTTCTGGTCCCATTCTAATCTGGAAAAACGAAAATTATTGCACAAACAGGACAGAACATCTCTATGATCCTTAAGAAGCTTCTCCTGTCCTGTTGTGCTACGTGGCCATATCCACTGGAAAGCCTGGCTCGTTGGGACACAGCCTTTGTGTCCTTATGGCCATTAGGTACAGCCAAACCACCAAATTTTGGTATCTGCTTACTCACATGTGGTGGCTTTCACAGTTTCAGTTGAGCTCTGCTTTTGTATAGGTTACAGCAAGTTGCTGCTCATTTCCACAAAGAATATGATCCAACAGCTTTCTGATCCATCTGCCATGGTACAGATGAAAATTCTCGAGAACTGACAACATGGATTTAAAATATGCTTTTTCTTTTTTTGTTTATCATTTTAACTCAAAACATGTACCAGCATTAAAAGCAGTGCTTTGAAAACAAACTCAAGTCATTATTACCTACACTGAGTTGTTTATAATAATGATAGATGAGAGAATCAAGAGCAGATGAATTCTGCACCGAAAAGAATCTCTGGCTACTAAAAACGTGAAAGCTTCCTTTAAAACTAATGTACTGTTAATTTTTCTTTTAATTGTTTTTAATTGTTTGCAAAGAGAAGTCCTCTCTATTTTTTTTAGACGATGCATTTGCAATTATTTTCCCACAGCAGTCCTAACATTCAATTTCCCATCCCACAACTCTCATTTTTCTGCTATGGTTATCAAAATGTCTGCGCTTCATTTAAGAGAGGAAGAGAAGAAGATAAGGCAGTAACAACAAATGTAACATCTGCTTTGCCAGCCCTCCTCAATGCAAAAATTGGATTAACATTCCGAAGAACTGTGTTAAAAAGAAAGAAGTCACCAAATAGTAGAACACCTGCAATCTGGAAAACAAGATGAGGGACACAAGATTTCCTAAGATATAAGTTCCTTAGTTCCTCTAAGATATAACACATTTTTTTCCCTCCTCTCTAGGCACTCTTATTCCTGTCTCTGTCTGCTCTCTTATTCTCTCCTCTTTATACTCTATTATGTACTCTGGGTAAATCTGGTGTTTCTCAAAGACAACAAAAACAGAAGGATTTAACTCGTCATCCACACAGCTGTCATATAACCACAGCTTGTCAGCACACTTCATGGGGGGCCGCACGTAGGCGGCGTTGCCTTTAACGTAGTCTCCAACCAGAACACGAGCCACGAACATGAAGCGTTCCTGCAGCACAGCCTGGCAGTAGGCATGGGAATAGCGAGCATCTCTAGAAAAGTAGCTTCCTAGAAAACGAGATGGAAACGTGGTTGTGAGGAGAGTCTGTACAGTGACAGCAAAAGCTGAGCATCCCCTGGGTTTTTAGGAGGTATCTGACTCAACTTTCAGGGACTTCTCTTACCCAGTTTACAGAATACCACCAAAATTTTTGCAAGAGAGGGGACTGCACTATATAATTTCCATTCACTATTTGCTATTTCAGGAGTAATTTTTTAAGCTATACCAATAAGCACACTACAGGACTGTGTGTTGAGATGAGAGGGACAGACAAGAAAACATGAGGACCTTCCATGATCTCACTGAGGGCATACATGCCCCTCTGCTCCCTGCCATACAAACTGATTTGTAAATTCAAATTATGACCTCAGACATCAGAAAACGCCACCTACAGCAAATCCCAAATCACCAATACTCTTGACACCTTGTGAGAAGATTTACCCCCAACCCAAATCAAATCCTGGCCCTCTTCAGAAGGATCATAATACCAATTCTTATCTTTTTTTTTGTCCTTCTATAGTTAAAGACTTCAGAACCTTTGACTGCTCCACTAGCAGGAGAGTCTCAGCAGACATCTCACTTTCTACATACCCTTCCCATAGTTAGTTCCATTGCTTCCACAAATTCTCCAGTCAAAGTTCTGACTGCAGATCGTTTCCATGGAGGTGACGTCAGTTCCATGGAACAGGCGTTTTTCCTGAACTTCCTTTCCTCCATTTTCCCTTTTCATCTTCTCTTTTTGCCTGACAAAAATTAAGGGGAGGAGAATGTGAGCCATGGAAGAAAAGGCAAAAAAGTGGTTTTTTTAAACAATTTAAACTGTGTAACATCCATGTAAATGTCAGCTGGATGAGGCTTCCAGCCTGCTCTCGCCTCTCAGAAGATAAGACACACTTAGCAGCATGATGAACAAGCACGAGATGAGCACAGTACTGACACCACTGCTCAGCAATTCTAGATAATTCTGGCTTTACTCAGGGAATTTAGGCATTTGACACTATTCCAGTCACCGCTGTGCCAACCTCTTGCTCCTCTGCAGGAGGTCAGTGCTGCTGGGGAGATGGGGCCAGGACACAAACCCAGCCTGCTTTGCCCACTTCTCACCTCGCTGGCTGAGGCCAGAGTCAGACTGAGCTGTGAACAGGGTCAAAAGAAAAATCACAACAAAAGGCTCAACTCATATTTCCCATCATTATTCCACAGCATCCTGACACCTCTCAGTTTTTCAGAAGCTGCTGAAGTGGACAAGGCAGTAATATTCTCCAGAGAGTCATCAGCCACCAATTAAGCAGAGCCAGAGGGAAGGGAGAATCCTTCCAACTTGTAAATTAGTAAATGGAAAGTTAAGAGCAATGGACTGAAACTTGTTCATTGAGAACTTACTGCGAGGGTGGTGAGGCCCTGGCACAGGGTGCCCAGAGAAGCTGTGGCTGCCCCATCCCTCAAAGTGTTCCAGGCCAGGTTGGACAGGGCTTGGAGTAACCTGGCATAGTGGAAGATGTCCCTGTTCATGGCAGATTGGATGTGCTTTAAGGTCTTTTCCAACCCAAATTACTCCATCATCCTCTGGACTTGGCCTGCTTAGCTTAATTACCTCATTGGAGGAGGATAAAAAATATGCAGTACTACATGCTTTGAAGTCTCTTATGTTTTGCTAGATTAAAAGGTTTTATGAATCAGTGGCTGATAACTTTCTGTGTTCTATCATTTTGCAGGTGAAAGCATTTATTTGAGCAGTATTTTTCTACTCTATTACCATTCCATACAGTCCTTGAATGCTTACTCTTGTTTTAAACTAGACAACTGTTCTAAGCAACAGCTTAATCCTGTATCAAACTAGCTTGAACATGGTTGAACCCCAGCTCTAATCTGCTGGTATCCAGCTTGGCCTAAGTACCTCGTGTTCAGTATCACTGATGCAGATGTTGAAAACCAGAAAGGACCTCTGGAACTCAGAGATCATCGAGTTAAAACACAAGGATTCTTTCTCAGTGAATACTGACTTTGTTCAGCAAAAGCACCTTAAATAAATCTGACTGGAACAAAAAGGCCCAAGCAGCCTTTACTCTTATTAGCATTTCATATACTCTAATGGATAAAGATTTGTAACAGAGCATGTGTGCAGCAGGCAGTTACTGCTCCATCCCTGAGACAATCACTGTTCCACATCCCTGTAGGTATCTCAGCCCAGATCTGCATCATGCATGTCTTTCTCTCCATGCTCCTCTCCCCCTCTTCCAAGGAGCCATGCAAAGGGAACCTCCCACAGAACCTCCCCACATTCCATGTCTGTGGAATGCCCCAGACACCAATCTCACTCCTGAATTGCTAATAACAAAATACCAGTCATGTTAAGGCACAGGTGGCCACCTCCTTTCTCTCCTAGAAAGCACAGACAGGACACCCTATTCTTGGAGACTGCCTCCTCATAAGGACAGGGAAACAAGTACTGACCACTGAAACACCTTCCAGAGGGATGGATTCTGAATCCTCTGTATTTTAAGGATGCTGTAATTTTTCATAGTCTGATGAAACAGCTGCTTTATTTCATTGTATTCAGAGGTTGTGTTGCTGATCACCACTGCCTATAAAACACAAACCAAAGCAAAAAAAGGCATGAGGCTGCAGTGAGTTTGGAACACACAGAAGCCTAATTCCAGCAGACACACTTTCAGAAGGGTCCCCAAACGATGCTTTTGAAGGGCAATTAAATGCTTTAGATCATGACTGTGTGAATAACCAAATACCAAGGAAATCAGTCTGTCACTCCTGCTTTGCAAGGACACCTCACCTCTCTTCAGGAAGGATGCTGAAAGGTTTATGATCTCCAAGTGTTGACACCTGCAATTTTAAATCTCAAAGGAACAGAAATTGGAAAAAAAAAATTTTGACAGATTATTCCAGAGAGTGTCAGTTTTATATCTAAAGCTGATTAAGAACAAAAGATCTTAGATAACATGTAATGGGAGCTTCAGCTATTAAAGATTAAACAAGCAAAACATAAATACCCTCCTGGCACTGTAGTGCCTTACCTTTTCAAAGTTAGAACATAGAAAGCTTTACTTAAATACAGACTTCAAAAAAACCCCTACATTTCTAAACAAATGTGACACCGAATACCTGTTTAAACAAATACATCTCCTTTCCCAAAGGAAACAAAGTTTATTTAGCCATTATCCTTTTATTTATTTATCCATACATTTTGTGTTTAAAAGTCCATTAAGAAATGCTCATTTTTCACAAAGAGAATTTAATGCAAAAATAATTAAAACGTTACTCGAGCTCTTCTGCTTGTTTGTGTCATGCATGAATTTTCCATTTTTTTCTCCAAAGTAATTCATGTCTTTTACCTTCTAGAATCAACATTTATCTCCATAAACTGCAAAAGTGTGATGCTGGCAGGCTGATGTCACCTGGTAATACTTTCCACTTCACCACAACTTAAGCCAAGTGGGAACTCAAGATTACAAAGTGAGATCCCAACAGCCCACGTTCCAAAGTGTTTCAAGCAGGAAAGCTGTGGCCATCCTAAAAGGTAACAAGGAAACTAACATCTTACCCTACCAGGCAAAAACTCCCTGTTTTAGAAAGTTGAGCTTAGAGAGAAAATAAAGTAGGATAAAACTTGTGCTTCACAGATACATTTAAGCACTTACTAATGAGGAGATCACTCACAGGGAAGTGTTCTAAAGATTAAGAATAAAGTCAACTGGCTGCACAAGAGCTATTTTTTTAAATTTATTTAAAAGCCTTTAAAAAATTGAGTGAAATTTCCCATGTCTCAATACAGAAGCATTTTCCAAAGCTTTACAGCACAGCAATAAAACAATCAGGATGTGCAAGTATTGATTGCCTGCAGTCTGTGGCACCGCAGCCCAAGTTGCTCACCATCACCTACAGGATGAAGATCATGTCACTCTATTTCAGTACTACATCTTTTATTTAGAATCACAGAATGGCTTGGGTTGGAAGGGACCTTAAAGCCCAACCAGTGCCATCCCCCTACCACAGGCAGACACCTTCCACTATGCCAGGCTGCTCCAAGCCCCATTCAACCTGGCCTTGGACATGTCCAGGGGTGGCACAGCCACGTTCTCTGGGCATCCTGTGCCAGGGCCTCACCAGCCTCACAGGGAAGAACTCCTTCCTAATACCCAGTCTAAAGCTACTCTCTGTCAGTTTGAAGCCATCTCCCCTCGTCTTGCCACTCCAGGCCCTTGTAAATGATCAGCATTCTTCCTAATACCCAGTCTAAACCTGCTCTGTCAGTTTGAAGCCATCTCCCCTCGTCTTGTCACTCCAGGCCCTTGTAAATGATCAGCTCAGCACAGGGAGGGTTCAGGGGCAGGGCATGTCCAGCTCTCACCACCAGCACCCCCAAGGCCTTCTCCCAGGGCTGCTCCATCTGCTCATCCCCAGCCTGGATTGACCCCAAAGCTCATCCTGACCCAGGTGCAGCACTGGTACTTGTTGAACCTCATGGGATTCCCATGGGCCACTTCTTGAGTTTGTCCACATCCCTTTGGATGGCCCTGTCCTTCAGGTGTGTCACCTACAGCGTTCAGCTTGGTGTCATCTGCAAATTTATTTATACATGAACAATTTCCACTTAAACTACAAATGTACTTTTGCTCTGCTGCATCCTTCAGGCTCATGGTGTGATTCTTGGGGTGTCCTGTGCAGGGCCAGGTGCTGGACTCGATGATCCCAGTGGGTCCCTTCCAAGTCAGCCTATTCTGTGATCTCTTCCTGGGGAACTGAAACCTTTCTAGGTAAAACAGAGGGTCAGCCATGTTACACAAGGCCTAATCCTGTAAGAAAGGTACTTCCATTATTTTATCATATGATGGCCTCCTGGCAACAAAGCTGTTCTCCTTTCCATGAGAACTTGTGGGTTTGTCCCTATTTCCCCAAGGATGCTTCTAGTGCTGAAAAAGGACCACAGCATCACACTGCTATTGAAGGCTGATATGGCATAACTACACAACTTCTTCAGCATTTTTCACCTTCAGGCCTGAAAAGGAAATCCCACTGAGTGTGAGCATTTGCTACCCTGTTATCAAGGAGCAGAGTTCCCAAGGCAGAGAAGGAATCTCTGCTCTGGCAGCAATTCCCACCAGTGTATGACTGCACAAGAGCAGTACCCTGTGACTCACACCCTGAGCTCTGCTTCACTGGGGTGTTGGAAGGAGCAGGGCTGGTACTGGTGGCAGTGTCCCCACCAGAGCTGACATCTGTAAAATGCACACACACTCTTCACATTGCATCCTGTGCCTGGTACAGTGCAGCAGTCCTTGGCCTGCATGTGGCCAGGATTCAGCAGCAGATCAACCACACAAAGACTGGCAGGAAACCACACATCCAGTGCACTTTTCTGTGCACATTAAAGAGACAATTTTAAACCCAGAAAGAGGTTTCAGGATATAATAAATTCTTTTTTTTTCTTTTAAAACATTTAAAAACTACTAACTCCACTTTGTGACAACAAAGACAGAAAAAATTCACACCAACTTTCCAATCAATGTTACCAATTTCTATTGTGCATTTTATACACTTCTTTCTACAGAACTGTTCTCAATGACTTACAGATTAAGACATGGCAATACTCAAAAAATAAGCAATGTTACCAAAACACAGCATCTCATTTTAAGCCAAGATGACTTTCTGCCTATCTCACAGGTTCCTTTTAAAAATGGATCACTTCCAGCACAGCAGATTTTGCCAGGATTATTTGTCAATGTCTGAAGAGAAGGCAGTTCATCGAGTTGTAGCTGTCAGCTCTTACAATGGTCACCACAAGCATGCAGAATCCCAGCCACTCCCAATATTACCTACTGCAAAAAAAACAAGCTTAGGGTCCCACAGAAAGCCTGGGCTAGATTAAATCTTTCTCTTTTAGTGCCAACAGGCACTGTCACTTTTCCTTTCCTGTGAAAGGCACTCACTCACAAGTTAAAGAGATATTTTCTTAGGTGCCAACTGAGCAAGCAAACTGAGCTCTTTCACACATCCCCACATGTACAACCAAAAGATACCATGGATCTGTGCAGTGCATTCCAAACTTCCCCCATTCACCCACATTCACCAGTTTCTGGTGACTCCAGAAACACCCCAACAAAAGTACTCAACTAAAATTCAGACAAATTTTCAGAGCAAGTATGGGAAGCAATTAAGTACACACAGCTCAAGAGACCTGAAGAGAACAGAGCTACCTGTCTTTCTGGCATTCTTTGGAAAATTTTATGCTTGTTAGTTAAAATGCTGATAAGCCAAGGGAAGAGCATACTTCCACTGGACTCCAAATATCGCAGGCAAATCCTCAAATGGGCTGCCTGCCAGATTCCCACACACTCTCATTATTATTTCATCTTTTCTTTATGAAAGTCATGACTCAAGAGGAGGGACTCTAGCAGTTTTGTCTGACCCTGTCTAAGCAGTAAATAATCAAGTGTACTTTGCTATCAAATCTTGTTAAACCACTGTCTCCTTCACTAACAAATTTTATCAAATGGTGATTTTATATCAACATAGCACTCCTCTCTTGTGAAGTGCTTTACTCCACCCATGACATGACACTGACACAGCCACACACTGGTGTTCCTCAGCCCCCAGGGTATCTGTGCCAACACAACACACAAGATTCTGTGACACAGTCAACAAGGAAAACCTCTTAGACTGCTTCTCAAGCAGGGTCAAAACCACTACACAAAGGGCCCGTGTAACATGAAAAAGCCTTTTTTTCTAGAGTCCTGCAGTACTTCCACAAACTGTGCTGCTCTTCCAGAAGGACTGCAGGACCTAGAAATCTAAAAAACACCCACATACTTTGGTCTTGGTAGACCAAATAAAACATAGACTTTGGGCTGATGGGGGTTGGGTTTGTTTTGTGGAAGACACCACTGCAATGCTTTTTTTTTATTTTATGGTTCTGCCATTTCCTGAGGCCAAGGTCTGCGCTCACATCCATGATGTATGTGACAGTACTGGAGGATAGAGAGATCTCCTTTTCTAGATCTCCAATCCAAATTTACTCTTCCTGTGTTGAACTTGATGAGTTTTGGGTTTGTTGTTTGGAGTTTTGAGTTTTTGGTATGTAGATAAATGCCTAAAATGCAGTTGAAGTCCAAGGCAATTTGGCACCTGTTTTATGAGCCCTTGGGAGATCACCTAGATCTTTAGCACACCCCCCCAGGAAATTGCTCCTGTCCCTTTTTAGCATCCACACAGTTACAGTTGACTCAGTTAAGCTCTGAATTGTGCCTTTCCATCAGAATTACAAGAAGGGGGAAAAAACAAAGATACCTTGTATCCAAAGTCAGGCAGTGCAGATGCATCCCAGTGACTAGGACAGGTCTGATTTGGAATAGAAGAATCCCTTTGGCTGCTTGCAAACAGACAGAAAATGAAGTGTTAGTAATTCTAGTACTGCTCCAAACACTCAGATTTGGATCATCCACTTTGGCCAATTCCTGCATTTAAAAATGAACAAAACACAACTACGGCCAGCACCCATTTTGCCTTATGATTACTTTTAAAATATGAAAAAACAAACTAAGGAGCACTTACCCTGTCTTCATCTTCTGCACATCTTCAGAAGACACAAATTTTGGTCGCCTGCAAACCTGTCTTCGAGTTTTAAAACTGATGTTTGTCTGAATCATTTCTTGAGGAGAAAAAAGTGAAGAGAAAAAAAAAGTCATGAGTAAGTCTACAAGACAGGGTCATCTTGTCCTCATCAGTTCTTCTTTAATGAAAATTGCATATTTTGCATATTCTTTAATGAAAACTGCACATTCACTGTCAATTCCACCTGCTGAGGAGTAGTTGCACAAAGGCTTTTCTGTAACTGTGACTGAACCTGTGCCTATCCTGCTTGCTCCCTCAAGCCACTCAATGCTCTTTAAACATTGTTACAGCAGCACAAAGATGCCCAATTTGTATTTTTTACCATCCACAGTGTTACTTACTTTCCTTAAAGTTTACTATGACTTTATGTGAAGACTATGAAACTTTATATTTCTGGTCAGATTTCTGGTGCGTCTGGAGAGTGTCAAGGAACAAGGGGAGAAGGTTACTTTTGTGAGGAATTTGCTCTGGGCCAGCACTACCTCACTTCCAGTAAGTGAAACTGGTGGTGTCAGGAAAGGAAGTCATACCTGCTAAAAGCAGGGAGACTTTGCAAGAGTCTGTAAAGCACTGCATAGTTGTAGATGAGAACCTCTAAAATTACTACCTTTAAAATTGAGTTCATACTGATGTTGGCCAGCTTGGAAAGGTACAATGGCACATGGATCTGCTTGATACAAATTTTCAATAACAGCAGAAGATGGTGAGGTCGTGCTGTTCCCTTCTTCCTTTGTGGGGAGAAAAGAAATACAGAGAATGAGCAGAATCACACTCAGGACTAAACCCTGAATAACTAGCTAGGGTAGAGGGAAAGAAGAGGCCAAGTGTAGGATGACAAGGAATCTACCCAGAACTATGGTGGCCTGAGGCTGAGTACTGAATATTTGTAACATAAACACAAATACATAATTAGAAATTTTAAACTCCTGTAACAAGTTGTGCTGGTTCTGGCTGGGGTAGAGTTAAATTTCTTCCCAGTAGCTGGTAGTGGCTGTGTTTGGATTTGTGCTGGAACAGTGCTGATAGCACAGGGAGGTTTTAGTTATTATTTAGCTTAGGCATGCACAGAGCCAAGGCCTTTTCTGCTCCTCTCCCACCCCACCAGTGCTGGGCCTGGGGGCACAAGGCCTTGGGAGGATACACATCCAGGAGAGCTGACCCCAGCTGGCCACAGGGACATCCCAGACCATGAGGTGTCACTCAGCCAAAGTACACAAAGCTGGGGGAAGGAGGAAGGGAGAGACATTTGGAGTGATGGAGTTTGTTTTCCCAAGAGACTGTGACCTGTGATGGAGCTCAGCTTTCCTGGGATGGCTGAGCACCTGCCTGCCCAAGGGAAGAGGGGAATGGATGCCTTGTTTTGCCTTGCTTGTTCACACACTTTTGCTTTATCTTTTAGTGTTTATCTCATCCCACCAGCTTTCTCTCTGCCCAGTGCCTCAGCAGGGAAGGGGGCAAGGCTGAGCTGCAACTGGCTGTGATGGGTACACAACTCCTTATCAAACCAGAGTTAGTTTGGTTCAGGCTCCAAAGGAAGCAAAGACCTAGGCCAAGAACTTTTCTAGCTCCAACCTGCTATCTGAAAACCCACAAAGGAACAGGGTGACATGGTGAGAGCATTGATGCATATGAGCTTGGAAACAAACACTGATGATGTGATTAATGCATGAATAGCAGGTGGTTTTCCAAGACTAATTTGCCAAGGAACAAAATAAGTTGCAGGTGTAAGGAGTCTCACTCTTACCTTTTACTTTGCTTCTGATTGAACTATGAACCAACCACTTCATTCCACAGACAGAAAAGCCTGAGTGAGCTCCTTGCAAGCTGTCCCTGCTAAAGAGCAGCTGGACAGCTGTGATCTCTCCTGGACCTGGGTGTCTCCTGGAGGTTGAGTACTCTTTGGGGTTACTCTGAGTCTTTTAAACTGCACTCTATCCAGCACCTTTCTCTGTGTACTTTTCCAAGTCCCTGGATCACCTTTGTGTTCCACCATTTGTGCTGCTATACTGTAAACCATATGGTATAAACTCATCTGCCTTTGTTTTCCTGCATTTTGCAGATAGATTACTTTCTCATGAGGACTTGGACATACATGGAAAAAGACTGCATTTGATCTGAGAAAGCAGAGCAATCCTTGCACGTCCAAGGGCATTGCTTAGAAAAGAGGCAACTTCTTCCTATGTCTATGAAGAGCAGTGTCTATATGTTAAATCTGTAGGAGCCATGGACTACTCCTAAAGGGAGCTCTTTTTCCTCCAGCCTGTCAGCATTTTATCACATCTGTTATGAACAGATGTAGCTTCACTGCCTTACCCAACGCTGTAAAACTCAAGCACAAGGACTCAATTAATCCTGTTGAGAAAAGGGGAAAGGGTGCAGAGAGGCTCCACATATTCCTGAACAAGTGACTGAAAGCACAGGATGTGAACTCACCTGCTCTCCATATTCAATCCACTCGTTTTGGTTATTCTTCCAGTACCAAATCCACTGTGTGGTCAGCAGGAATGTGGGTTTTGTGACTGATGATGGTGTAGAGAGGCGTCGAACCAAAGAAGAAGAGCAGGTCATTGTCTGGAAATTAATGTTCTTACTTGGGAAACTGTAAGGACCAATTCAGGTTTATTATAGTTAGCAGTTATCCTGTCATTCCCAGTTTAGTGCCATTTTCTTTAATATAAAGTAACCAAACTTAATGAGATCTGAAAGCATATTTTATCCTCTCATCCCCAGTTTAAGCTGGTGCCATTTTCTTTAATATAAAGTAACCAAACTTAATGAGATCTGAAATACGAGTATTTCTTTCCCACAGCACATGGCAGCTCTGAAAGCCATCTCCAAGCTTCAGAAGTGAACTCTGGCCTGTGAGACACCAAAGGCCACCTCAGTCACATGTGGCACTGCCAGCTTTACAATGTCAGGCTCCAAGTACAGTGTGGCAAAAGGAACTTCTGTGATAACCAAGCGTGGTTCCAGTCTTTCTCAGTACATAAGCAGAATGTGCAAAGTGTGTGACTGAATTTGCCAGCAATCACCTGCAGCCTATCAACTTTGTTCTTTTTCTGTGGTTACCAAGGATAAATCACAGCAACCAGAGCTGTGAGTTCTGCAAACTGCATTCATCACTGGAGCCACCTGGGCTCTTACTCCTGCAAGGCTTGAAAAGTTAATTCCCAGGCAGGAAGATTTTGATGGCAGCCTCCTCTTGGGAATATTGCTTGTGATCTCCAGAAAACTGCCAATCAAAATCATCTGATGCCTTAAGAGGCACGGGCCAAAACTAGAATACCATTTTGTGAAGCCAAACTTGGGGTGCCCTATGAATCCAGGTCACTTTGAGTGGGACTTTTCAGAAAGGAGCTAAAAGGCAAACACGCTCTTAAAATAGAAATAAAAAAGAAGAAAAATAAATGGGCTGCTTACACAAAGGACATTTCATAAAATGTCTCTAGGTATGTAATATATCACTATTATTGTTATTATAGATACTAGCTGTAGTAGGAAAGAAATAGCTATACAGAAGGACCAGCTCTGAAATGTTGTCAAAAGGCCCAACTTCATTACTGCAAATAAACTGATTAGTGATCTGAAATACTACAATTTTAAACACTGGCTTTTTACTTTGTACAGTTTTACGTGCAAGATACAGTTTTGTTATTTTTAGAAGACAAAACTGGAGTGAGATTTTCATGCAATCATTCTTTCTTTGCTTTTTTAAAAGGAAAAATTCTTATTTTTACATGCTTCCAGCTTCTGAGAGGCTCAGTAACCAGAAGCTGAGAAGTCAGACATCTTTAGGAAGAAAACACAAGTTTTCCTACACAGGCTCAATCACAATACTCCAAGCAAGGAGTCCAGCATTACTACACCTGCTGTTCTTTGGGTCACAATAGGCCTTTTCAATTTCCTCCATCATGGAAAGTGTATTCCAGTTCAATCCATCGTGTATCTCCCATTTATATGGCAAATGGTAATGAACAGATTTGCATTTATCTGTAACAAAATCAGACATAGTCAAGAATTCTGCAGTCATTAACACAGAGAGCAAGACAAGAAAAAACCAAAACAGAACCAGCATATTTTACACTTTGAGGCTTTCTCTCCTGGGCTTTGGTATAAGGAATGAAGAGAGAGTGCTGAAAACAGAAGGAGAGTGTGTTTCTGCAGTCTCATCAAGAAAAGCAACATCATATACACATACACATATATATATATATATACACACTGCCAAATTTATTTGAAAGACACCTGTAGTGGTTTTGGTTCACTAACCTGAGATTTTTTGATTTATGTACTAATTAGTGTGGTGGGTTTAGTGTCGGTTAATTACTAGTGCACTTACTAGAATGTATTGCTTTATTTTTTTGTTGTGAGATAGAATTAGGAGAAAAGTAAAATAAGCTCGAAATTTTAAAAGGGTATAAAGAAAAATGTATTAATAGTAACTAAAAGAGTAGTAAGAATCAGAACACAATTTTTAGGACACTTCTCTTCCCTTTACAACTTTTTTTTTCCCCTCATTGATAATGTAAACAGACAAAACCTAAAGTTTTTAGTTAGTTTACTACTTCTAGAATAGTCTTTCTTTAGTTTACTTAGGGAGAGAAGTCCTTCTTAATATTATGGAGACTTCTCTACAAGAAAATAGTTGTCTCATGGCTCTTAATTTCTACAAATAGCATCTATCTGGGGAAATTTGTAATCATGAAATCTTTCTCATTTTCGATAAGTGTTTCTCTTAGGTGTGTTTATGGGCCATGTCAGCTGGTGGGGTATTGATTTAAAGATGAGTTGTTTAAAAGCAAAAGTTCTTAATATCTATCTCTGAAATTATCTGTCTCTAGGAATAGAGATCTTTTCTTTCTTTGGAGTATAGGATCTTTATCACTCATCTCTTTTTCTGTTCAAACTTCTTATAGGATTGTAGCTACTTTAACACTTGGTTTTTGCTCAATATCTACAATTTGAACTCTTCCATTTCTTCATACTTTTAAGTGTTAAAGGTGAAAAAGAGTCTTTTTCTACAGTTTTACAAGAGAATTTTAGCCTAAAACTAAAGGCATTGTCTTTCTTATTTGGGACTTGACTTCTTCATTGACTTTGATGTTTCTATGTTGTTTCTTTATGTGTCTGTCAATTCCCAAAGCCAAGCACTGACTGGATTCCTATCAGACACGGAGGAAATTGCCAGCAGCCTCTCCTAAAACACCACTTCTGTGATGCAAAACTAGCACATTACCAGAACCTTCCCTTTGCTGAGACACAACGCTGGCAGCTGGGAGAGCAGTGCCACAGACAGAAAGTGCATGTTATGTGTCACACAACCACGTGTCTCAGCTCTAGAAAGTCTAGTCTACACAACACTTAAACACTCTGACATATTTGGTTGTCTTTTCTTTAGTCCCTTAGAAATCATGGGGTGGTTGCCAAGGTCTGAAGGGTTTTCTTCTGACTGACACTCCACATCCAAGTATGGATGAAACATCTTATTACTTTCTAGCCCAATGTAGCAATAAAGCACACTAACACTCCAACAGTTACTTGAGTTTGGTTATCTGGTGGTCACAGCAGGGCTGCTTTGAGCCTGGCCTTCACAGTTTCACCAGGTACACTGCTCACATCACACAGGGTCTTTCTGTCAAAACCAGGTGATCAGAGGAGTAGCAGCCCTTTAGAAACTGACTGGACAAGATCAGGGAAAGAAAATGTCATGGTACCCCCTCACAATAGAGGAAGAGCCAAACCTGGGGGTTAAATGACTCTTCAGGACAGTTCCCATATACAATTACTTATATTCTTCCCTCAGACCTCTGTTCTGGCCACTACCAAAAAGACAATGGACTAGATTTATCTTTTGCTCAGCTGGTACAACTACTGTGGCTTTTTAAAGATGTTTTAAGACCTCAGACCACTTTTTAAACGACTTAATGGGGGAGAAGATGGCAATTATATGATGTACATAGGATAGATACAGTAGGAATAAAGGGAGGCATACATTTATGAGCTGTCAATGATGACAGCACAGTCATAACTTGATCTTCTAGCAACAGAAGGGGTGACACTTCACACTTAAAGGGCTTTGCCACAGAAACACACCCAAAGCCTGCCCCCACCAAAAGGGCTGAAATAGGCTGAATTATCCAGAGGATAAAGGGTTTAAGTATACCATCTGGCTTTTTTTCTGATTATGTCTGTAATTCTGACAGTGTTTATTAATGACTTGGAAAGAAAATAAACTACTGAGGAGGCACGACTGTCACCACTAGCCCAAGCCACCAAGCTGGAGTCCCTCTGCAGACAAGTCTTCAACATTACTTTTCATAAAGCTTACCCTTGTTTTTGCAGTATTTCCAGACATAGAACAAACAGATCTCATCACAGTTAACTTTGTTGTTGTCCTTTGAAGCTTCATCAGAGGAACTGTCCTTTTTACCTACAGCAAAGAACATCACAATCCATATTTGCTTTAAGAGAAAGATCCTGCATTTGGTACTTCATCCCAGAAATAACAAGGATTTGACTGCAGTAGCAAAGTCAAGCACTTTAAGGATCTGACTATCTCCCATACAGCCCAACACAGAAGTCAGGGCTTTGTCACTGAACAATAAACCCTGACACTGGAAGGAGTGAGGAAGCTCAGTGAGGAAGGGCAAGGGCAGTGTCAGGAAGCTCAGAACAACACAGGGTGTGACTGACCATGGCTCTTGCAAAGAAGCTGACTTTGTCTCCACACCAAGGGGACCAGAGGGTTCATAGAAGTCAATGGCAGCTGAGCTGACTGACTGGGAGTAGAAATGTCTCTCTCAGAGTCAGCCAGCCCAGCATGGGTGTAGTGAACACAGAGCTCAGCCCCACGCAGAGGTATTAAACCTCAACAAGCAACCAAAGAATTTTGAAAACAGCAACGAGCTTGAGCTGGCTTCTACTTCCCCAGGGACTGGGGACACCCAGTGAGTATATATTGAGGCAGTGAGTATATTTACAGATCTGCAATGGGAAGCCCATTTCTGTGATTAAACTGTGCACTGTAATTACTATGTTTTAAAAGTCGGCATTTGTATTTTGTTTACAGTGGACTTTGCATCACTTTGCTACATCAGAAATGCCAATGTACTGGGCATGGGTAGAATAAGATGTAATTTTCTTCATAGCAACCCGTATGATGCTGTTTTAGATTTTTGACCAAAACAATGCTGTCAACACACTCATGCCCCAGCTTCTGCTGAACACTGATATGCATCAAGGCCTCAGTTTTTCACCATGGATGTCAGCACACAGCAAGGCACACACACCAGCTGCACTCAACTACCACTGCGAGCTGTCAGGCTGTGTGAAATCAAGGCCCAATGAAAACCACTGGTCTCAAGAATGGAGGGTGAGAATCAATCCATACCTTTATCTTTATCTCCTGCTCCCTTTGGCAACTGGTCTTGGCTCTGGGCAGGCACAGTGCTACTGGCACCTGTGTGAGAAAACTGAATGAGCAGCACTGCAGGGCCACAAGCTCAGCTAGCTGGCAACATCCCAGACACTGTGGAGAACTATGTCCATCACATGTGTAATTTGATATGAAACACTACACTGTCCATGTGTGGAGTATCTAAAAGAACATGTCCAGAGAGTACTGGACACTGACAAGCTCTAAAGCCAAGGTCCTTCTGTCCAGAAGAACAAGAGATTTACAGTTGCTATTTACTCACTGGAAGGTGTATCAAGACAACACCTCTCCTGACAGAGCTGTATTAATTCCCTATAGACAGAAGGCAAGGAAGGATACTGCGTGCACATATACAATTCTGTCATCTTGCTAGGAAGGAAAAAGGACATACAGAGGGTGAGAAACAATCCATACCTTTATCTTTATCTCCTGCTCCCTTTGGCAACTGGTCTTGGCTCTGGGCAGGCACAGTGCTACTGGCACCTGTGTGAGAAAACTGAATGAGCAGCACTGCAGGGCCACAAGCTCAGCTAGCTGGCAACATCCCAGACACTGTGGAGAACTATGTCCATCCCACGTGTGATTTGATATGAAACCCTACACTGTCCATGTGTGGAATATCTAAAAAAACCTGTCCAGAGAGTACTGGACTCTGACAAGCTCTAAAGCCAAGGTCTTTCTGCCCAGAAGAACAAGAGATTTACAGGTTGCTATTCACTCACTGCAAGGTATATGGAGACAACACCTCTACTGACAAAGCCATATTCATTGCCTAGAAACAGTAGGCAGGGAAAGATACTGCATGCACAGATACAGTTCTTTCACTTTCCTAGGAAGGAAAAAAACGTGTCCAGGACAGTACAGAGTGCTGCACAATGCCTGGGCAGAAATTCCAACCCTGCTCCACTGGCCATCTGGTACCATGGATGTCAGCACACAGCAAGGCACACACATCAGCTGCACTCAACTACCACTGCGAGCTGTCAGGCTGTGTGAAATCAAGGCCCAATGAAAACCACTGGTCTCAAGAATGGAGGGTGAGAATCAATCCATACCTTTATCTTTATCTCCTGCTCCCTTTGGCAACTGGTCTTGGCTCTGGGCAGGCACAGTGCTACTGGCACCTGTGTGAGAAAACTGAATGAGCAACACTGCAGGGCCACAAGCTCAGCTAGCTGGCAACATCCCAGACACTGTGGAGAACTATGTCCATCCCACGTGTGACTTCCCACTAGCACTCCATTGCTGATACAACAGAGGTGCAATTACAGTTACAAACCCTAGCTAGTCACTGTTATTGCCAGCCACTCATTTGCTCTTTTGAATTCAGTACTTCAGGCAATAAAAGTGCAGTATTCCCTCCCACATGATTGTGCCATGACTTACTCAATTCTTGCAAGTGCATAATAGCAGAGAGGGAAAAAATGTGTGTATATTGCAAGAAGAGAAATACAAAAGCTGATTCCACAAGGAAAGAGTTGGTACTATTATCTAGGTAATTACCTCCTGAAGGTGGCACATCCAGTGTGCTCTGCACTGTTTCCAAAGTTGTCTTCACTTCTTTAATCCTCATAACTGCTGGCTTTTTCCAATATTCATTTCTGTAGTTGTGTACTGAAAGCATTGAAAGGATGGTGGGGTTTAGCTGGGAGTTAAGGCAAGAACAGTTTCTACTCTATCAAACTCAAAATCATGATTAAGACCACTGTTTCTTGCAACTTACCATACACCTTCTTCTGTTCCCTGTTGAATTCTATATGCTTGTAATCACATATCTCCTGGAAGTTTGAAGCTGTCTTTCCATCAATGCCTCCATTGTCCAACACTCTCAATGCATGGTTATCCAAGAGGTTATGGGACATTATGCATCGAAGAAATTTACATCTCCCCTTGAGAAAGTGTTGACAAACATGAAGCTTGTTGCAGTTGTGTTGCTGCATACAGTGACTACCTTTCTTGTTGTAAAACTGGCAGGCCTAAAAGTAGAGAGGATACAATAAGAAATGGAAAAGCACATTAGAATTTTTCTGTGTCCTACAGGCATGCAGCTTTAACTGCAGAAAAATGGTGATTAAAAGTCATGTGTTTGCTGTGCCTTCTTTAATCTAGACAGATTTCTTTCACAGAGGAGCAGGTATTTTAAGCTGACTCATGCATTTTCAGTTTTGAAGTTGTACAAGTTTTGTTTCCAAGAAAAGCCAACCCAACAAGCTTAGAAGTTTATTAATTCCCTATAGACAGAAGGCAAGGAAGGATACTGCATGCACAGATACAATTCTGTCATCTTGCTAGGAAAGAAAAAGGACATTCAGAGGGTGAGAAACAATCCATACCTTTATCTTTATCTCCTGCTCCCTTTGGCAACTGGTCTTGGCTCTGGGCAGGCACAGTGCTACTGGCACCTGTGTGAGAAAACTGAATGAGCAGCACTGCAGGGCCACAAGCTCAGCTAGCTGGCAACATCCCAGACACTGTGGAGAACTATGTCCATCCCACGTGTGATTTCATATGAAACACTACACTATCCATGGTTCTAAGTTGGTTGCATCCAAAAATGGATGCAAGACAGACTGGTTGACAGTTATTCCATTGTAAAAACCCCTACAGCATAATGAACAACAAAGAACAAATATCTACATAAAAACATGCACGCTGTGTCAAATGAGTTATCATTTCATGGAGAGCTGAAACTGAATTTGCACTTCTTATTTGTAAAGCTTATCCTGCATTGAAGATTTGAGCTTACAAAATGTTAAGAAGAATGCTTTGAGATTAGAGTATATATGGAAAAAGCAATGCACTTCCTTATTCCTCTATTCACTAAAGAAGAGGTACACAGAGAATCAGACCAGGGAACAAATCACAGACCAAAAACTCCTTCATATTGACCACTAAGAACCACAGTAATAGTTTTGCTCCCAGAGCAGCCTGTAATAAGAAAGCTTCTTTGAGGAGAACACACAGCTGTCTGGCAGAGAGCCCCTATATCACACTGGGACTCTCACAGGTCCCCTCCAAATCCCTCTTCCCAGGAGCCACCAACCACTGCTCAGGGAAGATGAGTTGGGCATCAGTCAGTGGGTGGGGAGCAACTGTACTGGGAATCACTTGTATCTCTTGGGTTTTACTAATTTCTCTCTTTCATTCTCATTACAGTTATTATATTTTATTCTATTTCAATTCTTTTAGTATCCTTATCTCAACCCACAAGTTTTACCTCTTTTCCAATTCTCCTCCCGACCCCACCAGGGTGGGAGAGATCAAGTGGCTGCATGGTACTTATGTGGGCTTAAACCATGACAACAGGGAATCCACTATTTAGCTACATCAAAAAAGCACTCTGTCCCCTTGCACCTGCCAAGAAAAAAAACCAACCAAAAAAACCCCAAACAAATAGAACAGGAGAGCCAGAGAGGTGAGGGAAAGTGTGAAAACCGTGATATTGTGGTGCTGTTGTGTTTTTCTTACTCTGAACCCCAGTTCAAGTCAGAAAATTCTGAAGTGTCCTCTTTCTTGAGAGCTTCCTACATGCCATGTCTTCACACAACCAGTCAGCATTTCTAAGCAGGAAACAGCCAAATTGGCTTTTACATCCAACCTCCAAACTCTCACGTTTATGAATGGCCTGCACTGATCACAGTTTTCTCTTGGTTTTGCTATTTTACTGCATGATAGGAGTTAAAGTGCTCAATTACAGGTAATTAATGATGCCTGCCAGGGGTGAGGGCAGAACAGATTTCTAGTAAGCACTTAAGGGTAATACCAACCAAGAACATTTGCTACTATTTGCTCACTACTGGGAACAATTAGTATTTTCCTTGCTTACCACCATGCTCCTTCAGTCTGCCAGTAAAACATACTTTAAAACACTACACAATAAAAAAAAAAAATCTGTTTTGTCAAAGTCTAGCACTTTCACAGCAGGGAACAAAGGAACAACAGAACTCTTGTGTCAACAAATCTGTGGAGATTATAACCTGCAAAAGACAAGGGCAGTACTTTGGTAATTTCCTAACCAGGAGCAGCTGTAGCCAGAACAGGGTATGACTGACTTTCAAACAGCCATACCAAGACAGTACTGCCCTCATACACACACGCTGAATCAGAATGGAATGTTCAACCAAATTTAACAAAATCAATGAGTGGCATACAAACTGGGCAAAGATTCCTTTGTACAAAGTCAGTGTGCAAAAACTCCATGCACTCTGGAAGAGCCAGATTTGATACAAAACTGACTGCAGTCATTTGGTCATTTTCTCACAGATTCTTTTCATCTCTTACACCCTCAAGCACCAAAATGTGTGCAGGCCTAGATGGACTAGAAAAGGAAAGGGGCACTCACTTTCTAGTATTCATCTCACGGAGAAGCAGCAGCAAACTGGGTTTTGGTCATGCCTTTTACCCTACAGGCAGGTACAATTATGTGATCTTTCAACTCTCTCTTGCTTATCTCACCCTCTGTGAACGTCTGGTGAAGTTGCTGACATTTTTGTTTGTTTGTTTTGAGCAGCTTTATGGCCACTCTGTCGGATAACAGAACTGGCACACAAGACAGGCTGTAACCTTGCTGCCCACCTCCTGCTATCAGAGGGCAGGTCTGCTCCTGACACATCACAGATGACAGGGCCTTCTCCAGATGGGTACTCTGGGTACTTATTGAACAGTTTTACTGCTCAGGGGGTGGTTTTTTTATTACACAGCCCTTTCACAGATCTGGCTTTATGTTGTTCCACATTGCCATTCCCATTCCTCCTTTATTCTGACTAATCTCATTTCGTATCTTAACAGCTGGACATGAAGATCAGAACTCCACATTCTCTCTTGCCTTCTCCTATTCCTAATGAGTGAGAACTTTCTCTTAAGAAATCAGTACAACTTACATCAGGGAGGAAGAATGGGTCGTTTTGGAGAAGCAGGACTTGCAGCTCATTCTCACTGAGGCCAGACAAACCGTGTTTTTTTAGAACTTTCCTGTTCTCCTCATTCATTATGTCATGCGAGTACTTACAAGAGCTGCAAGAAAACACACAGAAATATCAATGTTTACTCCTTTAGTCAGGTTGATTTAAAGAAGAACCTCAGATAATGTACAACTTGGGAAAAGCCATGAGAGAAAGGTGGCTTGGCGAGTCTCTGAACATTTAGATGGTGTCTGTAATCAGCCAGAGGATGGACCAAACAGCAGAACTCCTCTGTGAAGTGTGGTGACCCTGTCCTCCTCATTTTAAACTTCAATATAGCCCCACCCCAGGCATTCTTTGCCTCCAGGAAGAGCCAAGTCAAGTCACATGAGCTAAACAGCCAGAGGGGAAGTTAATTTTAAAGGAGTACACCAACAATGCCAGAATTGCAACAGCCTGCATTTTGTGAACATAAAAGGTTGTTGTCCCAGGGATGGCAAGTAAAGAAACATGCAAGAGTCTGCACAAAACAAAAGCAACAGTGAAGCTGAAAACAACACATTTTGTTATCTTCAGTGGCTGTGAAGTTTTATTTAAAAAAATCAGAAACAGTTAAGAAAGTTTAACTTATTTATGAGTTTTGATTAAGGAAACAATCAAGCTACAATCATGAAGTCAGTGCTGCCACTTACAAAGCCAAAAGTCTGATGAGTATGAATTAGAGAGGGAAATTGCAGGTTTTTAACATCTATTTGAAATGGTACTGCAAATCAGTAACAGAGAGGAGACACACACACAGTCAGCCTGTGCATTAATTTAATGCAGTAAAATGCAGCTTCCTCATGTCCTGCTCTTCAACATATGATCTGATACAGCTCTAAGATGAGACATACTCAACCAGTAAAAGTACCTGTTAATTTACCAGATTCAAGTCTATCCCTGTACTCTTTCAGCCTCTAGTTCACTCCTGAAGCTCTTCTCATGACAGTTTTACCTCAAGGTGTGTCTGGTCCAAGGTGTGTCTGTGTTTATTCATTTTTATTGCATACCAAAGGGACTTTAAATACTTAATGTTATTGAGAGAGCAGAATGACTGATCATTATGAAGGGAATCGCCTCATTGCAAACTTTTTAAATTCACACAAAGTCATCCATCATGAGTCTCTGCACACATCAAGGCATGTCCAACAGTGAACCCCACGGGAGCTTACTCTATTGTCTGTAATGTAATAAAAAACAGGAAAATCTTATCATCCTAATGATGAGAGAGACATGGCTTTTTCCCTCCAGGCTATCCAGATCTTAGTGCACAGTGATCCATTTTGTTGGGTCAGAAGAAGAAGGATCCAGCAGGATCATGCACGTTCCTAACACTACATCAGCATCAGACCTGGGGCTTGGAGGCTTAAACTACGAAGTTCTTCCATCAGTAGATACACAGTAATTGTAGTGGCAAAGCTGGATTGCTCTTCTGCATTTGCCTTTGGTTTCCTCTGTTTTTCAAACCAGGCACCACCTGTGGCTAGAAGAGGGTGCCAGGCCTGCCCATCCCACGAGTCCTCCCTGTTCCAGAAACTGGGACCGATGCACCTGGGTGATCAAACAGTGCCTCTCAAAGGAAGGGCCATAAGCCACGCAATGACTTCGAGAAAAACTCAACTTTTTTAACTCTCTCGAGCGAAAGCAGTGGGCATGTCAGCACTTTGCTTCCTCCTGAGAAATAGGTGTAAACAATTCCACCCAGATGCCAGGGGGGCTGAGCGTGCGGAGACGAACAGATTTAAACAGACAAACAAAAAGGAAAGAAACAAAAAAAAACCCAAATCGTCGGCTTCTACCGACACAGCGGGGACAGGACACGAGCTCTTCCGGAGCAAGGAGCCCCCGAGGCTGATCCGAGGGCATTCCTGCCCGCTCCTCCCGCGGGCCGTGGGATGCGAGGGTGCGTGAGGGAGCTGGGGGGAAGGGGGGTCGGAGGGTGTAAGGGAGTGGTGTAAGGGGGGGTGCGGAGGCGTTTGGGGTGTGTCGGAGGTTTGGGGGATCGGGGGCTGCCCGCGCTCACCTGGGCCCCAGGTTGCACCTGCCCATGAGGTGCAGCTTGCAGAGGTGCAGCCGCTCGCAGCCGTCGCACTCCTTGCGGACGCAGACCCGCACGTCCGTCACGGCCAGCACCGCCCGGCCGCCCCCCGCCACCAGGAACCGCCCGGGGCCCGCCGCCCGCAGCGTGTCCTGCAGCTGCGGCGCCGACAGCCCCACGGTCTCCTGCAGCTCCCGCAGCGGCAGCCGCCCGCCATGGGCGCACAGCGTCTGGGTGAGGAAGAGGGACACGGCGGGATCGCACATGCCGCTGCTCCGGCCGGGACGGCACCGCCCGCGGACTGTGGCGGGAGCGGCAGCGGGAGCGGGAGCGGCAGCGGGAGCCGGAGCGGGGCTGGGCGGGGACTCGGCCGCGTCCGGGCCGCGCTCGCCGGGAATCGAAACCGAAGGCACGGCTGGCGCTGGGGGCAGGGATCTGCCCGGCGCGGAGGCGCTCTCGGCTGGACGTCACACGGGAAATAAATAGTGCACAACGTGATTGAAGGGACCGTGAGGTTTCCTCGTTGTTATCACGGAGTGGTTTGGATTGGGAAGGTCTTGAGGATCGGCTCGTTCCAGCCCCGACGTTGCGCAGTCTCCTTCCACTAGAGCAGGTTGCTCCACACCCCATCCAACGTGGAACACTCTTCCAAGATAAGGCAGCCACATTTCCTCGCTCATCTTGCTAACTTCTGCTCTCTCTCAACGCTAATACGAATCTAGTGCAGAGCATTAAGCCTATAATGCAGGATAAAACACATAACATACACCAATGACTCCAGTATTTATGTAGCAGTGCCATTGCTGTTCTTTCTTCCCGAATGGCAGCGAGCTGCTGGCTAGCACTGGTTGCAGCAGTGTCCTGGCAGGGCTGTGGAGCTGTGCTGGTTTTGGATGGGGTAGTGTGAAAAACGCCAATCTCTTGTTTTTAAAATTTTTAAAAGTGTAATAGTAATAAAATGGTTATAACAATAGTAATAGAAAATTTGAACAATTGAGATTAGGACAATATGAGACAATAAAAACATAGACTTATGGACAGTCCAGGTACCTTTTTCTGGGCAAAATAAGCCCGAAAAAGGACACCCGTTAACAGAGCATTAACCCTTAAAAACAATAGCCTGTTGCATATTCATACACCTCATAATGATGCACAAATTCTATTCAAACACAGGATTTTGTCTGGTCACTGTCAACTTCTTCCTGTGAATTCTAACGGTGCTTTCATGGCGGGAAGAAGTTAGTTTCTCTTGATAAAAGAGCAATAAATTCTCCTTCTCTGAAAGATTTAGGTGTCTTCTGGTTGCTATCTCACTGTGAGTCCTTTCTTTTTTTTAAAAAAAGTATCTTACATAGCACACTTTCTATTTTAACATTATATTATAACCTAAAACTATATTTAACACACTACTTAAGAAAATTAATACAGCAGAACTTTCTAACACAACACATAAAATATTCATTTTAATATTTGCGAAAAGCCAATCATAAAATATGCATTTTTCACAGGTAGGGTTCATTTTCATCAAGTGGCTGCTGTGGGGCTGTGTTTTGGATTTGTCCCAAACACAGGAATGATAACAGAGATGTTTTCATTATTGCTGAGCAGTGCTTGCACAGAGCCAAGGTCTTTTCTACTCCTTGTGCTGCCACGCTGGGGAGGGGCTGGGGTGCGTGGGAAGCTGGGAGGGGGTGGGAGGCAGGAGGAGGAAGGCTGGGACATTTGGAGTTACAGCATTTGTCTTCCCAGGACATGGTGACACTGTGCTGGTCTCCTGGAGATGGCTGAACACCTGCCTGCCCTTGGGAAGCAGGCAATTAATTCCTTGATTTGCTTTGCTTGTCTGTGCAGCCTTTGCTTTCCCTATTACACTGCCTTTATCTCAATCCACGAATTTTACAGGTTTTACCCTTCTGATCCTCTCCCCAGTTCCACTGGTGGGGAGTGAGTGAGTGGCTGCCTGGGCCAGGCTGCTGGCTGTGGTTAAACCAGGACAGAAGCAGAAGTGCCAGTGTCCTCTTAGTGTTGAAGTAGGGCTGGGGATGGTTGGTGGGATGGGGAAAAAGCACAGCAAATACTGCCTCGAAAGAGGGTTGAGGATTAAATCCATTTGAGATTAAGTTTTATACTGAAACCCTTTGGAAATGCAAGTTTCAGGGACAGTATCAACTGTTCCCTCCCAATCAGGAAGTTAACCTTGAAAATAAAGTGAGTGGCCTGTGTTGCCTATTGCTGATGCCTGATTTGAAAGGCACGTGAAAGTACCAAGTCACAGTCCCTGTTCAGGTCATGAAGAGAGAACCACCTCCAGGAATGAGGCCAAGGTGGTACTGCCTGTGGTATGTAATAACCTTTTCTTTGGGCATATTTCCCCATATCTGTCCCATTCCTGTGATAATCGAACAAATTAAATGATTCTTAAAAAGCAGTAGAAAAGGGAGGTAGAAGGAGTTTGCCAAGTCATAGTGTTATATTTGCCCAATTATCTCATCATAAAAGAAACCCAAACAAAATTAAATGTAACAGCAATTTTAATTAAGTTGCTTAATATATATATAACTAAATACACTCAAAATATTGACAATATAATTTGGTTAAAACCTCAAGTATCAAGCCCTTTGCTTAAAGTTAGAAACCAGTGTGGCTGGATTGCTGTAACCTCTTGCTACCCTGCAAATCTGTAAATCTCGTGTCCTCCACTTGCAGCTGTAGTATTTCCTTGTTTGCCCTGACTGTGCTATTCAGGTGACTTTGTAGTAAACAAAATCAGCTTTCAGAGACTTGAAACTGAAAGTATTGGTATGAGCAAAGTACGGGTGGAAGTGGCTGTGTATAAGCACCAGAAGAAACAGCAGAGCAAAGGTTAAAATAATGGCCTGTGCTGAATAACCAAAACCAGAGCTTCAGGCAGTAAAATCATGAAATGAATTGTTTTTCTCAAAGTGGAAGTTTTGCGTTCTGCAGCATAGACAACTTGTCACCAGAAAATCCTACCACCTGACATGCTGTACAGGAGGATACAGCACATCACAAATTACATTTATTTCCTGTTGGTTCAACTGGGAGCAGACCGCAGAACGTGGAAACACAGAAAATGACCAAAGAAGTTCCATGAAGTGCATGCAGGCAGCAGTAGCCAGACTGTGAAGCACAAGGATGCCACCACAGTCAGTGCTGGGTCCCACAAGCTTTCTCTGTGTGAAGTAGAGGCTATTCCTGCTCTAAAGTCGGGGCAGCCCAGCTACCCTGGTGGCTCTGAGGCATCAGCAGTTCATCCTTCCCTTTAGGGCATAAAGTATGCAGAAACACCCTGGGAATGATGCTGTCAAACCGGCTTCCCCTCTTTTTTTCTGGCATGTGACCTGTTCAGTTTCTCTTACCCCCCATTCTGCTTCTTGAAACGCCTCCTTCAGGTCTCAGCTTTGGCTCACCTTACAAGTTACTATTCTCTGTCCCATGTCCAACTCTTTTTTCTTGCCTTGGATTCCCCAGAATGTTTCAAATAGCATTTTGCAGAATGTCCTGGCACCACTGCCTTCTTGTTCCCTCCCTATTTCTTACACAGCCCTCCACCAGTTCAGTACTGTTTGCTTACTTAGCTAACGATATAAAATTTGCCTGAGGCTTTCCAGATAATTTTGAGGCTTCATTGTTCTGAGGAAACTGTTAAGATATGTGATAAAAGTTCAGCTGGTGGGCTCCCTTCTCGCCTGACATGCCTGCCCCACACACACCCAGTAACTGCAGTCAGTTCAGACGGTCTCATCCCCAGCACAGGCACTGGAAGGAGACACAATCTTCACTGCAAATTGTAACTGTGACTCTGCTCAGGTCACTTGCTGGAGTGGGTCAGGCTGTGGGGCTGGCTGGGCAGGGATGTGCTTCCCAGGAACCTGTCCAGAGAGGAGGAAAAGGAGCACGAGCCAAAATGGGGAAAAGGCAATGTGAATTGTACAAGAAGGGATGAAATTATTATGGGAAATTTAGGGGAGGAACAAGTGTGGGAAAACAAGGGGACAGTCAGTGACTGGAGTGAGTGCAGAGGTGTGAGTAGGTGATGGACCAGCTGGTGCAAAGGTGAAGGCCTGGGATTTGGGGCAAGTGCATCTCCAGGGACCAGCTCAGGATGTGAGGGGACCAGTTTGTCTCGAGGGGCTAAACCATGGGGAGATCAGTTATGGGACCTGGCATGCCCTGGCTAGCTCTGTGTGTCTGTCTGTCCTGGCAACTGGAGTTTGGCTGTGCCTTGTGGGACCCTCTGAGTGACCAGAGTGTGGGACAGCTCAGTGTGGGACTGGGGCCATGTGCTGGGGAAGCTCCATCTTATAAGAGACCTGAGACACTCTTAGTTTTCTTAGGCAGAGGACAGCCCAGCAGCTGGAATTATAGGAAAGGAAGGGAGGACAGAAGGAGAAAGATGTACCTGGAATGGCAAATTGTGCCAGCAGTGCCAAGAAGGAGATCTGTAGTGAGTCCTCTGGGCTTTGTCTCCCCTCTTGTGTGTCCCAGGACACTCCCTGCCCCTCCACTGCCACCCTCCTGCCTCTTTCCCACAGTGCTGCAATTTTTTTATTTTGGCTGCCTTGTATCTCCATTGTCCATCTGGCTCTGAGCAGTTCCCTGACCCTGTATTTGCCCTATAGACCGTGGTTTCTTCTTCCTTTGCTGTCTGTCTCTGGCTCCCAAGCAATATTTTGGAATTCTTCCCTCTCTGTCCTGGAGCTTGTCGGTGTTTCTCCCATCTCCATGTCTCTGTCTGGAGGCTTGTCCCTGTTCAAGGTTTTCCTGCTTGGCTCTGTAGCATGGAGTGAGTCTTTCTCCATCTCTGCTCTGCTCCCTTGCCCCTCATTTTGAAATCCTTGCTCTCTGTCCTGTACTGGGATATGTTCTTTCTCCATACTTTTTATTTCTGGCTCCCTATTTATCAATTACTTCTTCCGTCATCTCTCAGTTTGGTGCTGGATCACAACTTTTAATTCCTCCTTTCCTTCCCTGAGGCCCACCTTTCTTTCTCCTGCTCTGCTTGGGCTCCCTGTCCCTGTTTTAATTCCTCATTCCCTAGCTGGTGCTGTTCTTCCTGTGCAGGTGGTGCTATGTTAGGTCTTTATCTTTTCATTCCTTACTCTCCCTCTGTTAGCCCATTGCTATAATACCATTTTGCCATCTCTATATTCAGCTCCATATCCCTTGTTTTTTCCTTCTCCTCTCTCTGTGCCTTGTTGCCCCTGGCTGGTTTTAATTTATCCTTCTCTCTCTGCCTGGCTCCAGCCCCAGCTCCAGCTCCCTGTTTTTTCATTCCTTCCTCTCTGTCTCGTAGCCCATCAGTATTTTTAATTTCTCTGACTCTCTTTGTCCTGCTCCCTGTGATTCAGTTTCTTCCTTTCCAGCCCTGTGGACGGTGTGATTCTGTTTCCTCCTCTGCCTCTCCTTTTCTATTTCCCTGTCCCTTGCTTTGAATCTCACGCACCTCCTGCATCTTATTGCTCCCATCCCTGTGTTTCAATTCCTTCCTTTCTGCTGCACAGTCTGTTGCTTTTTTCTTTTTTTCATCTCTCTCCATCCATCTTGCTGTGCCCACTTTTCATTCCTTTCTCTCTGCTGCTGTTTTTTGGCCTTTTCCATCTGTTTGTCCAGCTGCCTGTCCCTATTGGTTCATTCTGCCCTTCTCCTCATTGTCAGAGACTGAAATATTATAGTTTATGAAATAAACATTTTCATGACAGACTTTTGCCTATTTTAGCAAAACTGTATTATGAAAGGTACAGAGACGCTCACCACACCCTGAACGAGGCTCTAAGAGGCACATCAGACCTCTGCTGATGAAGATAAGATAAATTACAGCTCAGGCACGGGGACATTCCTGAAGGAAAAGCCTAACACCTTCAGGGTGGAGCCCACAGCCCCAGGGCTCCAACAGGCACCAGAGGGAGGGGGGGAAAGGCTTTGGGTGAGTGTTGGAAAGGCCTCAGAGGTGCAGACTGCCCATCCTCTGGTGTGCCCTTCCCCCGGGAAAAGCTCAGATGGAGAGGAGCAATGAGACATCGCTGTGTGGTAAATAGGTACGATTGGTGCTGACAAAATTGAAACAGTAGTCAATATTGATACAGTAATTAATATTTGGAAATTATGAAACAGTTAAAAGTGTAATGCCAAGAAAGAAAGGGAGAGGAACATCTGCAGATGTTCAGAACAGGAAGAAGCAAGAGATAACTATGACTAAATTTAGTTGGGAGAGAGGAGAATCTGGTTGGACACCAGGAAAATGTTAAATACATGAGATTTATTGCTTTGATATTAGAACACAATACTTCCTATTACACCAGCTTGGGGCACATGTGTAATGCAAAAG